ATTTGGGTTATCTTTTATAGTAACAATGGCAATCCAGTAGTTAAAAGTAACTATCATTCATAGTAACCATCATTGAAGAGTAACTATATTCTTGAAACTATAATATAGTAACATTAATAATAACTATCATTAATAGATCTTAAAAACACCTATCATTAGTAGTAATTAGTTTTAGTAACCATCATTAATAGTAACTATCATTAATAGCAACTATCATTAGTAGAAATTGCTTGTAATGACTATAATAACCATCATTAATGGTAACTGTCATGAATGACAGCTATACCATCTAAATAGTAACCTTCATCGAACAGTAGCTATTGCCACCTTGTACAAGGTGAGGCCAACGATCGCTGTAACGATAGGTGAACATAACAATAGGTTAATCCTATGGTTGATGGTATATCATGGTATATTGAACTAGTTACCCTCTGGTTATTTAATATAGCCATGGACAATGGCCCATTTACAGATGATTTTCCCAGCTAGAAAGCTCCATTTATAATGGATTTTCCATAGCTATGTTAAACAACCAGATGGTAATGGGTTTATAAGCCAACATCACCGGGAGGACTCACCTAACTCCCAAAGATCAAAGAACACCTCTATATAGAAGGGATGGACACGGTTTCTTAAAATATGTTTAGTTACAAAACGTGACTTTGTGTCGAGTTTCTCTTCCACTATGAGTGGAATATGGATGTTTACTTTATGGTTTATTTAAGCATCAACATGTAATTTGATTGACAAATTAATGGTAATTTGGTATATTAATGGATATTATAGTTTAGCTAGATGGAGTAGATTGCTACACACTGAGGTTTTTGAAGTTCTCTTGGGATTCAAGTTTACCATTGATATCTCACTAAAAGTTCTTCACAACTTTTTGCAAATCAAAAGAGAAATCGGGATTTGAGCAGAAATACCCTCTGGTAATGGCTGACATAGCTATTGAAAATCACCATTATTAGTGAGTAAATCAACTATTTCTATGGGCCATTTTCAATGGCGAACTGTTAAATTACCAGAGGGTAATCAGTATTTAGCCTGAAGAACATGCATTTTGAGCAATTCATGGATCTAAATTCAAGACCCAGAAACCAAAGTTATACGCTTCATACAAGAAGTAATCCCAAAGATGGCGAACCTGAGTTCAGTGCAAGACTACTGGTGATCATCATTTCAATCCCACGAATTGGATGATGATCCCACCAGTCACAGAATTGGCAGAATTGGATGATGGGAAAATTTGAACCGGAACCCCCATTATTGGTTATTGCTTAATATAATAACCATAAATCAATAACCAATCATATACCAATCAGTGGCTTATTCATGGAATTGGATGGGAACATTTGAACCGGTTAAAACCCATCCTATTTGTTGGTAAAAACCCATGGGTTTCCGGTGAACATTTTCCCGTAAAACCAATCCATTGAAACGTCGCAGGCGGTGCTTCGCAGAGTGAGACACTGCTCCTTTTCAACCTCGGAGTTCCGCAGTGGCCCAACTGATAGGGCGGGCTACTGTATCTGGGTAGACCCTCACTCAGTGACTGGCAAACTACAAATATAAACATCATAAACACATAGACAGGTTGGTACTAAATCAATCTAGATGATGTGAATGGTGTGTTCACAAGATATTTTGCCATTTTGGTGCAGGATTTTTGCAGGTACCGTGGATGATTGCATAGGTCGAACCGAAACACTCCCAACGTTCGGTGAAGAAACAGTCTCGCTCCCCATATTCGAAGCGAAAACCACGTAACTGACGTATTGACCATGATTTCTAAGTTTTATCACTTATATCCTCTACCTTTTGTCTCTGTGAATAGACCCAGTGACACGTGATGTCCTTTTAGATGGATACAAACAACAATAGATGGATGATCATGAACACTATATACTAAAACAACCAATGGATTCAATAGATGATCATGAATACTTTACTATAGACATTGCTGAACCGGTCCCTCTTTTTTCCCCAACAGGAGAAGCTTTTGGAATCGACCCCATGACACCATGCCCCAAGGTTTAAGAGTGGCCAGTCTGGTTCGATCGGATGGACAAGTTGTGATTGTAACTCGGCTGAGACCATCAGAATTCTGAGATGGAGGTTTTGGAGATTGAAGATAGAATCCCTGTTACAAGCAACATAGATAGATAGATAGATAGATAGACAGATAGAGGGTAGATAGGTAGGTAGATAGGTAGATAGGTAGCTAGGTAGGTAGATAGGTAAATAGGTAGGTAGATAGGTGGATAGGTAGATAGGTAGGTGGATAGGTAGATAGGTAGATAGGTAGATAGGTAGGTAGATAGATAGATAGATAGGTAGATAGGCAGATAGGTAGATAGGTAGATAGGTAGCTATGTAGCTAGGTACGTAGATAGGTAGATAGGTAGATAGGTAGATAGGTAGCTATGTAGCTAGGTACGTAGATAGGTAGATAGGTAGATAGGTAGATAGGTAGGTAGATAGGTAGATAGGTAGATAGGTAGGTAGGTAGGTAGATAGATAGGTAGATAGGTAGATAGGTAGGTAGATAGGTAGATAGGTCGATAGGTAGATAGGTAGATAGGTAGATAGGTAGATAGGTAGGTAGATAGGTAGATAGGTAGATAGGTAGATAGGTAGATATGTAGATAGGTAGATAGGTAGATAGGTAGATAGGTAAATAGGTAGATAGGTCGATAGATGTATAGGTAGGTAGTTTCATAGGTAGATAGGTAGATAGGTAGATAGATAGATAGGTAGATAGGTAGATAGGTAGATAGATATATGGGTAGATGGATAGACAGGTAAACATATAGACAGGTAATAGAACGATAAATAAATGGATAGATCGATAGATAGACAGATAGATAGGTAGATAGGTAGATAGGTAGATATGTAGATAGATAGATAGATAGGTAGATATGTACATAGATAGATAGATAGATAGGTAGATAGATAGATAGATAGATAGGTAGATAGGTAGATAGGTAGATAGGTAGATAGGTAGATAGGTAGCTAGGTAGGTAGCTAGGTAGATAGGTAGATAGGTAGATAGATAGATAGATAGATAGATAGGTAGATAGGTAGATAGGTAGGTAGGTAGGTAGATAGATCGGTAGATAGGTAGATCGATAGATAGAAAGGTAGATGGGTAGATAGGTAGATAGGTAAATAGGTAGGTAGATAGGTAGATAGATAGATAGATAGACAGATAGATAGATAGATAGAAAGGTAGATAGGTAGATAGGTAGATAGGTAGATAGGTAGGTAGATAGGTAGATAGGTAGGTAGATAGGTAGGTAGATAGGTAGGTAGATAGGTAGATAGGTAGGTAGGTAGATAGGTAGGTAGATAGGTAGCTAGGTAGGTAGCTAGGTAGATAGGTAGATAGGCAGATAGATAGATAGATAGATAGGTAGATAGGTAGATAGGTAGGTAGATAGATAGGTAGATAGATAGACAGGTAACCATATAGACAGGTAAATAGAAAGATAGATAAATGGATAGATCGATAGATAGACAGGTAGATCGGTAGATAGATAGACAGACCTGTGAGTCCTCCACATGTTTAAGGTCTGTTGTGAAAGGGGGATAGAATCCACCAACCAGTGATTATTAACCATGATTAACCATGATTAACCATCATTACCCTATGATTAGTCCTGGATTTGTTGAGGATTTTTGATTGTCCCCATGGGAATCCACCACTTGGTTCTCCTGGCGATTTAGAAGCGCTGGACAGGTTTGGACGATGTTTTTCCTATATCCTATTTGGGATGATAATCCATGTTGGCTTAATATTTATAATGGACATTAATATAACTATTAATGGATAATGATGGTTATATAATGATGGTGAATGATGGTTAATGATGATTACATGATTTGGTTGGTGGTTTGGAACATTTTTTATTTTTCCATATATTGGGAATAATACTCCAGCTGACGAACTCATATTTTTCAGATGGGTAGGTATACCACCAACCAGTCATGATTGTCATGGGCATTAAAACCACCAAGCATGTACATCAATGCTCTGCACACAGGCCCATTGAATTCATGGATGTTCCCTTATCCGGAGATTCCTTTCCTCATTTCGTATGGCTTTCAGCTTTGTCGGTTGTATGATATGTCCATGGTTTCAGCTTCAATTCCAATTTACATAACTTGAAATCTAGATGTATTATGATGTATTGGGATAGAATCGTGTTGAATCGACATTTGATTTGGGGTTTGATATCTGGGCAAACCTCTGATGGGATCTGATGGGTACTTTTGTACTGAGATTGTACTGTAATACTTTGCCATTGTGATGGACATATTTAGTCAATGGCCATTTCAGGTATTTGAGATTAGCCACATGGGATACACCATGCCACCATCCCCAAGTAATTACAGTAAGCTAAGTAATATACATGCATAATACATATCATATACGATAAACATACATATTACATATCATATGAATACATATAAATGCAGATGTATATATATATATATACAAGGCACTGGCCCAAAACTCCCCCCGCCGTTTTGCTTTCGGGGTTTTATTGGCGCCATTGCCTGAGCGGGTTTGTGGAAACCCGCGGGTCTACATTTAGACCTTGTGCCTGGTATTCTCGTGCTGGACTTCGTTGGGTGAGGGTTGACTTTTCCCCTGACGAACATCGATTTCTGGCTTACCTGTTGCACGAGATCATTTACAATTTTTTCCTGGCTCTGCGGTGGCCGACAACCGGATTTTGGGTGCTTGCAACATTTCTGGCTCTGCGGTGGCCGACAACCGGATTTTGTGTGCTTGCAACATTTCTGGCTCTGCGGTGGCCGACAACCGAGTTTTGGGGAAATTTGGATTTACAATATTTGGGTTTTGCGCTTTGTGTTTAACTGGTTAGCCCTGACACATTGCGGATTACAACAACAATCCTTTACCTGCTACAGTACTGAACTGGTTGAACCCTGGTACTCGTTCTGGTATTGATTTTCAGTTCGAACAATTTATGTGCTCATTTTTGCTTCTGTTCCTAATTTTGATTGTGGGATTTGATCTTCTTCGCGATTCCACTCCTTACTGGAACACAGAAGCGTCGGGCCCGACGCTTACGACAGGGCGCCAGGCGAGCCTGGTATTTACACCGTATTGGTGTGTCAACTCTGACAGTGCCGGCACTCATCAGATTGAAGCGAATTTTGGGAGCACATCATTCAAAGGATCGACAATTTCTCAAAAAGATGGATTTGCAGATCGAACAGCAAGACCTCTGGCCGTGGAGATGTGGACGTTGTCAGAGGATCAACAAAAAGACAGCTATAAAGTGCGCAGTATGCAGTGCGCACTGGACGAGTGGAACTCGTCACAGTACCCAGCCGAAGTCATCAGCGGGACATCATGGAGATGCAACGCGTTGGCAGGACTGGGACGAATGGTCCCAGGATTGGGACGATGCATGGGGAGACCCACAGGAAGCCTGGAGATGGACAAGAGAAAGATCGCAAGCAAGGTCTCAATCACAGGCAAGCACCAGAAGCAACAAATCAGATGCGTATCAGCACAAAGGACGCAAACAGAAGAGCCAAGGGAAGGGGAAAAACACACAGAGGAAAGGAACAGGCAAGGAGACACAAGGAAATATGAGCTCCTCTCCTTTCTCGCCCTTGGCCACAGACATGCCGCCTTGGCCTCCCCTGGAGAACAGTTCCAACGCTCCCATGCCAACGGTAGCGCAAGCGTCAGCAGCGCAAGTGACAGACACCATTGCGCAGAAAAAGGAAGTGCTGGGAGCATTGAGAGCAGCCTATACCGATCAGTCATTGATGCCACAGGACACCAAGGACCTCATCGCCAAGCTGGAGACAGAAATAGAGAAATTAGAAAAAGAATTCAGCAAGGCCACCACCAAGAACCTGCACTCAGCCACCAAGGCCCTTGGCAAGGCACAGAAAACATTGACCGAGACCTTGGAAGCCAAAAGAATGCATCGTGCAAGGTGGACAAAACATGTGGCCGAGGCAGCCAAGACATGGGAAGGGCAGCTGCACGAATATCGGCAGCAGCAATCAGCCTTCCAAGATGTAGCGGCAAAGGCAAGAACAGACATAGAGAGTGCAAGAAGTGCGATACAAACTCTCTCTGCAAAAGCCACGCAAGCTACCTTGGCCGCAATGCCACCCATCTCGGCTATCAGTGCAGAGACAGAAGACCTGACGGGAGATGCAGACAAGGAAGAGGAGTCGGCGCAACAGCAATTGCAGACCATCCTACAGAGCTGTGCAGCCTCACTAGGCATGGATCTTGCTGTCACCGTCAGTCCACAGATAGCTGCAGATCAGATGGAGGACAAAGAAACATCAGATCAAGCGCGTCAGAAAAGGCCCCGCTCCATGGAACCCTTTGGAGGTGGTGGTGCGCAATCTGCCTCACATGGGGAAGATGGACAGAAATCGTGAGCGGTGGCGGTGCACAGCTAGTTCAGTGTAATAGCTTGCATGGCGCCGACCAAGGTGTCCCGGGCGCTGATGCCTACGTGTGTTGGCCAAGCACATGTGCAGCATGCCCCTGGGAACCGAAACCATTTCTCTATGATTATAATCCAAGCTGGCATCAATATCTCAATGATTTATCCTCAGAGAGTCATGTTTTCACTGCGATTCGTTCAGCATGGGACTTGCGATGGAATGTTTTGAGTGAATTCTTTCATGAGCAATGTGGATATCTTGTTGAAGAACAACAATTAGATCCATTACCAAGTACAAGATCTGACGTAGTAGCACCACAGTCTTTGCCTAGCGTGCTCCGTAGGTCAAATGCACAGTCATGCAAATTGCCAAGTTGCATTGGCAAGATCAGCAATCCGGCAAAACGCACACGCCATGTCAGTTTTGCTGAACAAGTCTGGATCCATATTGGTTTGGAGGATGAAACAGACATGGGAACCACCACCATGCATCATGAAACATTAGCTACATGGAAAGACAAACCATGGTCCAGAAAAAAGAATCGAACCCGACACTCTGTGCCAGTGATGTCACAATTTCGAACCACAGATGCATTCTATGATGTGCCATCCAGATGGGCCACTGCCAATGCCAATGCTGGAGAAAGAGGTATAGAAAATCCAGAAGACGCAAACCATTTCCTTCATGAAGCACCTGAATCTGTACAGATTTTGTTTGATGCATTGCTGGCGGAAGGTGTTGTGGAAGGCCCAAGAATCCATGAAAGCGTTTTTCTGAGATCCTGGTACGTACATCACTTACATGCACCGCAATGTTTTCAATATCGTGTGATCGAAATCAATGGTCACTGGAGACATTGGTACAATGATATTGTAAGTGCATGGCGTAATCGAGTGCTCCCAGGAGAACAAGCCATCTTTGATATTGTACACCCAAACCCGCCTAGATCAGGAGCTCCACCAGAAGGTTTTATGTTTGACATCATCCTTACTCAGGGATTGGACGCACCCAGGCGAGGGGGTTTGATCACAATTCTCCAACGAGATGACATCGCGCAGCGAGCCCATCATGCTGTTGCCGCGTCGTTGCCAGAAGTTGTCAGTGGCTATCAACTGGTTCAAAGTGCAGAATCCACACATGAATGCAACTTTCACCAATGTATCAACAGGCATGGCAGGATTAGATTGCCTTACACCATGACACCAGTGCACCACATGCAGGATGGCGATTCTTTCACAGTTGCCATCCACACCCGTCATCCGGATGCAAATGCCAGTATGGTAAACTCTTCCCATGACATGCATGTGCACGAAACAGAGCAGGGAAATGGTGAATGTACAGATCAGGCAGACGTTCCTTTCCAAGAGGAAGCAGATCATGAACCGGGAGATGAGTCTCCAGTACCATCTCCTAGTGTGGTCAGTTCTTCAGACCTCCAACAGGGAGTTCACATACATCGATTGGGACATCAGCAGATCTTTGGACGCCCAAGATGGGACACAGTGGAACATGCCTTGCGTGATATTGCAGTGTTAATCGGGGAGCCTTTTCACCAGCTCATGCATTTACATCATTTGCAAACAGCACCAATGGATTCGGCAACCCATGAAGATTCAGTCATAGTGCAGCATGTGAACGACATTCCACCGGGATCCACTGAACAGCTGGTTTTGATTGATGTTGAGATGCATACAAGTCAGCATAGCGTCAGTGTGCCTAGAGCCCCGCTGGTGACACGTCAAGTCCACAAAGTTGTACCCACCCTGGTCAGACGCCATCTGTTGCATATTACTAAGACAGCTGCCTATTGTGACTGGCACCCACAGGACTGCATTGTCTTTTGTAATAGAGCCATTTGGCATTTGCATGACCTAGGACCGCGCCGCATCACCCATGGCATGTACTTTCGCATCATTGTACCGCCGCCAGTGCAGGCCACGTGGGAGATCAGCCATGCCATTCGAGTCTTCCACGAAGCCCATGAGCTACTGGACTCTGCAGATGCCTATCGAGTTGCGGAGACTGTTCTCAATGAAGGCCAACTCTGGCCGCAAGGAGGCGAACCTGCACCACAACCGAGTCATCGGACATGTAAAAGTGCTGAACTGGATCATGAAATAGACATTCCCATGATGCTGCCACCTCATGTCCGTATGAGAAGACCCCGACCGGTACATGACGGAACTGAAACCTGGTTGCTGGAGCTGGGTCAGATCTTCTCAGAGGAAGCTGAAGCAGAGACTGTAGATGGTGATGCATATCTTTACATCCAAACATGGTACATTGATCATGCCAGACACAGAATTTGCCGACGTCCCAGACCCTTGAGACTGGAACCACAATCGGTAGTCTGGATCGATGATTTCCGACATGAATGGAGAGATGTGATGGACCGTAACACTTTCTTCTCTATATATGTCATCAAACCAAAACCACCGCAATATCGCCACTTGGGATATGCATGTCATGTGCTCCTAGAGCAAAACCGACCAAGAGGAGGGGCTGCAGGCATTCTCACTGCCCTGTTTGAAGGTCTTCCAAACGATGCCATGATGCAAAGTGCTTATGCCACGCCTCGATTTCTCACGCAACAGGACTTAATTGACTTGATGGAAATCACACATATCTGTGATGGTCGACGATGCAGAGCATTCCATTTCCGGGAACCTGTACATATCGTGCCAGCCACAGAAGTCAGTTCGGGTTTCAGCATTAGTTTACACGTTGATCCGCCTGTGAGTCAGATGCCTATCAGACCCAGTACACCAGGCTATTTCGATGATCTCGTTCTGATGCAAAAGCCGTTGCGTAGTGTCCCTGAAGAATGGCAACCAGATCCCAATATCAGCAGTTCAAGCAACGATTCCATACCTCAGGATTGGATAATTGATCTGCAAAGAATTGTTCAACAACATGAGGATGAATGTCAACAAGATGAGCAAACTGAATTCATGTTCTCAGTACTCACTTGGTTCTTAGACCATCAGAAAGCCAAAATTTGCCGAGAACCCAGGATTGTCTTTCTAGGGGGAGACATCACAGAATGGAGAGAAGATCTCATTCAACCGTGGCAGCACCGCTTGGATCCTCAAGCACATGTGTTCCTTGACCTTGTACAGCCTGCCACTAGGAGAGCCAATCTGGAAGAACATTTAGCCCATGTTATCCTTACCCAGCGATACTCGGAGCAATCTTCCATTCTGGTTTCCATGGAATTTGTTGATGCCACAGAGCCGAGTGTGGTTGTGCGAACAGCAGTCGTAGCCCCACCGACATGCACGACACAGGATATTGTACATATTGTGCCGTTATTGCAGTCCTTTGTCCATAATCAGATTGTTTGGAGTCACCCTGACATCAACAATCCTGATCAGCAGTTCCGCACTTGGTCCGGCCTAGGCATCGCTGTCCAAATTCACACGGATGGTGTTCAGGATCCACCAGCTGAGGTCCATGACCATGCAGTGAACATACCCACAAACCAGCAAGAAGGCGCATTCACATTCAATCCCCAAGCTCTGCCGTTCCAGCCGGGTCTAGGCCTGACAGAAGCGTCGGAATTTGTGCAAGAACTCCATGATCAATGGACGAGAGTGGCATTTTCCTGGGGAGATGAATTGGAGTATGCATGGTTCTTCACATGGTTTGTGGACCATCGTCAGATGTTTCCTCGATGCATGGTAGGCCGTATGGTTGCACTGACTTCTGACTTTATGAATTGGGAGCGTACCCTACAAGAGGCCTGGAGAGATGTGCTGGATCCCACACTCCGTCAAGAAATGCATGTGGTCACACCACAACCGCCAAATCTTGAACCTGGCATAGGAGGTCATGTTATCATGATTCAAGAGCCGCGTGAGACCTGGGTAACCAGCCTTGTTTCGATCTTCGATACATTCATAAGTGCCAGGGAAAACAACATGATGCGCATGGCGATCACAACTGATGAGCATATCAGACTTGAGCAGATTGTCTATCAGTGTGGTTATGCATTGGTTGCAGGACAAATTGATCCAAATGTGCCATGTCAAGGTTGGATTGATGGACACCGTCTCCCAGCAGGCCAAAGATGGCCTGGCCGCTCAGGTCATGAAATCACCTTGCGTGTCTACAGGCGAGTTGTACAGATGCCGGTGTACCCAGATGCGGATGACACGGCCACGTTGATGCAACTCCCTCAAGAACGCAAAGCCATGGGCCACACAGCGCAAACCCTGCAGCTCCATCAATTGTTATCCTTTCAGGAACCGGAAAGTTTCATACGTTTGCAAGCTCAATCAGCCTCCAGTCTGCAAGATGATTTTCTGAAGGCCAGAGAGAGGGAGCACCCAGCAGCAACTCAGGATTGTACAACCAAACTGATGAGAGCCATCCGGTTGCTTGCTTATTCTCCGGAGAGTGTTCCGCAATTCATTGAGGTGGAACACCATGCTACAGAAGGAGATGTTCGCTGTGAGTTGGCGTTATGGTGCGACCTTCTTGCAATGCCCACCTGGCACTGGCTGCCCGATATCGATGTCATGCTGTCTTTAGAGTTCTGGCATGAACAATATCACTATCTGTATGTGGACACAGATGATATGCCGTATCATTTCACATTTCATGATGTGACGCATTTGCCGAGAACTGAGATTCAGCATATGAAATGGTTGCACAGTCAGGGACACACCAGAGCAGTTGTTCTTCACATGCAGCCGACATCACATGATCAAGTACAAATCATCAAATTCAAAGACCAACAGCCAAAAGTACCCAAAATCACAGCGAGACAGGCTACACCATGGCCTTCAAGATTGATAAAGAAGAGTTCCATAGCTCCACTGTATCGCACGACGGTCCCAGTCGATATCCATTCCAACTGCACATGGTCTATTGGACTTGACCAGATGCAAATTGACAGCTTTTTTGACTCGGCGAAGCAGATTCTGTGTAGGACCTTTCAAGGTTTGGAACTGCCAACACATGTACAAGAAGCTCTGCGCCATTGCCAGCCTCTAGAAAGACTGGACCGCATTGTTATTTACACAGATGGTAGTTCACAGCCAGAGCATCGTCGCAAACCACTTGCACGAGTGGAAGCAGAAGGAAATGGCGACACATGGGCATTTCTCATTCTTGGTGAGCAATATGTCGATGACACCACCTCCAAGATTAATGTCATTGGCTGGACGGCACAACCGGTGCTGTATGATGTAGAAGCAGCCCACTGTATCGGATCGTGCATTGTAGGGTCAGAAACAGCCGAAAGAGAAGCCATGTTCTGGAGCGGGGCATGGCGCTTAGCTCAGAACTGTGACGTGCCGACCCATTTTTGCACAGATTCACGCACAGCTGGACGTCAAGCTAGTGGACTTGACAGTTCCAATGTAGCAGATACCTCATTCATCAATCTCAGATCCATCTTCCAATGTCTTGAAAGCAGCTTGCAAGAAGGATTGGCTGTCACTCATGTAAAGGGCCATAGTTTGGATCCGTGGAACGACTTAGTTGATCTTCTTGCCAAGCAAGAGAGAGCCAAGAGCTTTTATCATCCAAGGCAAGCACTGGATATGAGAGTTTGGAAAAACTCATTGCGACATTTTTGGACTCAATTTGCCAGCAATGTAGGACTGCCACACTATCTAGGGGAAGCCTTTGATGTCAGACCGCCAGCACTTCCGCAGTCAGTACCAGCACCATCGCCAGTGCGTTACCAATCTAAGTCTGCACAATTCTGTATCAGCCTTGCCACTGCGAATGTCAACTCCCTTCATGCAGGACCAGATGGACATCGTGGAAAGCTGCAATACATTCGAGATCAGATGAAAGCTCTCCACCTTCTGTTTTTAGGCATTCAGGAGTCCAGAGCCGATGAAGTGTGCTCGCAAACAGACGATGTTTTACGCCTGGGAAGTGGAGCTGACAAAGGACATCATGGTGTAGAGCTTTGGATCAACATGCTGCAGCCGTTTGCTTACACTGGAAAAAAGGCACATTTTCTGAACAAGCAACATGTAGTAGTAGTTTACAAAGATCCACGTGTGCTCATTGCCAAAATCTGCCATCCGTTGTGGCATGCATGGATTGTAGTTGCACATGCGCCCCAGAGTGGTATCCCAGAGGACCAACGCCAAGCATGGTGGGCCTCACTTGCCGAACAGCTCATGCACCTTGTCAAAGATGAAGAAGTTTATGTTTTGATTGATGCCAATGCAGAGCCAGGACCCACTGATGGCATTCATGTGGGTCCCAGACAGACCAAGACATCCAAATCCACCAAATTTTTGCGCGAGTTCCTAGAAACGTGGAAGCTTGCTCTGCCCTGCACATTTTCATGTCATTCAGGGTCCCAAGCTACGTGGACAACACCAGATGGAAGATCCCAGCATTGTATTGATCACGTGTGCTTACCGCTGTCCAGACTTGGAGATTGCAAGTTTTCTAGGATTGTGGAGGAACTGGACTTAGGCAATGGACATCTTGATCATACAGCAACGGCCGTTGAGGTGGTCTGGCAACAAGTTGTACAGTTGCCTCTACGACGTAGCCGGATTGCATCCATATCTCGAGCGTCCATCGATGCCGCCATGCAAGCTCCGCTTGCACACTATGTTGTCCCGTCCTGGGAACAAGATATCCACACGCATGTTGAAAATCACAATCAACACGTGCTAAAAACATTGACCACACATTGCGCAAAAACGCCGAATGCAGCCAAGAAGAGTTTCATCACACCTGACATATGGGAACTGAGGGCATGTAAACTTCAGTGTCGACGTGTTGTAAAAGACATTGCGCAGAGGTGCCGACAGGAATTGATCCGTGCCGTGTGGCTGGGATGGAAACAGCAATGTTTGCCGGAGAAGGAAGATATGTCCCACTATGCACAAATCTATTTTCCATACACGGTGGCACTCTCATGTTGGCAGCTCCACCAAGGAGTGCAATTGCATGTCCTAGCAGTGAATCTGAAGAAAGCGCTTAAGTGTGCCAGACTAAAAGCGGTTCAGATCGACGTCATGGCACTGCCAGATGAAGTTGCTGCCAGTGAAGTTCTCAGGACAGTGAAGAAGCATGTAGGACCCACCAATCTCAAGAACCTGAAGAAACCTACACTTCCCATGTTGAAGGACATGTCAGGCCATATGTGTGTGCATCCGGAGCAACTGCGTGATGCCTGGATAGACTTTTTCGGTCAGATGGAAGGTGGGGTTCGAATGACATGGGAAGACCTCATTGACAGATGGAGAAGTTCCCTAGGTCAATTTCAACAGTCGGAGGTCAGCCTAGGTCCCGAGGACGTGCCATGCCTCACTGATTTAGAAATGTCCTTTCGGAGAGTCAAAAAGGGCAAAGCCCTGGGACCTGATGGCATCCCGCCAGAACTATGCAAGGCTTGCCCCACGACTTTGGCCAGACACTATTTCAGTGTTCTTATGAAAATGCTCATCCATGGACAGGAATCACTGCACCATAAGGGCGGCACATTAGTTCCAGCCTATAAAGGCAAAGGACCCACAACTGAGCCTGCGTCATACCGTTCCTTGCTCATCAGCTCGCACATGGGTAAAGTATTACATCGTACCATTCGTCAGCATCAATCCAGCATGTATGAACAATATCTGTGTGCACAACAGTTGGGTGGCAGAAAGAAGGTCCCGGTGACCCTAGGTCTCCATGAAGCACGTGCATTCTTGCGTAATGGGCAGCAACAGGGACTTTCTGTAGGACTCCTTTTGGTAGATCTTACTGAAGCATTCTATCGAGTACTTCGACCGCTGGCTGTGGGCGACCAATACTCGGATGTCCAGATTGCTCAAATTGTCCACAAGCTTGGCATGTCACCTGACACATTGCATGAGCTGCATGAGCACCTGAAACAGCCAAGTGCTGTGGAGCAAGCACACCTTCCATGCCACCTTCGTAAGGTATTACATGCATTGCATACTGATACCTATTTCCAAATACATGGACAGGAGGATTGCTGTCACACATCAGTAGGATCACGTCCTGGTGACTGCTTTGCTGATGTAGTCTTCAGTTACCTCTTTTCCAGAGTGCTCAAAGCATATCAACAAAAGCTTGCAGAAGCTGACCTGCAACAGTGGGTAGCCGACGTTCATCAATTCGACCCTTTTGGCCAGCAAGACAGAAACGATCTCCATGTGCCCTATTTAGGGCCCATCTGGATGGATGATGTATGCATCGGCCTCACGGCCGCCACACCGAGGGGACTCTTGCAAAAAGCCGGCATAGTCACTTCGTTGCTCTTGGACACCCTGAAAGGGTATGGCCTTACACCGAATCTCAAGAAAGGCAAGACCGAACTCCTGTTCTCTCTCAGAGGACCAGGCGTCCGCAAGTGCCAGCAACAACTCTTTGGTCCAACGGCCTCTGGCACCATGGATATTGTGTGTGAACAAGAGGTATGCCAGGTTTCTGTTGTTGGACAATATCAGCACTTAGGAGGATTCTTGCATCACAAAGGAGATCATCGGGTCGAAATGAAACGAAGAGTAGCGCTAGCACATGCCGCGTTCAATGCCAGTCCTTTACCATGATCCAAACATCCCATTGCTGAAAAGGACGCAACTGTTCAATACCTTGATCCTCAGCAAAATGTTGTACGGTTGCGAGTCTTGGGTGCTGCGTGACAGACGTTCCAAAGAGTTCCTGCATGCTGCTATCATGAAATTGTACAGACGCATTTTGCGATGCCCGCATGATGAACACTGTACAGATGAATGGGTCCTATCCAAGCTGCACATGCCATCCCCCACTGAACTCTTGCGTCAGGCACGTTTGCGCTATATTGGCACATTGCATGCCTGTTCTCATGTTGTGACATGGGACCTGCTGAACCAAGATTCTGAGTGGTGTGCACTGATTCAGGATGATTTAGCATGGATGTGGAAGCAACTGTCCAATAGCTCACATCTCCCACAGCCCAATCAAGGCTTGGCAGCATGGAGTTACCTATGGCAGTATCATCGCAATTACTGGAAGGGGCTCATTAAAAGAGCGGTGCAGCATGCTGTGTTCCAACGACACAATGGTTGGGTAGTCAAACAGGGGCATCAAACTGTTTTAGACATCCTCCAGAAACATGGACATGTTGTCGTGCCGCCAGAAACAAGCAGGAGACCAGTACCTTGCATGCAAGCCTATGGCTGTTTCGCGTGTGGTGTTTCATTCAGATCCAAAGGTGGTGAAGGAGCGCACATGTTTCGCCGACATGGGCTGCTCTCCAGCATCAGATATCTGTTTGATCATACAAGATGTGAAGCATGCATGAAAGAATACTACACCTATGGAAAATTACATAACCACCTGCGCCACTCTCATCAGTGTCGCATCACTCTGCAGCGTCGATTGCCTGAACTCCAGCCACAAGAGGGACACGGTTCTGTTGTGGATAGAGCTCTGGATCGTCAACACGATGGACTCTTGCCGCCCATGGCAAGTCATGGACCCAGTCTGCCAGTGCCTCTGCCGAGAGACATACAGGACTTTGACACAGAGTTCTATGGAGAATGTGCCGAGATTCTGTTGAGTGATCGCAGTGTCACTGCCAAGAATGCAGCGGTTCGCACTATGGCCTGTACCAAGACGTTGTCTTGGACCCAATTTAGCCTGACACTTGACCGCTTCAAAACTCATGTGCAACATGCAGACCTTGAAGCCTTCCACATGAGCATGTCTGATCTGGATGAGATGTTTGACGATTTGCTCAAGGTGGATACCTGGCCTTGGATGAAGCATGACCAAGCAGACTTGCAGGAGTTTTCTTGTGCAGACATGGAATGGCAATGCGACAATGCAGATGCAAGCAATGCAGTGGCTCCGAGGCCGCAAGGTTTTGGGGTTCACAGGTTCATATTGCACGCATTTTCCGGCCGAAGGAGGCAAGGAGATTTTCAATTTTATCTGGACGCTATCGCTGAGAATCATCCGGGCATTATTCTTCATACTTTGTCAGTTGATATCGTTTTGGATAGTTGCTGGGGTGACATCAGTGATGAAAAGGTCAGACAATTTTGGGTCTCTGCCGCCTGGAACAGATGGGTGATAGGATTCCTAGGAGGACCTCCTTGCGAAACGTGGAGCAGAGCAAGGGAGCACCACATTCAAACCAACAGTCGTTGCGGACCTCGTGTCATCCGCACCTCAAAACAGCCCTGGGGTTTGGATAGTCTCTCCTTGAAGGAAATCCGACAGATTCTCGTTGGGAATCAGCTGATGCACTTCTGCATCACTATGATGACAGTGCTCTACATCACTGGAGGATGCGGCGCTTTGGAACATCCTGCGAGACCACCCAATGAGAAGTCTGCGTCCATTTGGAACACGCCATTGATCAATCTGCTGCTACAATTGCCAGGATTTCATTTGTGGGAGTTTGCTCAAGGACTTCTTGGTGCGATCACTGCGAAGCCCACCATGCTCCTGTCGTTGAACCTGCCTTCATTAGGACAGCAAATTTGTGCATGGCGAGTAGTGGACAATTTGCCCAAAGGGGCTAGCATTGGCCAGGGAAGTGACGGGAAATTTCGCACATTTGTGCTTAAGGAGTACCCCCCTGCCTTATGTGGCGCGATCGCCACATCTTTCATGCAGACACTCTGCACGGTGCCGGTGTCTGCTGTACAGATCCCCTGTGAATTTTTCGTGCGATGCTCCACCATGGAATGTAAAGAGTACAGTGAGGAGCTTGGCCCAGATTTCGCAGGTGGTGCCTTCTTAGGCAAGTGACCGAATTGAGTGCCTGGTCGCGGCGGAAGCCCCTGAGTACCATGAAAAAAAATATATATACAATATGATCCATATGTGTGTATCACATATGGATATTTGCGGATGTACGCAACAAGTTCCACACGTCGATACTGGGAGGTGTCGCCCGATCGATCCAGCTTGAAGATTCAACGAGGTTCCGACGATGAATCATGGGATTCCCAAGCTGTGGTTACAAAAAAACATGACAGCTATGGAAATCACAATGAAAATCATATTTTTCTAGTATGGAAAACTAACTTAACTATGGAAAATTCATTTTTTTGAATAGTATTAAACTAACATAAGTATGGAACATCAATATGAAAATCATATTTTTTTAAATAGGCAAATCAACTATGAATAGACTATTTTCCATAGCTATGATTTATCATACTTATGTTAGTTTACCAGAGGCTAGATTTTTCACGATAGAAAGCAGGATTTATGTCACCAACCAAATTGAGGACGTGAGACAGCTTGATTCACACATTTTAGGCGAGGGACGTTTATGGTTGTCTCCAACTTTAAGGGCCTATGGTTGTGACCCGTTTTCGGATGTGGCACCAGGATTATGATGATGATGATGATGATGATATTATTATATTATTATCATAATCATCATTATGTATTATGTATTACAAGGTGGTGCCCCATAGTTAGCTAAGTTGGTTCAAAAAACTCCCATTTCACTATGGTTTATGGCAGATATATAACTATAGTATTCATGGGGTTTATAAACCAACAAACATCACTGGGGGGCACCATCCTGTATGTATTGTGTATTATTGTGATTCTCAGTGTGATTGTCATGACGTCATGATTGCGATTTTCAGCATTGGATTGGGGCTTGGGGCATGCTTGCTGTTTCCTCGACGCCAGCTGCGACAAGAAATGGAGAAGTTGAAAGCCCACACAGTTATGGCCCGAAATACCAGTTATGAGTCAGTTATAGCCCCATTTATGGAATAGTAACCACATTTATAACCATTTATAACCAGGTTTAATTGGTAACTGCATGGGTTTTCACATAGAACAGCCATGAAATCGCTGAAGTTGAGCCAAACCGCCCACCTTTTTCAACGGCCATTCAACAAACAGGGAGAAATTTCAAGTACCAATGAGCTGAACTGAGTCGTATCAAATGTTGTATGTATATATATATATATACATATATATATATACATACGGTATACACATTCAATGTATAAATTTGATTATAATATATTATAATCATATAATGTATTTTGATATATTTTGATAGATACCGTAAATGTACAGAGATTTGACCAGCAACTTTACTTACACGGCGCAGAAAAATGTGGCGATGGTTTTTGCTTTGGCTCCTCTCTGGGCGTGACGGAGTCGTCTCCCAAAGTTTCCAGCCCGGGAGAGAGTCTCCCAGGCATCGACTGTCGGATCCTGGAAACACCGTTGTATCTTTGGGGATGGCTATATTCTGGCTGTATATAGAATATCTTTTTATACATTCATTTTTTGTATCTTCGAAACTATTCAATTTACATGAAAGGATGTTTGAAGCTCTCAAGATCTTTCAGATGGATGCAACTTAATGTTCATTCGATGTCCACCCCACTTCTTGATTGAATAGAGAATCATTGCCTTCAATGTTCACTACAAGACCTACGCTAGTGGTTGGTTGGTAGATCATCCCACGCTACTTAGGATCCCTGGTCATCCACCCTGTAAACTGTAGTTTGTTTCAAAACCAATTCTTTATGTTCAAAAGAAATTTATTTTTCATGGATATCATGGATACTGGTATCATGGATATGGACAGCATACGTGGTATATAAGAGATCCCCAAGAGGCCCACGAATCAATGAAGGGCTAGAATGGGATACTTAATGGTCTAGATCAAAGGTGCACATCTACAATCACAATCGGAATTCAACCTAACGGTCATATATGTGGAAAAATCGGCTTACAGAGACAGAGTCAGCCTTCCAAAAAATCACCATGGTTTTCAAGCGGGTATACGTATGTGGTTTTCTTTTTTAAGAATGAGTTTAAAGTTATTAAAAAAAGACAACACATCAGATCCATTCAAATCATCATAAACATCAATGGCTCAGCGGCTCGGTGACCGGCGTTATGTGGGTTTGTCTGAACATGTTGGGTATCTCCAATTCCCATGGTTGTCATCAACCATTCAGCAGAAAAAATGTTGTTTTAGCAGGTAATAATAATGGTAATAATGGTAATAATGGTAATAATGGTAATAACCTGGTTATTGGATATAAGAAAGGTAAAATCAATGTATTGGATGTTATTATTATTCTGGTAATAATGGTAATAATGAAGGTAATAACATCCAATACAACGATGATTCTCAAACACAGCCATTTGCATGAATGTTCTTCCCGGATAAAGGTTTGTTCCGAAAGATTTCAGGTTTCAGGAGACAAGCAGGAACAACAGACCGTCTTCGACGAGTTCTTGGGCGTGAGGGGTGCAAAGAACCAGAAAGGAATCATCAGTTGATGGGAATGACGAACGTTGATCAAGCGTTCCGTGGTTTTTTTACGACTCTGTAAAATCTATAAAAATGAGAAAAACAAATTGCATGAAGATTGGACAATTCCATGGATGTTTTAGATTTTCAACCCGTCCCGCCCGTCCCGCCCGTCCCCGTCCGCCAACGTTGACAGGTTGGTGGAGACACACTTGACCACTGCGCAGAGCCTTTTTGATGATTGAACACCATGGAAATCCGCGGGGAGACACTGTTTTTAATATAATCGGTTAATAATGGTCAATCATATTCAATATGGTTAAAAATGGTCAAGAATGATTAAGAGTGGTCACAAACGTTCAACAGTGGTTAATCATGAGTAGAACACAGTAGAACTATGGGACGTTAAAACCGAAGTTGAGATATGGCACCCCTATAACTAGGGTTATATACCGCTTTATTTGATACTTTCTTCTGGAACTGCAACCCCAATGGCCCAAGTACCCTCTGGATCCCTCTGGTAGTATAGGATGGCGTGCTGGAAAATCATCCATGAATAGTTTAATTATTCCATTCCCATTGGAAGTTTGGACTTTCCAGCCATGTCTACCAGAAGATATTCGTCGTTGGAGGTTCCAGACATGTTTCTACCAGCTTTCCAATCTACCTGGGATGATAATCACTTTTGATACATTCAATCATACCCTCTGGTAAACATACGAAAAACATCAAACAACTATGGAAAATCACCATGTTTAATGGGTAAATTCACTCTAAATGGCAAGTTTCAATAACTATGTCAAATTACCGGAGGGTATTCAATCATCTCTTTCAGATAGGCTGTGGTTTCACAATTCAGCCATGATTTTGCAGAAAACTAGATGGACTCTTCATGCATTTGCTGCAGTCCTCTCCAAGCTGCTTGTATCTGGTTGTTTGGCTTATCTATAGATATGGGGATGGGTCAAAACCTATTAGTATCACTTTTAATGGGATGAACATCCATTTACCAGCTGTTTTGTGGTTCACTAGGTACCAGGGTTATGACTCATAGCCATATTGATGTTTGCCTTTTGTGATGCGTGCCACAGACTCTCAAAGGTTCCAGGTCCAGCAGGATGACACCATCTGAGCCAAGGATCCAAAAGGCTTTGGAGATGCTGCAGCAAGACGACACTGATTGGTATTTCATTCCCTTGCTCTCCGAAAGCGACACGGACCTGTCGAGATATTCAGAGGATGTGAAGAAACAACTCCAGAATCTGGGAGGCTTGGAGAAATTTTTAGAGACATTCTCCATGACAAAGTGACTGAACACCTGGGAAGTCCAGGTCCTGACCTGGGTCTTTCCCTGGCTTCATCACTGTAGCCCAGAGAGGCCATGAGCAATGATAACAATCCCACGAGTGACATAGGACATCATAGGACCTATGATTTATACACAACTACACTACATTAATCTACATTACCTATTTTCATACCATGGCTTCAGGGGGTTGAACATCCATAAATATCCAGAAAATCCCAGTTTTGATGACAGAAGGGGTACGAAAGTTGCTACTGTTTTGATCCATCCCCACGTGAGCTATGGTCAATACTCATGGTTAATAACCATTAATAGGGGCTAGTCATCCAATGGTTCATAGGGATTTATAATAACCATTATAAGGATCCTTATTATGGATGGGATGACCATCAACCATATAGTGAGTATTGACCATGGCTCACATGCTTATCCATGATGTTAGGACCGGGGCATCCCGTTGAACTTGGACCAAGGATCCTACATCTACGGTCCCAGCACCATCTACAGCGGTCACTGTCCGCTGTACGCGGAGCTAGGGAATGCCACCCAGAGACACCACGAAGATATGAAAGCCGTGATGGAGGTTACTTGAAGATCTCAGAGCATACCCTCTGGTAAACTAACATAGGTATTGAAAATGGTCATGTATAGTGGATTTACCCATTAAACATGGTGATTTCCATAGTTTTTTGTATGTTTACCAGAGGGTAACAAGTCATGTTCCACCCATAGATGGTTAACCTTTCAGCCATGATTTATCATGGGGAGTGCTGACCAGAATGTTATCACCAAAAGGTTGACCATCTATGGGTGGAACAGGGGGGAACATGATGATCAAGCGTCCAATTTGGCAGACTATTTTCAGACCACTCCCCCCAAAAAAGGGCAAACATGAAGGCCCGGCAACAGACCCACGTCACCTTTTTGTCAAGTCCAAAGGTCGAAAGGTACAGGACTGAGAGCTCTGCAGGACCGTTTCGGGTGGCTCCTGGACAATGTGAAACAAGTGTCGTGGCTGCGAATTTCTCTGGTACTCTCCAGTGGCAACTTCAAGTAGGTACAATGTGGTGCCCCCCAGTTACGTTTGTTGATCAACCCGGTAACGAATTTGCTATATCTACCATTATCTACAATGTGAGGCCCCCAAGATAGCTAAGTTGGTTTATAACTCCAATAACTATGGTTTATTGTATTTATAACTATAGTTACTGGGGCGAATCTAAACCAACTTATATCTTGGGGGCCTCACATTGTACCATAAAACCCTGTTGTAGTTACCAACCAGCTCAGCTAACGAAGCATCACTTTGTCGTGTCCCAACATCCTGTCCGCACAAGCGGATTGTCAAGAGTCAACAGATTGATTCTTAACAGGGATCCACGTGCCACAACATGGCTTGAATCGGCGCCGTTGAATCTGCAGGATCCAAGCCATGCTGGTAGGCACTTGTAAAATTCGAATTTCATGGACGGGATTTTGAAGAGGCCAAAATTTTTCGGACCCTGAGATTAGATTCCATTAGATGACTGGTTGCTAATTTCATACCTGTTTTTGTTTTCGCAAGTTTCACATAGCCTACTTGAAAACTATTCACTGACAAGTTTTCCATTAAGTACAGCATATCTAAGTAAGGTTACATTGAGATTAAACATGATTAAACAATGATGGGTACCCTCTGGTAAACTAACATAGAAATAGTGGATTTTCCCATTAAACATGGTGATTTTCCATAGCTATGTTAAATTAACCAGAGGGTAAACCTCCATAATCCTATGGTTTTCCTATAGTTTTCCTATGTTTTTTCCCATTTTCCTATGGTTTTCCCATTAAATGTTTAAACCTTTCCCCATGAAATGGCCATGTTCCAACTGACGCGTTGTCCGCGCGAGAAACGACGCAGGTTCTCGCTGACGCCGTGGCACCGGATCCGGTGGAGTGGACGCTGTGGCTAACATAAAGGGGGTATATTGATGGGATCCATGTTACCATATACAGCAGCACCATGGATCCTATGGGTATGTATATATATATATATATGTATATTTGTTTTTCTGAAACATAATATATATATATATATGTGTGTGTGTTTCAAGAAACTAATATATATATATATATATATGGATTATATATATGCATATGCTCTATCAGTGGATATTCCATACTTTACGAATATGTACTTTGGGATATATGTCATAACATTGTCTATGGGAGTCTTTCAGCTAAGAATGTCACTATTTTTGCTTAATGGCATCCCTCCTATCCACCTCTATAGTTGTTTGTTAAAAAAAAACACATCAGCACTATAATGGATAGTTAAAACCCACTAGAATCCCACTAACATCCCATTAAAACCCCATCAGATACCATGAACACCTCATTAAGATGCCATTGACATCAAACGATCATCCCATGAACATGCCATGAAAAAATCTCAATAAAATTCCATGAACATGCAGGCTATAGTTTATTATAGTTTATTGAAATGCCATTGAGCCATGCTCAGGATGTCCTATCCCTACATCAAGATGCACCGCGGTGACTCTTTGGACGGTCTGCCGGAGCACTTCCGACAGCTGGCGCTGCAAGTGGCGCCACCGCATCGCGACCAGTACCGCGGTGACGCAGAAACCAATGACGTTGATGGGTTTGTTGTAAGGGTCATGGAGAAATGGATTACCCTCTGGTAATTTGTCACATAGCTATTGAACAAGTTGAACATTGGGATCGAAGAATTGTTATTTTTCTGGTTGGTGGTTTGGAACATGTTTTATTGTCCATAATATATGGAATAATCCTTCCCTTGACTAATATTTTTCAAGACGGTTAAAACCACCAATTAGCTCTGGTAATTTGTCACATAGCTATTGAACAAATTGAACATGGCCATAGAAATAGTGAGTTTTCCCATTTTTGAAAAATGGTGATTTTCCATAGTTATATTAGTTTACCAGAGGGTAGTATAATGGATTATTAGATGTAGGTAGTAAAATCCATTGATAATGGGGTTATTGGGATTATAATGGATTATACTACCTGGTTTGTAGGTAAAACAATAAGCATCCCCAAATCACCATTTTTATAGGTGGTATATATAAACTATCCCCAAATGGGTGGTTTATGATTGTTTTACCCGCATCATAAGTGATTATACTACCTGGTTTAATGTGGATTATGATAACCCATAGTAGGGAAACCTATTAGCCAACCAGTAACCAATCAGATGGGATAGGGGTATGTTCAATGCTTCAAATGGGATTTCACCTGCAAAAACACGGAAAAACTTGGAATTCAGCATCAAACATAGGGGATATGATTGAACCAGCATACAATGGGATTCAAAAACATGAAGATGACAACATGTTCGGATTTCATTCTTGAAGATATGGATGAAACCTAAAAACACGGGAATGAACTGACGAAAGAAATTTGATTGAATGTGAACACATGGAGACTCCATTGATTTGACCATCAAGGATGTGGATCTAGCCAGTCTCAGACTGGGAATTAACTTCCCATGGTGAAATGACATGGAATCTACAAGGTGGTGCCCCAGTTCGTTAGCTAAGTTGGTGAACATAAAAATCCCATTTCACTATGGTTTATGGCCGATATAACTATAGTTTTCATGGGGTTTATAAACCAACTAACATCACTGGGGGGCACCATGGAATCTATGTACATTTCGTGTCAGAAAAGAGGAGCTTAACCACCAAGAAGAAGATCCCATAGAGTCGAGGCTTTGGCACCTCAACACTGGGAATTGGCCAAATTTCATGGATTTCATGTTTGTGACCACAGTACCCTCTGGTTATGTCAAAATAGCTATTGAAAATGATCATTTATAGTGGATTTTCCCATGAAAAATGGTGATTTTCCATAGTTATGTAAACGTTTACCAGAGGGTACTGCATGGAAGAAATCGGATTTCAAGACCATTTTCTTCCATTGGGTCAGAAAACGGATCTTGGAGCAGCAGCCGTTGCGGCCGATCGCAAGTGTCCAGATGGCCCATCGAACTCCCCAATCCAGCTGGATCCCCCATTGAATCCATTTGGCTCAAGTAGTTGATACAAATATTATCTATATATATATACATATATATATATTATATATATATCATATATATATATATATCATATATATATATATATCGTTTCAACCAAAATCTCGAACTCAGATCTTCCTATTTTAAGATGTTGCATCGTCCCATCTCCCATCGTCCAAAGATCGCCCCATCCTCAGCCGTTCCCACGTTCCCAGCCGTTTTTTCCAGGCAGTTCATGAGCTACGTGCCCGAAGCCCTGCAGCCAACCGCGCAGACCTTGACTTTCACCTTGCCTCTGCAGGTCCCTAGCGGCGGAGCTGGGCTACGGGTCTTCGACGCCTTTTTGGATAAGCCCAGTGGGAAGCTGCTGAACCAAGAGGTGGGGGATGATCGACGGCGAGCTGGGCTAGAACCATGTGTCAAATTGGTAATTAAGCCCTACAAGATTTTGCAAAAGAACATCCTATATAGAAATGGTTGGAAATCATTTTTGTATACGGTATTTTGGGGCTTACTACAACTCAAGTGTTTGATTTCTTCAAATTCAGCATGTCCATCGCTGAATCCTGTTGATCAGTCTTGCGGCAGGGTAAGGAGCTGCCAAGCAGTGGGAAAGCCTACCAGAAACTGATCAGAAAACTGAGCTACTTGGTGTCCGAGTCCGTTCAAGAGTGTGGTTTCAGTCCAAACCCAAACAACGGGACATCCAGAGATTCCTGGATATCATAGGTCAAAGGATGGATTGTGTTCCCACCAAAGGGAACTGTAATCAATCCATGTGCACGGATTATAAACATTATGTAGAAAATCCCTTTCATGATGGTGGGATATCTTATGACCATTCCATGCAACTTGGCCATGGCACATATACAGTATAATCATATACATATGGTTCGTTGTATTATTTATACCATCTGGTTATTTAACATAGCCATGGAACATCCCTTATAAATGGAGGTTTTTAAGGGAAAATCATCTATAAACGGGCCAATTTCCATGGCTATGTTAAATAACCAGAGGGTACATAGATCATAGATCCTATGTTATTATATCCTCTGATATCCCCATTGTATCTCCCCATGAAAACAATGTTTTTTGTTGGTCAAACCTCTGTTGTTGGCTCATTTCACCATTTTGATGGTTCAAAAATTCAAAAATCACGGGGGCAAGGTCGTGCTCCAAGTTGCTTTGGAAACCCCATTGTATTCTACTGGATAAAACCCCAGGTATATTCGTTAAATGCCCACTTAGCTATCATAAATCATATGTCAATCTCCTATGTTTGATGTTTAAACATCGTCAAATTATGTGCAACCATTCAACCATCATTTTTTCGTATTCAACCATCATTTTTTCGTGGTCAACCACCATTATTGAATCATTTTGATATACCTAAATCAGCTATATCAACAATATAATCCCAGAAATTCTCGATTAAACCATGCTGAAACCCTTATTGTTCCCTATAAAAATCGGCAATTCCCTGGCCCTGAGATCACCACCCTTTCTCCAAGGCCATGAGGACGTCGTGTACCTCCCAGGACGGATGCTACTTTTCAGTGGTGACCAGCTGCATGCGGTGAGTCCTTACCGAAATCCCATCTCCAGCGATCGTCGCATCGTGCTGCAGGGCCATGGCATTTTCCAAAACCACACATGGTGGCTCTTTGGATGAAGGATGTTTCAGATTTCAAAAAAACGCTGGTTTCATATGAAGATCATAATTTTAATGGATATTCATATTTTTTTCATATGAAGATCTGGTGGTTTCATTCAATTTAATTATTTTTTGGCTGTGAACATCGTGCACATCGCGACATTGGATGACTGATGATTGACCTTTTGATTTCATATAGTTTCAGTTGAAGTTTTCCAAACAAAAAATGATAGGCAGGGATTTCCCAGCAATGTTGTTTTCTTCGATATTTCTTATTCTTCATTCTTAGCTTGGATGATTGGTGGCTCAAGCCTTGATGTTGGTGACTTGTTGGGTCACCCATGAGTGTCCAGCACCAAAAAATCTTGGCAACATGTTTGATCAAATGATGCATTGAGTATGATTTACAGTAGTTGATTCAAGAGGAAACAATTTTGGAGAATCACCGATCTACTACGATGTACCCCAATGAAGCTTTGCTGTGTAGATTCGTCCAAAGCGACGTCAGTTTGTGGCCGGAGGGCGATACAAAAAAACTTGCATTGGAGATCAGATAATGCCAGCCCTGGATGAATACACCCGTAGGCTGTTTAATGTAATGGGAAGGTGCCCTTTAAGTATTGCATGATCACTATTTGCGGAGTACCTCCCTAATTTACATAAACCATGGTGTTTTTTGATCCGGGGTTGACCTTATTCCATCTTATTCCTTGATGTGCTGTCATTTTGACTGAGATCCTGAGCTGACTCTCTCATGAAAAACATGTCAGCCACCAATGACATGATACAAAGTGATTGTACTGCAATCACTGGCCAATTTCTGTGGCAGAAATCACAAGCATATCACAAGCATACAATGTGAGGCCCACAAGATAGCTAAGTTGGTTCAAAAGACTCCAATAACTATGGTTTATGGTATTTATAAGTATATATAGTTACTGAGGCTTTTGTTAAGCAACTTATATCTTGGGGGCCTCACATTGTTTCAACCCAGCACCCCAGCGGGATCAGTGGGGATCCGCATGACCTGAAAGCATGTCGTAAGAATGCTAAGGATTTTTGACGTCATGTGCATCTGTTTATCCGTGGATCTTGTGATGATTTCAGAAGTTACCCGGCCTGGTAAACTGTTACATAACTATGGAAAATCATCATTTTTCATGGGTAAATCAACTATTTCGACTGGGCCATGGCTTCAATAGCAAACTGTGATAAATTACCAGAGGGTAGGACACTGCCGCTGACGGATTAAACTCCATGGGAACATTCCACAATCCAAAAAATATCCTTTGGAGGGATGAATATCCATGAGTACCAGTTATTTTGATGTAGAAACCATATGAAGCAATGAGTATCGACATTTCAATTATAATTATGTATATATATATATTATTATATTATAATAAATATAAATATACATAAAGTATCATTTGATGTTATTCGTATATCAAGAATCATTGAGACTTACCACAGGCATCTCATCTGCCCCGCAGGTTCAGCGGGTGTTTCGGCCACCTACACCCGGCCCTTTGCACGTGAGCAGCAGGCCGGGGTGCCATAAACCTACCTACCATGACTGAGGCCGACTGGGGATGGTACCACCATATACCCATAAGAATGGTGATATTGAAGATGGTTTTATGATTGGGTTTAACACTCCATGGATCCAAGATCTTCCAAGATCTTCCAAGATCTTCCAAGATCTTCCATTTGGAAACTTGACTGTCATTTTTTTCAGGTCGAGTATTTTCCACAAAAGTTGTATCCCAGCGATATCCTCGGGGCGTGCAAGGCCGCTCACGCAACCGAACGAAAGGTTTGATAGCCATCAGCCATGAATCCATTCCCCCTGACCCCCTCCGGAAAAATAAAACCTACGGTAGTCTTTGTTATTTAGGACAGGTTTAGTAATCGGAAAAAAAGGGAAAACGGGACTATTGTATCTGAGCTGTTTATCTACAATTCCAACTTTGGGTTTTTGTGTTTTGCAGATCAAATTAGTGGCGTATGTGGCGTGGCGACTGCCAGGTTGATTTGTTGGCATTGCAAAGCGCTTCATTTACATTCACAGCTCCTCTGCCGACTTGAGCCATTAAACCTCCCATTTCGATCAAATGGGGACGGTTAAAAAAAAGCAATAAAACTGGTGATTTTGGCGATGGTTTGTTATTGGGTTTACCCTCTGGTAATTTAACATAGCTATTGAAAATGGTGATTTATAGTGAGTTTTCCCATTGAAAATGGTGATTTTCAATAGCTATGTTAGTTTACCAGAGGGTACCACACTCATGATTAGGAAGATGAATCATGATTGGGAATGGCCTGATTTTTTTCAGCCAGATTGATGAGTTCCAACTGTTGATTCTTTATTCAAGTAGGTGCTTTGTTGGGGATTCGGCAAGATTGGGTCGTCCATGGCTGGGTCCCTCACGATAGCTGCTTGGTGACGCACTTTTTGGTGAATTCCTTTGGGTTACCCTCTGGTAAATAAACATAGACCCTGAAAATTGCCAATTTTTAATGGAAACTAGTCTTCCAACCCCTATCTGCCAGGGTCTATGTTAATTTACCAGAGGGTAATGGGTTGATCAAGCCGCTCGTAATTGTGTGGCCTCACCGCACAAAATAAGATAAGTTTGTTCCATGGTATCGACTCGTTTCGCACGACTCGTTTCGTGGAAGACTGTTTTTTTTTCCATCGGTCCATCCATGGCTCTGGACATATCTTCTGTTTGATCCATACTCTCAGCTATATAAAACACATTTAAACACCAGTGTTTTGCTGGTGATTTCAACTATATTCCCCTTCTCATGCTTCTTGTCATCACAGTAGTGGGCGGTTTCGGTATTGTGGCAAAGTGAAATCCACTATATAAACATAATTATACATACGTCTGCTAAGTGTGCCGCATTATATATATATAATTAATTATAATTATATATATATATATATACTCATTAAACAACTGACCATTCGCCATAAAGCTCATTTAAACCAAAACGCATCCACAATATTGAGATCATCTCATTAAAAAACAGATTTATATATACTTATGACATCTCATAGCCGATGCATTATATCATAAATTGCCATGCATTGTGAGTGGTGCCTGAACCACGACGTCGCCCCAGCCGAGGTCCATGCAGTTGGCGCGGCGTAGTCTAAGACTCGACGCGGCCAGGTTGGACGTGACGGGTTTCGCATGACCCAAGCATTGCTGGCAAGATCTATGGTAAAATATGGGATACTATGGGATATATACCTGGTAATTTCCCATACATAGATATGTTGCATAATCCTATAGGATAATATGGTTTACCCTCTGGGAAATTAACAGTTCGACCCTGAATATAACCCATTTTTAGTGGAAACTAATCTTCCAAACCCGATGAATGCTAGGGTCTATGTTAATTTACAGGAGGGTAATTTATGATATGTCCACAAACAACCAATAAACGACGATACCTGATTTCAAATCTTCTTTCGGTGAATATATCCTGAAACACGAGGATGCTTCTTGGGTTTACTAAGTGAGATGGTTGATATAATTTGTCAAGTACTGTACAGTAACTTTTTGAGCTGAGCAACTGGAGTAGTCACTGAGGGAATCAGCATAGTAGTATCACCCTGTTAGGGGTAGTTAGCCAACCAGATATATCAACTGAAACATGTTTCTGCCTTTCTACGTCGTGGATAAGTAGTTGTGGAGTGCCCCAAGAAAGGAACCATTGTTATGCGTTTTTCATACACATGTTTTTGTATCACTAGCACCACGACGTCACAGTGTGTGTGTATATATATACAGTTACCCTCTGGTAAACTAACATAGCTATGGAAAATCACCATTTTTCATGGGAAAATCCACTATGAATGGCCATTTTCAATAGCTACGTTAAATTACCAGAGGGTATATACACACAATCACCCATTGACATTGGGGTATGATCCAAAAAAAAAGGGGTTCAAGCCTGTATATCCCCCATATTTCTGCAAATGAAAATCACTTCGCCACATGAAAATAGTCCCTTCAACCATACTTTGGATAGATCTACCGGTAATCAACTTAGCTGTATCGTCACTCGCGCACTCAGCACTCGCGTGCCAGCACTCGCGTGCTCAGCACTCACTCCAATGCATTTTCCCGGTGTGCATCCTAGTAGATATGTTTATCTTGATTTAGATAGTGGATGCTTTTATTGGAATAGGAAAAATGCATTGGAGTGACGATAAGCATGAGATATCATGAGATACTCATCACATTCATGAGAGCCGCACGAGTACCTCCAAGTGGCGTTGATTTTTTCAACACCCTGAAAGAAATTACCCTTTTGGAGGAAACGGGGAAACCCCAGATGCTTTTTTGGGAAGCGCAAAATGCATCCGGACGTCAGACAGATATTCACACGTTACCGGATGCTTTTGTCACAGAAAAGTAAATGCACCGAGGTATGAATAGGATAATAACACCCCATGCGTTTCGAACTTGCGATTTACTAGCCCTTTAAGGTCTAAAAATTGTATGGATGCTTTTTTCGGATCTAGTTAAATGTATTTACATATATCACAATGCTAAAAACCCACTGCGTGACGAACCTGCGTGCTAGCACTCAGCGTTGCGCGTGCTGCGTGCTGGAGCTGCTAAGGTAATCAACAATGGCAATGGATACATCTACCCCATGTATGTGTCCCACTCAAACCTCTATTCATGGTGGTTTCCCATTGTAATGTTTGATTACTGAAGGGCAACTCGACTGATCCAGGAAATGCAGCCGAAGCTTTGAGCCAGCCGGCTGCCGGTGTTTCATCACTCCGTGTTCTCGCCGGTCAAAATGGCGGATTGCCATGGATGTTTCTGAACACCACCAGGAAACCCCCGAACTTCGCCTTGGACGATGATTTATCGTGCCAAAGCCTTTTTAAGAGGCTGCATTTGCTGGGAAAGATGTCTAACCACTGATTTGAGTGTACCCTGTTACCCTACCAGAATTTCTCAGACAAATCCACCTCAAAGAAAATCTTTGGTTGCCACGTTAGATTTCCAGAGGCTACTACATTTACTTTTCAACATGTTCATGCCTATACTGGTTGGTGGTTTCAAACATTTTTTATTTTCCATAATATATGGGATAATCCTTCCCGTTGACTAATATTTTTTAAGATGGTTAAAACCACCAACCAGGAAACCATTGGATATTGAGGTACCAAAATTTCAGATATAGCCATTTCTGTGGCTTGTGGCTCAAGGATTGGCTCATTTATCATATTTATCATGGAGTTGGAAGAGTTGGATTTGCGGGTGGCACAATTACGAGGCATTGCGATGGCAATTCAAACCTACCATGAAGAGTATTCTGGCATATGTTATCCAAGTTTGTGGGTTGAACTTCACCTGTCACATCGACTGATTTTTGGGTACATGGTATCTCCCCATCAGTGTGGGATACTTGGTAGTATACACTATATCTGCATGTCTCTCTTATATTCATCTGGGTAAATTATAACGACCTCATTGTTCTCCCTCACTGGAATCATGGTTAGTAAGGGGAATCATCCCCTTTTATGGCCTTAATTCAGGTTAGTGAAATATTATAAATTACCCTAATATATATATATACATATATATATATATAATATAGTTATTAACCATCATTAACCATCATCATAACCATTAACATTAACCATTAATTATAATTTACCTAGATTCATGGGAATTTGTTAGTTTCACACTAACACTACTTCGAGATCTTCAGTGAAAAGGCACATCGTGACTTGACCGTAGTGGAGCTTGCTTGCAGCCTCGCATGGCCGGCTGGATATTCCTTCCAACTGACGTGGCTTATGGCATGGCTGAGCTTTTCCAGAGTTAATAGACACTCATTGCAGCATTGGCCTTGTCCTTTTTGATGCTTTTTTTTGAGGATGGTACACCCGCTTTTCTTGAACTAATCATACTGAGTCTTGACACCAATGTTGAGATGGGAATTACATGGAATTACTATTATACGTTATGACACTAAATTTTATGTTTGAGATGGGACTGTTGTCAATCCCTTTTCGTATATTGTTCTTGGGGGATTACACAAAAAGTGACCGGTCAGCTGTTTTTTTTTTGCGGATTGCAGTCTACTTGCAGATGCAAGACATATGCAAAACCCTTGTGAAGCTTGGTAAATCAAACATTTTGAATATGACATATAGGATTTTGGTACTTCAACATATTCAAAATGTTTGACTTACCAAGCAGAACCCTTGTGAAGTGGAATGGTTTGGAATCATATACGGAAGAATCATCGAAGTGGACATTACTAAGCAGTACTAAGCAGTACATTCCATGTATTATTCCAATTTACTGTAATTATATTGAACATCATATTTCCACATTATTCCAAACAATAATCATCATCATCATCATCGTCGTCATCATCGTCATCATCGTCATCATCGTCATCATCGTCATCATCGTCATCATTGTCATCATCGTCATCATATGTCATCATCATTATGATCATCACTATGATCATCATCATCATCATCATCATCATCAGCATCATCATCATCATCATCATCATCATCATCATCATCAATCAATAGTGAAAACACGCTAAACAGCCATGCTAAGCCAGCCAGTGGCTCAGAGATGGCTCAGCCGTTGTTGTTTAGGCATAGTAACTCAGTAACTTACCGCTACTATGATAGGATGGATATGATGCTTAACGTGATCTTAATTTTGAGATGGATCACTTAAATTTCTGTTGTAGCCGTTGTAGCTGGATGTCGAATTTATCGCCAATCTCTTCCGGAATACCCCTGGAAGCAAACATATTTCCTGGATGATGTTGGATGTGTGGCGTGGCAACCTTAAGCCACCGACAATTGAGCAGCGTTCAAAACCCTTAATTATTACTGTACGTAGAGGGCTTTGCTTGGGCTTAAACTGGGAAGCGCCCGCGAAAGCTAAACACCAGCTCGCGAAAGCTGGGCGAAAGCTTGGCGAAGACCTCATGGACAGACACTGTCGCGAAAGCTTCGCGAAAGTGGATGATTGACCGATTTTAAGTAGCAATATATCATATCATTGGTCATATATAATATAATATAATATAATATAATATGATATAATATAATGTAATACAATGTAATATAGAATATAATATAATATAATTTAATATAATATAATATAATATTATAATATAATGTAATATAATATAATATAATATAATATAATATAAATAATATAATATCATATAATATGATATAATATAATATGATATAATATAATATAATGTAATATATAATATAATATAATATAATATAATATAATATAGTATAATATAATATAATATAATATAATATGATATGATATGATATAATATAGTATAATATAATATATAATATAATATAATATGATATAATATAATATAATATAATACAATATAATATATATATAATATTTTTTTGTTAAAAATATATTATTTAGTATATTAAATAATATAATATGATATATACATGTATCACAGGTTGTTTTGATCCCAAATACGGCGAAAACTCCGCGAAAGCAGTTCTGTCAAATGTTCATCGCGCGAAAGCCGGGAGTGTGGTCGCGAAAGCACCGCGAAAGGATTTGCGAAAGAACCATGTGAGTAAAATGAAATACACTAACCCTTCTGAACACCGCTCAATTGGTAGATTAACATCCCACCAAAAATAGACAGTTCTCATTGGCCATTTCAGGTACCTAAACTGGAAGTACTGTACCACATAAAAGAGCCATATATTGCAGGTATATCATATCCCCTTACACAGCCTTTTTCATTTTCTGGTGACGTTCACCAGTTTCTTGCATGTTTCTTGACCCCAGAAAACAAAAAAAACAGCCGCTGTCGGTTCTCAGGACCCGCGGCTAAGCCGCAATGATTCTTGCATTTTTCTGGGCGCTACTGGCAGAACTGTCACTGGAGCTCTTGGATAGACCTTTTCTTTAGTTTTTTTTACAGTTCCAGTACTGTAATCATTACCAAAATGGGAGAATGTACTTGGGAGGCTCGGGGTGGTGGTATCCCATTAATGAAATATGTTTGTATACATACCTGGGGAAACCCTGGATGCGCAATGTAGATTCGTTGAGTACTTCATTCATCTTTGATTCTTTGCCATACATGGAAAAATATCAATCTATTAGAATCAATACTACTCAGTGAGAGAGAACATGTTTTCTTTTTTCTTGTTGCAGGGTCTAATCTATAGAAAGAGAGATATATAACTATAACACATTGTTTGCAGGGTATCGCGGTATACCCATCTTGGCCGCCCATGAGGTCATTAGGTGAGCCCAACACCTGGGTCCTTTGGACCGACCTGGACGGCGCGGACTTTTTTTGGACCTCCAGCAACTGTTCCACCACCGTGGTCCCAGACTCGGGCATCGTGGGGAACACTCCCGCTGTAGCTCCCAGCAATGGTGGCATCAGCGACGCTGGGACCGCTGGGGCGACCGGACGAGGATGTGGAAAATGGCCATGTTTGACGAACGGAGGGTAGATGAAGGTTGTAGATAATGTGGAGGTAAGTTTGTTCGCTGTTTGAAGCAGGGGAGCTAAGATTGACATAGATTCACCATGTTTGATGTTGTTGTTTTTTTTCAATCAAGGAATGATACGGTATGTACAACACATACACATACATACACTTAAATGTGAAAAGGTGAGCTGGAGCCATGCCTTTCGGTTCCATCCCAACATGTGGTCATTGCATGTTTTTTTCGAGGGTGACATCTCACAGAGTGCGATGCTCAATACCCATCATCGCCAACAATCAATTGACATCCCACATCTTATCACATCTTCTATCATTTAAAAAAACGGCAACTGCATCTTCCATCAAATTTACCATCTGGTTATTTAACATAGCCATGGAAAACTCCTGAAATAAATGGTTGGAAAGTCATCTATTTCTATGGGCCATCTATACTTCTATAACATGGCAAACTGTTAGTCATAACCAGAGGCTATTTTTTTAATGCCTGGCAGTCTCAGGATATGATCTTTTTTCCCGACACGCACGAAGTTCTATGGCTGGAGGCCGGTTATTTGATGCGTTCCTGGATGGACAAGACGGAGCGAAGGCTCTTGTGTCAGCTCCCGGGGGATGCGAATGCCACGGAGCTGGAGAATGGCAATGGCACTGGCGCAGCGTTGCGCGAAGTGAAGATGGTGTTGGGGGTTGGGAAAGCTGAATGGTACTGTAGGTTATTATGGTAGGTTCATGATATGACGGTTAAGGATGTTTAGTGATGGTTAATGATTGTTAACGATAGTTAATGATGGTGAATGATGGTTACTGGCTATATGAATGGTGACTTAACATGACTTAACCACGGATCTTGGTCGTACATGCAATTGAGACAATATATACCCTCCGGCAATTTAACATAGCTATTGAAAATGGCCATAGACATAGTTGATTTACCCACTAAAATTTGTGATTTTCCATAGCTATGTTAGTTTACCAGAGGGTGTGTATATATATATATATCATCATTGATATATCATTGATATATATATATGGGTTTCTCAGATGATAAATGATATTATTTTTTCAGAGGGGTTGAAACCACCAACCAGATGTATATATATATATAATTGCAATGTAACAGGACATCATCCCCAAATGGCTTAGTCTTGATGGCATACCGAGTATACCACCGAATCGGCGATTCGGCGATCTCCTAGTCCTCGGGGGAAATCTCCGAGAAGTCAACATTTTTCATGGAGTTTTATTGGAAAATCAATTTTCCTGAACACAATCACTTTCTATTGGAAACTAGTCTTCCAACCCCCATCTGCCAGGGTCTATGTTAATTTACCGGAGGGTAATGGTTTTAATTGGAGATTTTCATGGTTTTTCCAGCCAGGATTGTGCGTTATGACCGGAGGGAAACCACTTGTGAGCACTATCCACACCTTGGCAGTTTCTCCGACATCATGGTGGATGGGGTCCCAAGAAAAAGAGGATTTGTTTTCCAAGTGTCATCATTTCGTCCATCATATGTTGGTTATTAATGTTGGTTATACCTAGCGAGCCTGAACCCTAACATTTTGTAGGTTTTTCATCGAATCCCCGGGTTTTTCCCAAATTTCATTAAAATATGGGTTTTCTTCCAAAAACCCCGGGTTTTGTATATATATGTATACTAAAGGGCTTTTTGGGGAAACTGATCATGTTTCTAAATATATCAATATAATCATACTTAGCCAAACCCTTCCTTGGACAGCCTGCCTTGCTTCAGGTCGCCAACAGGAGCATCCACGATCAAGGATGTATTATGTAAATTCCTGATTTTATATTTTATACTTTCACTTTGCTTATGACCTAGCGAGCCTGCACATTGGAAGCCGCTGATTCCTAAGAACCTGGATGCCTGAGCCCAACGGATGGTGAAAACTTATAAATACAACAATTTTCATTGGTTTGGGTCAGAAGAAATTTGAATTCGGCTTTTTAATTCATGGATGATTCCAAACATGAAAAAAAATCAGCCAAAATCTGGACCTGGAAAATGAATCCAATTACGAACAAACAGGTGGTTTTTGTTTTTTTTTTCCGGACTATATGATGTTTTTTTATGATTTTCAAGATTTTGGCTGAAAATTAAGGGTTGGAAAAAACCGTATTTTCCCGTACTTATCCCGTATTTAACCCGTACAAAACCCGTATTTTTTGATTTTCCTAAAAACCCCGGGTTTTAAAAACCCGTATTTAACCCGTACAAAACCCGTAATTAACCCGTACAAACCCGTAGAAAAAATATGGGTTTTTTGGGCCCCGGGCTGAAGGCCAACAGTAGCGGATTTTTAGGTCCGATTGCTGTTTTGCGAGAAGATGCCAAACCGGCATCGAAAATTAGATGGGAAAAATGGATACAGCCTTCAAATTTACATGGCGTACCGCGGAAAATTAATAAATCATCTCCAGGCACCATGTTTTCTGTAAGTTTGACGGTGGTTCAAATTCGCAGCCTTGTTGGACTGGAACGGACTGTAGTTGGATTGTAGTGAGTATGGCGCCAAAACATGTGTCTACTCGTATAGGGATATTTACGAGGATGAAGAAAAAGTGTGGAGCATTTGGCCAGGGTGCAACGCATCATATGGCATGATTTTGAATTTCTCAAAGATTTTCAAACATTCAGACAGGATTTCAAACAGAATGATCACAAAACGGGAAAGATCATGACAGATCATGGAAATTCAAACATGATGAAAAACATGGCTTTTCAAAACCCCGGGTTTTGATGCAAAACCCCGGGTTTTCTCTCAGACCCTACGATTTCATAGGTTCTTGGTTCCACTGGTATGGTGGTTATTTTAATTCTAAACCCTAGTGTTGGTCATCTTGAATCAGAAAAAAAATGATTTGGATTGATTTTGTTCCTTGCAAAACGAACAAAAAAAAAGGCAGTTTCTGCACCGGTAAAAACCACCATGCAGGTCACGCGTAGCGCAGGTTGGGTCTGCATGGTGAAGAAGGGGCTCTCGCCTGGACGTTTTGGACGTCCAATGAACTCACAGCGGTGATGTTTTTCGCTTCCAAGATGACCAAGAAGTGCCTTGGCGGATGGATGGAGTCAATGGGGATTCAAGCTGCACATCATGATGTTTCCATAAACGGAGGTAGCCCAATAGCTGGATGGTTTATTTCATGGAAAATCCCAATCTATAAATGGATGATTTGGGGATGCCCTCTGGTAATTTGTCACAGTTTGCTATTGAAAATTGCCATAGAAATAGTTGATTTACCCATGAAAAGTGTTGATTTTCTATAGTTATGTTAGTTTACCAGAAGGTATTGGTCAATGGGGATTCAACCTGCACATCATGATGTGTTTCTTCAACCAGTTGGCATGGCAGGATGCAGAGAAACCAAGACCTCAAAATCCTCTGATTTGTCTTGGTGTCCAGCTTTTCCATTTCCCATAGGATCCATCTATGCTATATATGGTAACATTTACCATGAATATACCCCAAATGTTAGCATATATACCATACATGGATCCTATGGGTCATTGGGGAGGCAAATCCCTCGACTCTCGGTGACCATCCATCCAACGTGATTTGCGACCCACGGTGCCACGGGTCGCAGGTTGTGGGTCGCCACTCTCACATCCATCCCGCCCAGAGACGCTTCCCACGTGGGTACTTGGATCGAAGTGATTGGGGCCAGTGTCACAACAAGCGGAGCGGGAGCGAAACCTGTCCTCTTGGCCCGGGAGGGCATCGTTTATTGGACGGATGCTCTGGAGAGAAAATTCAGTGTTTTTCTTTTTAATTTATTTTTTTCGTTCAATGCTTATTTATTTATTTCCAGTCCGAAATGCCAAGATGAAGATGATGAAGTCCCCAACTATAAGATTATCACATCTATACATATCTATATACAGTCCATACATATGAGGTACGGTCAAAATTTTTTGTACTACTTATGCAAGGAGAGTTCTTTTGTGTCTGGACAGTGCACAAAACACTGTGTAGCGATAGGGCCCCCCAAAAGCAATATCTATAAGTTTGCGTAATGGCCACATATGAAGTTGTTTTATTCAAAGTTGTGTACATGCAAGGGGTGAAATTAGCAACGCCCCTAGCGATACCTGAGCGATACCCATTTGTGCAAAAAACAAGCCCCAAACACAAATAAACTCTGTGTTTATTTCCTTTCCTCTCTTCCTTTCTTCTTCCTTTCCTGTTTTCCTTCCTGTTTCTTTTCTCTTTCTTTCCTCCTTTCCTTTTTACGTAGATTTGTTCCTCTCTCTACATAAGTACAAAAAAATGGGTAGTGATAGGGCCCACCCAAAAGCGATACCCTTTTTGACAACGAATCATATTGATAATATTATATACATTTACCATCATTTACCCAACTTTCATGCCCTTTGAATTTCTTCAATGAAGTCAGGGTCCATTGCTGGTATGTGCCATCAATTCCATCGCTTGGGCTCGATCGTCGCAGTGTAGTGGTCACACAGTTCAAGTGATGAATCGTATGTTAAACAGTTAAACAACATTTTGAAAGATACAATCCACATATTAAATATTCTTAAACCACATTTTTTGAGATAGATGAAGCCTCTTAACCGGCTAAAATTAGGCATGGTCCTGTCCACTTTTTGGATCTTTTTGGCCAGCCTTTGCGGGATTTATCATGCCATTTGAGCCCATCAACTGGTTGGCTGTTTATTGCATATTTGTAGTTTCAATCACATCACTCAAACATATCCCCATTTTTTTGTGACTTCAAATCGCAATTCTATTGTTGATATTTGTTGATGCTTGTTGAATATGTGATTTTGTTGATGACATTGATGAATTCTACTCTTGTTGGCACATATTCTGATGCTTTAGTCATCTTAAACCCCTACCTTTTTTCCGGTGGCTCTTCTCCATTTTAATTGAATTCCGCATCTTCATTGATGATTTTGATCCTCCCGGCAAATTCATCATTTCGTGCTTAAATCCCGATTTGTTTCTCTGATTTTCACTTCCTCCCCAGATTTTCTCCATCCTCCAGCCCAGAGGACGCCGACGCCGGCGGCAGCTTCCGGTCCCTGGACGTTCCTTCAGCCCTGGCGGGGGCGACAGCGACGACGCTGGCGCAGCTGGGGGAGGGCGCCTGGGGGGAGGTGCATGTGGCAGAGTTGACCAACGACGGGCGCAGCTCGGATTCATCGGGATGGTCTTTTCGGTGAAAAATGGATGGCTTTGGACCGCAGATGTTCGAGGCTTTCTTTGTGTTAGAATTACCTTCTGGTAAACTGTTACAAAACTATGGACAGATCCACCATTCTTAATGGGAAAATCAACTATTTCGACTGGGCCATGTTCAATAGCTATGTTAAATTACCAGAGGGTATGTATATAAAATATACTATAAGATATACTAAATTTATCAGCATCTAATTATTGGAGTCCACAATTTCGACCCACAACCTTTTTGTTTGGGGGGAACTCATCCGGAATGAGGAAATGATCGTTTAATGGAGATTAATCCCATTTGGGTGTGGCTGAAAATGGGCTATACCCCAAGATAGTAGTTTTTAAACGGTAACATGATGATAAACCATTGGATCTTGAGGTAGTTTATTTTCAGACACACCCATTTAGAAAAAACAATAGATAGTTGTTAGCCCACCCATATCCCATTTGTCTGGCTGAATTAGAACCTCACATCGTCCGCTCAAATTGGATTCAAATTGAGCATCACATATCTGATTTCAGCTATTTTCACAGGATGGGGCCCCCAAGATAGCTAAGTTGAGATAGTTCAGTGGCTTAACTATGGTTTATGATAGATATAGTTACAGTTTTCATGTTTTTTTTCATGGTTTATAAACCAACTTATAACTGAGGGGCCCCATCCTGCAGGTTAGTTAATTATTATAACTAAGCCAAAAAATAATGGGAAATTGTGGAAATTACATTGTTGGCCCATCCCCATACTTGCAGTTGTTTCTTCCAATTCCCTATATCAATTGTTGTTTGTGTCGGCCATTTTCAGACTTTGACCCACAGCCAAATATGAGCCAAGGATTTTTGTGGATTCGACAACCAGCAGCTGAGACCCAGCTTCGTTTGGAATTGATTCTGTCACTGGATGCGCTGCAAGAGGGTCCCACCAGCAATTATGCCACTGGCAACGTCAGGACTGGCATGGGGTGTTTCACCGTTTCTGGGACCCTGGGAGAAAGATATCCCATTTGTTGGGCATATATCGGTATATATTTATAAAATGCCACACCCAATGTGGACCCATACTTACTTAGAAGAGGAGTGGGTTCAAGATGGTGCAATCAGGCTTGTAGTTCGTTTCTGGAGACTGAAAAGAAGTACAAGAAGCTTGGAGACAGAGTTGCAAAATACTGAGTTTATTTGTCATGTTGTTTTCCACCTTTTTCAGACTACGGCTTCCCAGACAAAGGCTTGAAACTTGAAACATCTTGAAACTAACCTTCTCAGACAACACCCAAATGTATACTACAGCGTCCGGCTCACCAAAAGAAAGGCCTACAACATCGCTTAAAAATCATTTCTGCACAATGACTACATATCAGAAACACCCTTTGAAAATCTTTGAAACATCTATAAATCGGAATGTTCCAACGTTCCCTCAAATCCAACCATCTTTGGCAGTGGTTCAGTGCTTCCCTGGATTCCAACATGTTCCAGGACTCTGTACAGCTTCCTGGACGGCGACCAACCCTCTGGTTTAGCAGTGCAGCCAGCCCCAGGCCCAGGGCTGCCATATCGAGGCAACATCACGCAACTGTATCAGCTGCTTGGCGCGGCTGGGGCAAACATGGAACAAATTCTGGCGAAACGGTTTGGAAAATGACACGAAGTTCCGGCGATTGTCATGGATCAGGTTTTAAAATATGGAGAGCACATTTTTTGGTGGATTTACTAGAGGGATTTATATAATATGATTCACCAAGCAAGGGGGGAATTGAAACACCAAACAAGGAGGTAGCATTAATTGGAAGGATCATTTGATGTTAATGTTTGATAACGTTGTTGGTGGTTTCAAACAACAGGATGATAGGCACAAATCAATATGTCCTCTCTAGGGGTTGGAAACCGCTAGCGAAATATAGATAGATGGCTTGAAAAGGACACAAAACTGGATTCATGGAACTGCAAAGTCTGAGAAGTCTTGAATGATTTTACTTCTCCAAATGAATCCAAAACTTGGGATCAATTTCTGGTCGGTTTGGGGCTGAAAATGGTTCCAGACAAAACAAGTCCACGAGGCTCGTGAGGGGATTTCATTAAGCAAATGAGTGGTGTCTTAGCCAATATTGGACATGTTTAACCCCGTCCTGCCTGCTGCTGCTGCTGCTGCTGCTGCCGCCAAAAGGAAGCACGCGTTGGCGCCGCCAAATCAAGAATGGATATAAGCCAGTTAAAGACTTAAGTTAACCAAGAATAGGATGAAATAGGACCTTATTTGGACGACATTTTAGGGCCGACTAGATGCCCAACAACCGCTTTTTGAGATAATTTGCGCCCCTAAATCAGCAACGTTGGCTAACCACAGTGTGACTGCATGTATCGGCAGGGTCGAGGCATACCAGTTGCTGACTAAAGCTTGTTTGGGTCGTTACTGTTTTGACTCGTTTTTGCCAATTTTAAGGAAACAACATACCCAGCTAAACATTGCTTTATTTGATACACTATTATTCATATTATTCCCTGAAAGTCAAATGACTCAATTTACCATTAATTAAGTAGTCATGAAAATTACCATTAATTTACCGTCAATTAAATATTGGATTATCGATGAATAGTCCTTCGTAGTGATTATCCACAATGAACCCAAGGCAAGTATACTGGTCCGTCAGCGGTCCGGACACGCAAGCGAGGATTGATGCTTGGCAATGGGTGCCAAAGCAAGCCGGTCCGGCAGTCAAACATGGCAGGAAAAGCAACTTTACATACAATGTGAGGCCCCCAAGATAGCTAAGTTGGTTTATAACTCCAATAACTATGGTTTATGGTATTTATAACTATAGTTACTGGGACTTATAAACCAACTTATATCTTGGGGGCCTCACATTGTATGTCTGGGTAAATTTATACAACCTCACTGTTCTCCCTCACTGGAATGGTTTTTTTAATGGAAACCATCCCAAAATGGCCCGCAAGATGGTCAGTGAAATATTCAAATTGACCCTACGTGAAAATCATTTGACTATTTCACTAACCAGAAAAATATCTGGGTAAATATTCAAATCTGGAAATATTCAATTTTTTCCAGATTTGAAAATGATGCCAAGGATTGGTGCCGCATGTTGCAGCCAGGTTACAGTCTACGCGGCTACCAGTGAGATCATTTTGGATGACCATCTCCGTTTCCGCTCGATTTTTCTTGAAACCAATCCATTGAAATTACAGAATTTTCTACTTGTACAATTGGAAAGTTCATGTACAAGTTTGTTTGCTCACAACCTTCAACTATTGCTAGTGAAAAACTGTAGTTGTCTAATAGTTTCAAAAAGTGGATAGTAACCATATGTGACCATAGTAATGGATCCAACCATTACAGTAACTTGTATAATTTATTGATTGGAAACTACAATGCATCTGTTACTTGACAATCCAACTGATAATTCTGATATCATTTATCATAATATATTTTCTCTATGGATAGTCAGCACAGTAAGTTGTTCTTCAGCTACCTATAAGTTGGCTTATAACCCCCCTTAACTATACCTGGTTGGTGGTTTGGAACATTTTTTTTCCAAAATATATGGGATTTCAATGGCTTTCATCATCTCAACTGTTACTCACTCCATCATTTTTCAGAGGGGTAGGTAGGTATACCATCAACCAGCATATAGTTATTAACCATCATTAACCATCATTAACCATCATTAACCATTAATATAAATAGTATATTGCCAACCAGAAAACGTGACCCAACGTGACCCACGGTCACCCAGGATCACCTGAACATGGACACGGGGCAAGTCTCCACCCTGACCTACGCCTTGGGCTTAGAACGTCGCGGGGCCGCGCCGGTGAGACCAAGCGCTTTGAGCAGCTTGGCGGAGGCTGAGATGGGAGAATTTCACGGAACAGCCGATATGTTTTGTGGTCAAAACCACCGTTTCTTGTGGATGTTCACTTAGACCAATCCATTGATTCTTTGTGTTTTTGTATGTTTTTGTTGTTTTCCAGGAAACAAGTGAGTCGAGAACCACTTAGAACCAAACAAAACCTGGTAAGCGTGCATCAAAATGAGAGTTATTGAAGCATATCTGATTTTGGCAAAGAATAAGTACAACACTGTATAAATTTTTAAAATGATGTTTCATGCCTCAACAGAAGAACAAGTTGAAACGGAAAGTACGGATCACTTCTTACTGAACCAAGAACAGGTCGTGAAAGTCTGAAAGTTCAACATTGAGATTTGTGGAGTTCAATCTGGGAAACGGGACAGAAACCACGCCGTGTTGAAAACATCTAAAGATATGGGGGTTTCCATCAGAAATGGGGGTACCCCCATTTCTGGATGGTTTACCTCATGGAACATCCCAATCTATAAATGGATGAGGGGTCACCCCATTTCAGGAAACCTCCATATATGAAAACACGAAACAATTCTGGGCAAGTTGAATCATTTGGATTGGATGGACCGAGGCGTCTATCCCATGCCCGGGGTCTGTGTCAATGCCGCTTACCTTCAGACTGGTCGAACTTTGAGAAACATCAGCAGTTGGATGATTCGCTGCATGGGAATCTTTTTTTTTGGAATCTTGGGGTCTCGTTATCCACAATCAAGATCAATCAAGTGGATATAGAATGATATAGAACTAGTTTCTGAAAAAAGTATGTGTCTTTTCAGGTGTGTGTCCATCCATTTTTGCCAACGAAGCGCATTGGACCATTGGCTCCGGCGGGTGAGCACCTCGAGCACTAACTGCTAGAAGACCCCGTTCAGAACGCTGAAAGGACTAAAATTCATATAAATTCATATAAATTCATCACAGAGAAATTGACTGTTCGAACGACTTTCCTCACGTATCTACATTCTTCAGGGAGAAACCTGAAGCCTTTCCATCACTTTCCAGTGCTAAGCGCCCCCCCTTTTCTGGCTCAGCACGCCAGTTCAGGTCGGCTGTCTCTACCTCCGCATTTGGGAAGAGTGCCGGATATGCACCGTGGATCAGTGTGACACATGCTTCCTCGATACCCAGGACCCATGGCCAGTGCGGAGCAAGCAACGTTGTTAAGTGGCTAAGTTAGGCAACTGGGGAAACACACCACCAGCAGCCCAGAAAAAAGGATTGAATAGCAGTGTGTTGCGCATTGCTATGTTGATATGAAATCCAAAGTGTCTTTTGAAGAACCCATAGGATCCATGTATGGTATATATGCTAACATTTGGGGATATTAGGGGTATATTGATGGTAAATGTTACCATATATAGCATACATGGATCCTATGGGGAATTGTTCAATCGCTTTTTTTCGATCGTCATAGATTAATGACACCGAAGAATCAAGCCAAGTACTGCGTGCACGCACGCGAAAGTGACATATCCCAAAACACAATGCAGTGCAAATACTTGCCGGCCTAGGGACAAAGCCGTTGATCCCTGATGACCATGGCAGGACTGGGTGGTGAAACAGTGGTATGCCTCTCACGGCCTCTTCTCCAACTGCATTTGGCTCTGGCCTCCGCAACAGGCGCGGACCTGTAGGATCACAGGTTGAAGCAGCTGATGAACAAGTTCCCATTCTAATGGGAACATCATCAATGGGGGATGTCCCATTGCTACGTTTGATTACTGGAGGCTATCTCCTACTACAATATCCTACAATATATCTCACGAATTGCCTATCAGAAGCATGTTCCATCCGAGAAATGGACAAAAATGGGATGATTATGTAGGTGAAACCGTTGTTTCTCACCAACGCAGCACGGTTTTTCCGCGTGTTTCCGTGTTGACAGGGTGCATGGTTCGTGCGTAACGAAGTGCAACAAGCCAAAGACGAAGGACTTCTGCCAGATGATTTCGTGGCGCAGGACAACGGGACGTGACGGGACGTGACGGGAGCGGTGGCGATTGAAATGGGGGCCCACTTGGAGCAACTTGATGGGGTGAACCGGAATGGAATTCTGCATAATTGAGATTAATATAGATTAATTGAGTGTAGTAGTGTAGTTTAGTAAGGAGATAGTATAGGATAGTCTAGCTATGAACATCGGCAACCTCTACTATATATATATATAATCATACAATTAATATTAGTTGATATAATATATTAGTAATAATCAATAATATATATATATATATTCGAAACTATCCTCGGTAAACACCACTTAAATGCGATGGTCCAAGATTTTCCCAGTTCCAACTGTTTGAGACCAGCAGCCATTGCCATATGATTCTCGTAGTCTCGCCTTAGGATGCATAGATTATGCTTCGATGACTTATAATTTTATATTTATAATACATTTGACATGTGACCAGTCAATCATCACCCATATGTTCCATGGTGCTGAAATATTTACCAACATTTACCCCATAAATCACCCAGTTTTGTAGGTAAATATACTATATATACATGGAGCATATAGGTCATGTTGAATCATTTTCAGGTCCATGTCATTCACATGTTTCTTGGTCGAATGGCTATTGTTGGTCGAATGAGTCAAATGCGGGCAAATTGTGACATGTGTATACGGGTGTATGCCTCTCATTAAGGCCTGGTTGGTGGTTTCAAACATGAATTTTATTTTCCATTTCATATATGGGATAATCCTTCCCATTGACTTTCATATTTTTCAAGATGGTTAAAACCACCAACCAGAAGCTGAAAGGCGTTCAATTTCTGGTCTGATAATTGGGGTTGCTCAACAACCTGTTTGGGTAAATGATAGCCACTTCAGAGGAGAAATACCGGAAAATTACCGTAATTTTACCTTCCAGTAATTTAACAGTTCGCTATTGAAAATGGTCCATTTGTCATTGTTTACCTTTTCAAATGGTGGATCTTTCCATATAGTTTTATAGTTACGCTAGTTTACCAGAGGCTAGTTTTAACAGCACCATTAACTATTCACCATTATTAACATTTATTAACCACTATTAACCATTATTAACCAGTACTAACCATTATTAACTTATTTTACCTCTTGATTTATCCCTTGATTTTTCAGCGAATTCCAGGAGCTGCCTCCCGATGGAGCAACGCCAGTTGGAGAAGCTGTTGCCACAGTGCCATGGCATTTTTTTTATGGGATGTGCATCCCAGGAAACCCGTTATAGCTATATTACAGTTATAAAATGTTATAAACATGTATAATATTTTATAATATAGATTTATAGCATATTTTAACATATGATAACCATTGGGTAACCGTGTGGTCAAGTGGAACAGAGTGGAACCGCTGTCGAATTGGGAAGATATCATTGGCATCAAGGAACCAGAGGTGACGAAAAACCCATGAGCCAGTTTTCTCATAGAGCTCAAGCCAAAAGGGGAAGTACCTGGAGGGTCTAGGTACATTTTGATTATCGATGATGATATTTCTCAGATTGCATGTGTATATCATCGTCATCACTGATAGTTCTGAGTAATATCATTCTCAGAATACATGTCAATGTGTATATTAATCATGTGAGTATCATGAATTCACAGAAACTCAATTGATGGAAAGCCCAGCTGGAACGCTGTCGAGTTCCACTGAGGTTCCTCCAACCAGAACCGCCACCACGGCAACCATCACGTCGACCGTGTCGAGCACCAGCTTCACACAGACGTCGACAACGAGCACGTCGCTGACACTGTCAAGTACCAATCCTTGTGTGGCCATAGAGGTACCGGATGAAGGACGCAAAAAGGTATCGTTGCCAAGAGAAAAAGGAAAAAACAACACGTTTTCAATGGGTTGACTCATTGATTACCCTTGGACATTTTTTTTGGATTATGGATATCACTACGTGGATAGATTGGGTTGTTTGACTTTCAGGTCAACTCATTTGGTAGCCTTTTTGTATCAATGCATGCTGCCCATGTTTATACGCATATCCCAATTTTGGACTTCGCAAATTTGACCCAGATTTCAGTTTGGATATATTCATATACCATCATATACCTGAAAATATACCATTCCACAATTCAACCTGTCCGTCCTTCATTTTCATCAGGAGTGCTTTCAGACCAGAGCTGTAGCAGCATGCTGGACGCCTGGTGTCAGGTGCGGAAAATCGTCCCATCATCATCATATCATCCCTGTGGGAAATCCCGTCGAGAATTACCAGACCTCACCATCTTTTGATCATGGTTCATCTATGGCTAGTCAAAATTCAAGCCCCAGAAGGAAAAAACAGATTTGAGGATTCATGTTTAGTATTAACATAATATTATTAACATTTATTAACCATCTAATCATTGAAATATCCCATAAATTTTCACCGGTAACACAACGGGCTTTCAATCCTCAAACCATGGGGGATTTCTTACCTGCAGAAGTTGGGATCTCATCACCGGTCACCAGCTGGGGATTTCACCTGCGGATAGCCACGTTAGTCGTCAATACCCATATGCAACCCATGGTGCTGGTATATTTACCTACAAAACTGGGTGATTTCTGGGGTAAATGTTGGTGTAAATATTCCATAATATTCCAGCACCATGGGTTGCATATGGGATATGAGTGGTGGTGTGTTTATTGTTGCACCTGAAATGATGATCGGTCCAAGGTGAAAAAACCTACCCAATACTGGGATTGCAACATGAGAATCACCCGAACATCCCCGAATTTCATCAAGTGATCGTTTTGTTTAATATCCCATAGGATCCATGGTGCTGGTATATATGCTAACATTTGGGGTATATTGATGGTAAATGTTACCATATATATAGCATACATGGATCCTATGGGTATGATTTCCTGTGATTTCCGATATCTTCCGATCATGTCAGAAAAAAATCCTGGAAAATCGTCAATTTGCGAACTAAACCTGCACTAATTCTCCATGTACCCTCTGGTAAACTGACATAACTATTGAACATGGACCAGTCGAAATAGTTGGATTTACCCATTTACATAGCATGGTGATTTAAGATTTAAATAGTTATGTAACTACCAGGTCGGGTAGTACAGGATGGTACCCCTCAGTTATAAGCTGGTTTATAAACCATTATAAACCCCATTAACTATAGTTATATCTGCCATAAACCATAGTTATGGGAGTTATAAACCAACTTAGGTAACTATGGGGCACCACCTTGTACACATTCCTGGAATAATCAAGTCCCCACAGGACTCCGAGAATCGCAACATCAATCGCTCCACGCTGGCACCGCAATCCTTGAGACGGGACTGTGCGACATATCCCTGGAGCTTCAAGGACTTCACCACGACACCTGAAAACCCGGGGGGGTAAACGCGGAACGGCGTTACGTTATGACATTTTTCATGGGGAAAAAGAGGATTTTTCAGATACCCATATGCAACCCATGGTGCTGGTATATTTACCTACAAAACTGGGTGATTTATGGGGTAAATGTTGGTAAATATTCCAGCACCATGGGTTGCATATGAGATATGAAACATTGGAATTTCATGTACCAAATGTATCCCCCAAAAATGGGACAAGACTTTGTATCCAAAGCTTGCTGAATGACCTCATCATAAAATTCTGCTTCGGATGGTTGGTGATATTCTTGGAAATCATGGGGATAACATGGGTTAACAATGATGGTTACTCATGTAACATCATGTAACTATGGTTCTTAATGATCAATCATGATGAATCATGGTCAAATAATTGTTACATAATGGGTTACTAATGATGGATATAGCTATACTATGCTATACTTATAAACATCATAAATTGGGAAGTAATTAGCCCCTATAATTATGGTTATATGTCCACTGATAACTGGAACTGCACCCCGAAGTTCCCTCACATATAACTCATTCAAAGTTGGAGCCTTGGTTGCGACATCATGAAACACTGGTTCTTTGATGGCTTTTTGTATGCTCGTACTAACCCCTTCGTATCCCTAGTTTGGTCGCTGATAGCCTCCGTTCAATTCATCCTCACATTTTTCGATGACTAAAAACCGCTCAAAGGGACCCGGATTTCCAGCCTGCCAGTCATCAGCCAATATGTTGAGACTTAAATCATCTTTAATCCCCATTCTTTGCTGTTGCAATCCCAAACTTATGCTCTTGAACATGATATTTCGATCGTGTTCATCAAATTTCTCCATATGGTGCTCATGGATGTCTATTGCGGGTAAAATTCCAATGAAAATCATGAAAACTATGCTACCTTCCCTGTCACCAGGAGCTCTGCGAGGCCCGCAAGCTGAATTCCGAAGCCACTCAGAGCGACAGCTGTGGCGTTCCGCTGTGGAGCTACGTCCTCTTCGCAGCAGGCGGGAGATGGTGATTTCGAGGCAGATTCTTGCCTATGATCTTAGGATTAATGATATTGTATACACGTAATATATATAATAATATATATATATAATATAATATATAATATATAATAATATATATATATATATAGTATTGCTATATATATATATATACATGACTCATATGTATATATATATACACATATATGTACCCTCTGGTAAATTAACATAGACCCTGAGAATCGCCAATTCTTAATGGAAACAAATCTTCCGACCCCTATCTGGCAGGGTCTATGTTAATTTACTGGAGGGTATATATTATATGATTGTGTACAGTGTATATATATATATGTATATATATATATACACCTTCCAGCAAATTAATATTTGATACAGTTTTTATATTTACATGTATTCCTTCAAATATATGATGCAGTATATATTGTATACAGGGACCATTAATATATGATTTTCTATACAGTTGATGGTCCCTCCTACCGCTGTCGAGGTCTGGCCCTGATGTTGGCCGTCCTGGTGCCCTTGTGTTGCTACGCCATCATGAGGCCCTTTTTCGTCGTCGCCAAAAGAAATACGATACATGACATACATTGACTTACTAGAATATATGAATATATAAATATAGTTATATAATCATATATTCTAGTATGTCAATGTCTATATATATATATATCTTGTCTCATAATATATATATATATCCCATAGGATCCATGTATGCTATATATGGTAACATGTAACATCAATATACCCCAAATGTTAGCATATATACCAGCACCATGGATCCTATGGTATATATATATATAATATCATGATGTTTAACATCATCAAAATTATGATCTACAAAAACCTCTACCTTTTTCGAAATCTCATGATGAGGCGAGCCCAGCCTTCGCGTGGACATCGTGGCACTGGGACCATCAGTGGCCTGCGCCATGCAGCGCGCGAGGCCGACGTTGGAAAAACAGGTACGGCCGGATGGAGAGGTGTTCGGGAACGGATGCGGAAGGACATTGGAAAAACATAGAAAAACATACAGGATGGTGCCCCCCAGTTATAAGTTGGTTTATAAACCCCATTAACTAGTTCGTTATATCTGCCATAAACCATAGTTATGGGAGTTATAAACCAACTTAGCTAACTATGGGGCACCACCTTCGTAGGAACAACCATAGAAAACGAGAATCACATGGGAAATTTGAAAGCTATGATTCAAATGAGTCGTAAAACACAGATAGTATCCACTTAAGTTATAAGTGGTGAATTGTGGTGATGTGGCCACGCTACCAATGCACAGGCCCTTTTGAAGACTCGCAGAGTCATTGGTGCTGCAGACACTGGACACGATATCTAAGGAGCCAAGGGTGTGGGGGATGTTGGATGACAGCCAGGCATAGCCAGGCCGCCCCCTCGAACCAGCCAGTTTCATGGTTACCCTCTGGTAAACTAACATAGCTATTGAAAATCACCATTTTCAATGGGAAAATCCACTATAAATGGCCATTTTCAATAACTATAATTACCAGAGGGTAGTTGCTATCAATTTGATCTTTTTGACCCATGCTGAAGAGATCGAAATGGGTGAAGCAAAGCAAACACGGACACGTGCGGAAAATTTGCCATGTGAAGCAATGTCAGAGAGAGATTTTGTCCCAGAAAAGGAGAGTAAATGCTGAATTTATTGGAGAAGTCATTGCAAGACTTATTGGAGGTTTCCTAAACTAGGGGTACCCCTAAATCATCCACAATTAGTCCGTTTTTTAGTATTGAAACCTCTGGTTTTGGGGTATCCACCATTTTAGGAAACTTCCATATACCCAACATCCCAACCCCGAAGCCATTGCCCATCAGTTTCCTTGACTTTCGGCCGCCTTTTCTGCAATGCATTTGGACAATCCATGTGAAAAACTGGTGATCTCAAACATGTTCGAATTGCAATTCCATTCGGAACAGCTATCCGAATTATTAATTGGCTATAGTATGCGAAAAAGTAGATACTAGCACGACATTACAGCAATATATTAAAAAAAACACATTTTCGGGTTCCAGTAATGATCAGCTTGAGAAGGAAGCGATCGGAGCGATCCAGTAAGTCCACAGAAAGCAAAGCCTCTTGGCGTTGGATTTGATGTTTCTATCTGGGGGTGACATCTTGAATCTGGTTGGTTGTTTCAAAGATGAATTTTTATTCTCCATATTTTCCATATTTTCCATTTCGTACATGGGATGTCATCCGAAACCCATTGACTCATATTTTTCAAGATGGTTAAAACCACCAACCAGGAATCATTGGATACAAAACAACCCTCCATGCACAGAGCGTCCCTGTGTTGAGCTTGAACCCTGGGGTTCACGGCATTTTTTTTACTTCACCGAAGTTTCACGACAGATCCGGAACTCTCACAGAAATTGCATCCCTTATATGTGATGGTGTGTGGGCGTTCAGACTACAATTCCTGGTTGGCTGTTTCAATAAAGTTGCACGTTTCACAAATGAGATGATGATCCAAATTGATTTTCATATGGGTAGCTGAACCACTAAACAGGAAATTAGAGAAGCTTGTCCCAGAGTTGGGAAATGTTGGGAATATCTTTGGTAAGTACCTGACATTTCCTAGGAACTAAAAAGATTTTTGCATCGCTGGTTTTGGGCAGTTCACATGGATCACAGTTATGGCCCTTTACCAGTTTTAAGTCAGTTGTAACATGTAAAAAAATAACCACATTTATAACATGTTATAACCATGTTTTAACATTTATAACAATTTTTTTATGGAATAATAACCACATTTATAACCATTTTGTTGGCCAGTTACAAGTGGTTTAAATCGGGCCTTTTTTCCTTGGAAAAACCCGTCCAGGTGAACGACGATGAGAGGCGAAAGAGCTGGGAGGCTGGAGACTCAGAGAGCTGCCGGCAGATGGCGGCAGTTTTGCTGATATAAAACATACGTTTTTTTTAAGGAGTGCATCCCGGTTGTATCCCTAATGACGTATAATCTATTGTGTAATATTGTGTAATATCGGGTATATATATATATATGTATCATATATATGATATATATATATATATATGATGTGTATCTATATATATATATAAATACAACATATATCGACATCATATATACATTCATATACACATGTTGATAGTGCATGTATACAGTATACAGATAGATGGCATGCACATATATCATACTATCCACACATATCATACTATGTAATATGACATAACATTACATCAGATCAGACCATATCAATCTGTCCATTCATCCGATCTACATACCATATCATATCTATCCATACAATTTACATACGTATCATCAAAAGAAGTTTAGTTGGAACACTTCCGAGTTACGGACGATGGTCATGGTTAGCATTCACACCATCATGTCAACCACCAATCATCAAAAGTTGGGAAGTTTAGCAGTTCGGGAGCTGTGAATGCACCGGTGAAAACACTTTTGGGCGGGAATCAGGGTCTCTGTTTCCGCAGGTTCAAGCCTCGATCTGGGAAAGTTGTCCACAATTGGCGGTCTCGGAGCACCTTTGGAAGTTGAGGGCGGAAAAATGCGCACGGGACTGCATACCGAGAGCTCGATTTCACAAAAGAAAATCGCAGAACAATGGCCGGAGTCGCGCCGGATTTGTGTGGTGAATTCCGCACTGTTGACGCTGCACGAACGTTGGTCGATCTGATGTGACGTTCCTGCTTTTCGGGTTGCAACCGGCTGTGACAAAAAAATGCATTGACACGGCCGCAGCGCAGAAAATCCGCTGCGATGCTGCGACGCTCCTGCTTTGTGGGATTGCAGCTGAGGTTGCTAAACGCATTGAACGGCTCCGCGCCCAGATATGAGGCTGCTTAAAGAAGCAGCTGAGAGAAGAGGTATACCTCAGCGAAGAGGTCGCTCAGTCAAGAAGTAGCTCAGCACCCACTCATCCATCCATTCATTGATTCGTTCATCTGATCATGTATTGATTCATTGAATCAGTGGTTCACATGTTCCTTGACCCAATGACTCATTGATTCATTGGCTCGTTGACTTTTTGCATCAGTGATTCGCTGATTCATTGATTCGTTGGTTCAGTGGTTCATTGGTTCATTGACTGTTTGATTGACTGACTCATCGGGTCATTGCTTCGTTGGCTCGTTGTTTCTTCGATTCATTGATTCATTGGTTGTTGATTCATTGACTATTTGTTTTTTTGATGCATGTCTTCATTGAACCGTTGATTCATTGACTGGTTCGTTGATTCACTGCGTGATTGACTGATCCATCGGTCCATTGATTCGTTGAGCTGAGCCGTTGATTCATTGATCCATTGCATCATTGATTTACCGATTAAGTGTTTCATTGGTTCACTGGTTCATTGATTCATTGGTTCATTGATTCACCTACTATGCATATATATATAAATAATGCATTCACGTATTGATCGTTCCATCTCCCGAGACAACTACGAAACACCTAAATCAAACACAAAATCACTACCATACTTTACATGGGGCAAAGGTGCCTAAATTTTCACAATCAGGGCCGAGGCCTTCGAGAGTCCTTTTTTTGGGATTTTTTGGGTATGGAACTCACATTCAAGATGGATGCCAGTTTTTTGATTTATAGCTGCGCAGTAGTAGCTAGAAAAGTCTCACATGTGGGCGGGTATGGGTCAATACCTGTAGATACATTTTTAGTGGGATGAACATCCATTTACCAGCTATTTTGGGGTTCACTAGGTACCAGGGTTTTGACCCATCCCCATGTTCTATCCGTTTCTATCCGTTTCACACCTCGATTCGTCGCTGAGACCATTGGCCTTTGCGACGTTGATGCGGTCAGATCCAGCAGATCTGCCGCATCCAACGAGCTTGAGACCGAGCCGACCGAACCGGAGACAACGATGAGCATTGGCAGTCCTCGGCGCTGGGAACCCCAGATTTCCATCTGAATTTTTTCAGCGCATTGGTTTGGAGATCTGTGAAGGCTAAAAGTATTTCGAACCAAACATGGGGGTTTCCATAAATGCTGAGAGCCAAAAATGGTTGATTTAGAAGGGAAATTCCTCTGAAAATGAATGATTTAGGGGTATATTAGGAAAGTTCCATATCAATTGATCTGGTTTGTTTTACTTATATGATGTTACCCCTAGCTGCCAGCTTCCAATTGAGGCGCAGATGAGTCAGCCGGGTTCTGAGATCAAAAAAAACTGGTTCTTGATGAGTTGGGGCTGAAATTGGGGTGAAACCATGGGTAAAAACCATGGTAATAAGCACCATAAGTTAGGATCCAATTCCTATAACAATGATTAATTATCTGCTTGGTGGTTTGGAACATGAATTTTATGATGTTTCATGTACTGGGAATAATAATCCCAACTGACTTTCATATTTTTCAGAGGGGTTGAAACCACCAAACAGTTTTGTTTTCTTTTCATTGGAACTGCAATCACAAGTATCCCTCTCAATATGTTGGGATATTTTGAAGGATTATCATGGCCAAAAGTGGGAATGGCAATCCCTCTCAATCATCCAGTCTTGGTCTTTCAGTTTCTTAGAATCCTCAACATCTCCAGTTTTCACAAAGCATGTTGATGGTCTTTGTACAGTACATGATGGTTGTATATATATATATAATTTTCCATTACCATCTTTCCTGATAAATGCATGTATGATTGTCATTCGCCCACCTCAACAATTCGATGGTGAAAAGTTATCCACCATGGTTGATGCTTCACATTTAAACACATTCATGAGCTCCATCAAACCCCAGATCAATTGAATCAATGCCTGTAGGTTCATATATTAATAGTGTCGTTCCCGGCCCATTTGTTTCCACAAAAAGGGGTCAAATGTGAAATCAATATATTCCATCATGTTCAATTTGAACATGCCCATCTCCTGATTGTCATTCCCAGCCCAACTTGTTTGTGGTTGTCATATGTTGTCATAATTATCTAAAAAATGTAAATAGAGAGTATTTAAAAGTCATCCACTTTTTTTTGTGCTCAAAAGCCAACAAATGATGCAATCATGTGGTAAAACAATAATAAACCATCCCCCAAATCACCATAAACCATTCCCAAATGGGTGGTTCATTACTGTTTTACCCACATTGGCATCCCGTAGAAAACTTCCGTAGAAAACCACCGTAGAAAATCCCACCGTAGAGTCGTCCACCTCAGCGAGGTGTCCAGCTCGACTGGGGATCTTCAGCAAATCCTCAAGGGCACCTGGCAGTTCTCTGACGAACACATGGGTGATCAATGATGGTGGATAGATGTAGACGAACACGCACACACACATACGTCTATATATATATACATATACATATATATATATATACATACATGTATATATGTATATATATATAACATGAATATACAAATGGATGATCCATCAGTAGATGATTCCAATGGTTTAGAGGCCATTTATTGATTGATCAATGGATAAGCTATGGATAAACAATGAATAATGATACATTGATAAATGAGTGATACATTGGTAAATCATAATAGATCGATACTCATTAGTTGCATAGATGATTGCAATGGTTGATTACCTTCGTCAATCAGCCAAGCCGATTTGCCATGAACTCAGATAGCTTGATTGAAAATTGACCGATGAAACCAGTTTCAAAATGGACAATAAAAAAACAAACAAAAATGTAGGACATGTTCAAACACGGTTTTTTCAAGCAGAAAGAAACAACATATAGCTTGAGTAACCCCCAAAAAGATAGTAACCTGTTTCCAGGATGTGAATTAACCACTTTTCTAGCTTTTTGGTGGGGTTTTTAAAATCATCCCAAATAGGAGTAGACCATATCCAACAATAAACCACAATTGGGGAATTGTTTCTTATAGCTTAATCCATTCTTCCTATGACTAAACATCCTCTAAAGAACACAAAAACGAAACATATTGTTCGTTTTGGGAAATTTCAGATATTATTTTGATATTTAATTCATCCCCTTTAGAAAACAATTTAAACGTCAAGGTCCAGTTTGACGGTTTCACCCCCTATAATAATAAAAACTAGTTGACCCCAGGGTGGTTTATTAGGGTCTGTGTTTTTTTAAATAGAGGTTTTACATTTAATCTTAGGGGAGAGCTTCGAAATCCAATTTCTGGCAATATGTTTATTAGATGTTATTTTTTTTTCGATTTTGAAAGCGAACAAATTTCAGTAGTATCTTTTTGATTTTTAGTTTTTGAATGAATATTAGGGGCAAGTTTCTCACCCAAAATACGAAATACACCCCAATCAAAACTAGCCATGGGTTTTATCATTTGGAAGGTTTAGCATGGTTTAGCTATTTAGGAAGAAGGGATTCGAAGAGAATGAAAAGCAACAATAATCTCAACGGATTGGCTTAAGGGAACATTTTAACCGGAAACCATCGATTTTCTCATGAAATGTATGAAGGTTCTAGTTTTTTTCTTAAAGCAATCCATTGATAATCTATTCCCCCAATTTTGTTTGACATTTTGGTGACATCAGGCCTGGCATCAGCCTGTCCAGTGCTGCGTTGGCCGCCGGGCGCTTGACCAACGCCATGCTCGGAACCTGGGGAGCCCCCGGGGACCATGGGCTTATTACCAATTTATAGCTGGGTTTATCAATGGCTATCATATTTATTGCTATAGTTGATGGGATACCCATATGCAACCCATGGTGCTGGTATATTTACCGTTATTTACCTACAAAACTGGGTCATTTATGGGGTAAATGTTGTGATTCATATTCCAGCACCATGGAGCATATGGGATATAGGGGTTTATACATGTTTATAACCCAGTTATATATATATATGTGTTCCCACTTAAGTATATCTGCATAATAATATGAATATCTATCTATCTATCTATCTATCTATCTATATATATATGTCATGAACCACTTACAAGGTGAAGCCCCGTAAGTTAACCAAACTATGTGCGTCAACTTAGCTATCGTAAGTAGGGGGCCTCACCTTGTACCCACTGGTAATCAAACATGGGAATTGAACATCTATCTATATTTTTTTTTTCATGGGTAAATCACCTATAAATGGTGGATTGTCCATTGGTATGGTACCGGAGGGTTTTTACATGGTGAGACATCTCAACGAACATTGAGCAGATGGCAGATTGTGACTTTTAGTAGCCTATATATATATATACATAGACAGGATGGGGCCCCCCAGCTATAAGTTGGTTTATAAACCATTATACACTCCATTAACTGTAGTTATATCTATCATAAACCATAGTTAAGCCACTTATATCTCAACTTAGCTATCTTGGGGGCCGCATCCTGTATAGTTGGAAACCTCATTGCGGATCAGTGTGGCTTGCGATCCCCCACGGATTGCACCTGCTGCTCTGTACATCTCTTGGAAGCATCACAACTGACTTTAGAAACTCCCACAAACCCTAGAGGTGTTCCAACGGAAAGAAAGTAGACAGATCTATTTTCTTGGAGGCATTGATAGCACACACACACACACACATATATATATATATATGTATAATTATAAATATATATATATACATTGCTCATCATTGTTCTGATTTTGATTGTCAGACATATTAAAACAATTTTACATGCGCATTTTTTTCTAGAGAAATCTCCACGTTCATTGCGGCTTTAAGGCAGAAGTTCATGTCCTCCACACGCCAGGCCACCGGGTTGGGTGAACGGAGCGTGGTGGTTGGTTGTACGCGAAACACGAAAAAATGTGACGTATGTGAAAGCAAAACATGTCATTTAATTTCATGGTATTTCATGGTTAACACCATGATTCATCTGAAATACCAAAAAATCAGATGAACATGAAATACATGAATCGTAAAACATTGTGCAATCGAATACACTCAAAAGGTAGGAAGTCATATGAAATCCAGTCGGTGAATGTGATGTCCAAGTATCTGAATAGTCCCTAAATCTGCCCCCTATCCTTGTACTCAACCCTTCGTGCACTGGCTGTCATTCTGAGGCTGTCATGTTCTTAAAGGTACCCCTTTCTACAACGTCAGGTTTCTCAAATTGCTATCTCCAAATCTCAAAGCAATCTCTTTTATTTCACATTCCCTTGGACACGGAGAAACCGTGGTGGTCTGTATGGTTTTTCCTAGGTTGAAGCAGGGCAATGGAGATTTGCCATGTCTGGGACCCCCAACCCTTCCATATCCGAAAGCAAAGAGTTCATTCCTGCCGGCGTCAGGGCGACAAATGGCGACTACTGCACGATGTGGAAGACATCCTACGAACCCTCGGCAGTGTTTCTTAGCTACAACTTGCGGGATTACCATCTGGTTATTTAACATAGCCATGGAAAACCCCTTATAAATGGAGGTTGATGTCGCTGGGAAAACATCTATTTCGATTAGAGCCATCGAAAAACCATGGCAAACTGTTAGTCATAACCAGAGGGTAAACTTCCATTAAATCCCATTAAACCACAATTTTCCTATGGTTTTCCTTTGGTTTTCCATAGCTATGTTAAATAGCCAGAGATTTTCCACAAATCAACCACAAACCGAGCGCCAGTTGATTGAGGGTTACCCATCGGTCCCAGGTTCAGGGGGATGGGCCCTTCCCCCGGTGAATAAGAGGCACCATTCACCACGGGTCGGGAGATAGAAATCAGCACTGTAACCTGTTGTTATGTATGGATCAATTTATGTTATGTAGCTGTATTAATATACATATATATATAATTATATATAATTATATATATAATTATATATAATATTATATAACTTCGTATTTATATACATACATATTCATATGCAGTATACATACTAAACTTTGCGAGGCGCCATTTGGATCTCATCCGTGCTCCGGCGCTCCGCGCTGCGAGGCCCTCCCCGGCAATTTGCGCAGCACTGCATGGGCATGGCGGGTGAACTCAGCGGGATCCTGGAATCATGGTGAAATCATAGAAATCATGGTATATACCATCTGGGTAATGCTTAGGTTTTGGGGTAACTATCCCAAAATAACCGAACACTTCAGGTGAGTGAAATATTCTAATTTATGTATGTCAATTTTCAAGATCTCTTCAGGTTTGACGTGAAACTACGTATACTAAAAGGAGCTGTCAGCTGTCCGAGAACATGTCACCGAGTACAAAACCTATTTGGATACTGGAAATGTTGGTCAAGCTACAGCTAGTGAATGTGTTGTCACTGGAACATCAATATCCCATTTTTCAATGCGATATGTCAAGGGATAGAAGTCACTCACTATCCATTGACCCTTTCTGTAAACAAAGATGACAACGGATTGTCCTCTTTTACAAATACGGACTAGCTCACGGTGGAGATTAAGGTTTTTCACCCAGTCATGTTTGATGACTGGAGGGCCTTGTCCAATGTTCATGCCCAAGACTAGGAAGACAATCTCTATTGCACTGGTATTCTTGGCTGGCGATTGATATTGAACTCCTTGGAGCCAGGAATTCTGAGTATCTATCCCCTCGAAATGAGCCAGCCCAGTTGTCCAGTTCCCATGTAGAGGAACTCTGCATGCTTTCCACAATATCAAGTTGATCATCGGTCGTTCGAGATGGGCTTAGGCACTAGCTCAATGTCAATAAAAATTGATGATCCAAATGGTTACCCCAACAAAATGACTGGGAAGTTGAAACAAACTTGATCTTTGGGAAATTTCGGGAATTTAGCTGGCTCATCAAAATATTTCAGAAGTGCTTAGCAGTGTTGCTATATATATATACACATATCTGAAGTAGATTAGCTACTATACTAGAATTAGCCCATATACTCTTTTAAACATGTACACCCACTTATAAACGTACCCCATTTGCCTCATTTGACCATTTGGATCCATTTGCTGGGTATTGAATCTCATATTATCATACCCGTCATCCCCAAAAAGAGGTGTATGGGTTTCCGACATTCCTCAGTAGGTCAAGTAATATAGATCATGATATGCATCAACAATATTAGCCACTTCTCCACTTCTGAAACGGTTTGCAATAATTGCCCAGCCAAAATTAATTCCAGTAATATTCTTGTGACATGTCTATGACCCTGTTGACCCTGTTAGCCTAGTTTCCAGGTTGGAAAAACATGTCAAAATAGCTGTAAGATGGACGTTCATCCCCCCATTCACAAGGTACTCTCTGGTAATAGGTAAATCGGTGTAAATTGTCATTTGTCATGGGCAAATCATCAAATTATATATATATATACATATTACTATATATTATATTATCTATAGATGGGCCACATTCCATAGCCATGTTAAATAAAGGGTAGACTATAGGTGTTCTCCCATTCCTGATTTCAGGCATCCCCAAGTTCTGGATTTCAGGCACGCGCGCCAGAGTGGTCGGCTTCACCGTAGCGAAGCCTTGCATGCAGCGGAAGAGGAGGAGCGTGGTGACATCACTATACCCATGACGGATCCATCTATGCTATAGATGGTAACATGGATCCCATCAATATACCCCAGTCATGTTAGCATATATACCAGCACCATGGATCCTATGGGATATGATACCCTCTGGTAATTTAACATAGCTATGGAAAATCACCATTTTTCACCATAGGATCCATCAATATACCCCAGTCATGTTAGCATACAATTATATACCATACATGGATCCTATGGGTAGATGAAACGTGTCTATGAATAGCGTGTATCAAATACTCGAATATGCTCCGAAAAAACGGCAAGACCCTTTTTGGTTTTCCCGGACTCCCAACGAGCGTCCGGGCAAACCATGATGATGATGATGATGATGATTATATACTTGTTCCATGGGGTGGTAGTTTTGATCCCTTGTTGAAGATCTTCCATTAGTGCAATAGGTGCAGGGGGTGGGAGATTTGATCCCCTATAGAAGATCTTCCATTAGTGTAATAGTTGCCCGGGGGGATATTTCATCCCCTATTGAAGATCGTCAATTAAATGCAATACGGGGGTGGTTAAAGAAAACATATTGTTTTTTACGCTATTCTGTTCTTGGGCAAACCTCGGGGTCTGTGTGTACTAATAGTATAGCTGCTACTAATGGTATATCGAAGGTCACTCCGATTATAGATGATTATCATGGATAATTATACAAAGTGGGCCCCTCCTAGTTACCTTTGTCGGCTTATAAACCTTACAGTATCAACTACAGTTATTTGCGTATCAAAAACCATCGTGACTCGTGACATAGTGAAACTGGAGTTGTGCTCACCAAGTTAGCTATCGATATGGGGCCCCCACATTGTACCGAGAAGATCATGACAAACATATGCCCACATTCAGTTCGTTTAAAGTTTAAAGCGTTTGAAACAGCATGTGTTTTTTTGTTATCTGGAGAATGATATGGCCCAATGAGATAAACACAGAGTAAGGCAGCAAACTTTGGGGACCCACGGTTGCTTACCATGCCTCTTCCGCAGTTGTTTTGTTTTTTAAAAGAACATATCATTTGTTTTTGCCACAATTCCTCTGATCGATCAACCAGATTGGTTGCATCATTATGGTTAACCTTTTTGGTTTGAACATGTTTCACAATAGGTCCCAGTAAGGCAAATCACATCACTCCTCCGTATTTGATAAGGAAACATATGCTTTCCTGTTGATGTTCTCTTCAATATCTTTAGACGATCCGTTGAATATGAGAAAATTGCCGGGCAAAAACATGTTTTAAGGAAACAGCTGATCCACTTCCATTGCACAACATATCCATTTTACCCATCTGTTAAAAATACCTTTGAGGAATTACCCAGTCCTCACTCTGAGCTCGAAATTTTTCACCAGGCCAAGTCAATTGCTGAAGACTTTCGAGAGGAGCTGAAACATAGGGTATTTGAAGCCGCAAAACATAGCGCACTTCAGCTAGCCAAAACATGGTGCCAGTGATCTCACACCTGAGGACACCTGCTGAAATCGGCAGGAGAGTCCTCCTCGAAATGGCCATTTCCTCAACGCAGACCCAAGGGAAAACAGGTTATCCAGACAAAAAAAGGTCGCCTGACCCCAAAATCATTTTTGTTGAGGTCTGTCACGTGGGAATTTCATGTTTTTATTGTTTGCGAGGTTTTCCTGGGGCGGCCCATGTTTAGTTTGCTTTATAGTTACGTTTTTGTTAGCCCCACACAATTCGCTAAGCATTCACCATCATTCACCATACGACAACTCCAACAGACCCCTGGAGCCACATGCCATTTGAAGAGGCTTCATGAAAGGATTCCTTTTCTGGTTGGTGGTTTAAGGAACCATGGAATTCTATGACTTTCCATATATTGGGAATTTCATCATCCCAACTGACGAACTCATATGTTTCAGAGGGGTAGGTATACCACCAACCAGTTTTATATTGCAGTTTTTGAAGGGACTTGTGGGTATGCTCCATATGTATGTTCAAAACATATTTTAGACCTATACAACCATATACAGTTTGCACATAGAAAATGTGTTCTATCCATATATATATATTATGTATTTGTACAGTTGAATACACAGAATTCCATTGTCTATGACACTATATACATATATGGAATATATTCAATATATAGGTATATATCATATATATATATATACATATGCATATACACAATGTGTATATAATATATATATATAGCATATACTAGTTTGGGTAAATTAGAACGACCTCACTGCGACCTCTTTGGAATCATGGTTAGTATAGGGAATCATCCCCTTTTATGGCTGCAAGTTTCAGATTAGTGAAATCATGAAATTTAGACTAGTGAAGTATACAGAAAAACATACAAGGTGGTGCCCCATAGTTAGCTAAGTTGGTTTATAACTCCCATAACTATGGTTTATGGCAGATATAACTATAGTTAATGGGCTTTATAAACCAGCTTATAACTGGGGGGCACCATCCTGTACTTATCTTCACGAGTGATTTCTGATAGCAGGACTTATCTTCACGGCTGCAAAGCGGCGTGCGACTCTTAGAGGTCGCAGCCCTGACAGGCGGGGGCCCGACATTGTCGACATGCGAAAGTTGTGATTGACATGGGGTGTTTAATGGCTGTTTAATAGTGTTTGATCAGGGGTTGGTAAATGTCCTGTTTTGGGGATTTTGAACATCACTTTCAAGTATTTGTTGGTGATTATATCCCCAATAGTTGGGTGATGTTCAATTAGGACATTTACCAACCCCTGTTGATAGTGTTTAATCAATGGATGTTGAATGGCTGCTTGATGGTGTGAAAAAAAAGTCGTGTTTAGTGGTATAACCATATTTATAGCTGTTGGTTTATAACCCTCATTAACGATAGATATATCTACTTAGGAAAGTCCCAGGCCGCCTCAGGCCCACGGAAAAGTACCTTAAGTGCCATTTTAGTGCAACCAGGCACCATTAATTGTGGAATATACTACCCTCCAATATATTAACATAGACCCTGAAAATCACCAATTTTTAATGGTTTCACTAGTCTTCCAACCCCGATGACTGCCAGGGTCTATGTTAATTTACCAGAGGGTAGCCTCTGGTTATGACTAACAGTTCGCCATGGAAAATCCCTCAAACATAAATGGAGGTTTATAATTAGCTGGGAAAATCATCGACATTTCCATGGCATGTTAGTCATAACCAGAGGGTAGCAAAAATCATTGGACCACTGATTTCAGTAGTGGCGACTGGCAGCCTAAAAGGGTGCAAAGGTGCTCAAAATTGTCATCAATGACGCGGCAAAGAGGGGGTGTGTCGTGTCAGCCCCCCGTTGGTTTTCATATCAAGACAACGCTGGTAAGTTTGGGCATGTTTACTCTCAAAAAACATGTTATCCATAGGTATTGATCCATAGCCGATTTTTTGTTCCTGTTCAAATGCGGTCCCTGGTCCATGGTGAATTCAGGGTAATGATATATTTTTCTGTATTGGTTCTGTATTGGTTCTACCATAAGTTATACCAAAAACTATGGTGATTTATAGGTATTGATCTCTATCCTCCATGATCTTCCATGCCTTCCACTGGAAGGAGCTGAAAGTCTCCACTCGGGGCGAAGTGCTTCGCCCTTGTCACCTGCAGTGGCAGCCCGCTAGGAGATCCCAGTGGTGGCTGCAGCGGGATCCCCAAACCATGGTAAAATGTGTGGTAAATCCTCAAAATCGATGGTAACTGGTTGGTGGTTTCAAACATGAATTTTCTTTTCCATGATATATGGGATGTCATCCTTCCCATTGACTCATATTTTTCAGAGGGGTTGAAGCCACCAACCAGGTAAGTCTACACTGACTTGGTTCATCTATGTTTATCTTAGGTTACTCAGTTGGGTCTTTTTGGTATCCATAGTTGGGAAGTTATGGTCCAAACTTGACCCAACTATGATCCGTAATACCGCTGGATACGGGTAGGATGTGGTAGGATTCTGTCGGCCCCAGAGCAGCCCGAGAACCGGGATGCTTGGAGAAAATCGTCAGAGTCGCCTCAATCACCATTTGGTGATGGGTCAAAGGTCTGAAAATCGGGGATCTCAAATTTGATGTTTTATAATGAATTGAACCACAGGATGGTGCCCCCCAGTGATGTTTGTTGGTTTATAAACCCCATTAACTAGTTCGTTATATCTGCCATAAACCATAGTTATGGGAGTTATAAACCAACTTAGCTAATTATGGGGCACCACCTTGCATGAATCTGGGTAAATTTCATCACGACCTCACGTCGTTCTCCCGAGCCCTGGAATCATGGTTAATGAGGGAAAGCATCCCAAAATAGCCTTATTTCAGGTTGGTGAAATATTGTAATTTACCCAGATCAATATCAACAAACTTGCCATGATTGGGGGTTTTTGTCCCGTATTTTCGTCGACAAGCCGATGTGACAGGCTGGATGAACGTTCAGAAACACCAAGGTGCTGATAGCATTTTGACCCATCCCCATTTTCTTCAGAAGATGTTTGTGAAGGGTATCTACACCTAAGCTTTGTTCTAGCATCTATATCACCATTCTTGTTGGAGGCTTGATATCCTTTGTTTTGGATGGTTTTTGAAGTTGTATAATGCTATATACCCTCTGGTAAACTAACATAACTATGGAAAATCATCATTTTTCATGTGTAAATCAACTATAAATGGCCATTTTCAATAGCTATGTTAAATTACGGAGAGTATGCCTGGCTGTGTCACCATCATTTTGGGTTAAACTCCCAATGTTTTGCTGGTTTTTCTCCGGCTTCTAAAATCAGCCGCCAATGGTTAGCGCCAATATCCCGGACTTCTTGGAAACTAACAGTTATAATGTTCGATGACTTACCGGGCTTCTCAAAAGGTTATTTCTGGAGGCTTTCCCATTGATTTTCCCAAGAACACATTCCCATTCATATCATAGCCATAGCACCATTTAAGTGATGGTCAATGCCACCATTAATAGCGCCATTTTTGATGCTTCATTTGTGATGGTAAATTCCACCATTTTTGATGGTCGCCCTCTGGTAATTTAACATAACTATGGAACGAATTGCCAAAGAAATAGTGATTTTTCCCATGAAACGTGGTGATTTTCCCATCAGTTTTTTGTTAACGTTTACCAGAGGTTAATCCATGTGAATCCGGTTTGTCTCCAAAATCTCAGGTCTGCAGAAGGCCTCCAAGCTCCAGATCTCCCTAGATCAGCTGAAGACGAGGAGCCATGGAAGCCATGGCCCACAGATCGAAATGTCGATGATTTTCCCAGCTAATTATAAACCTCCATTTATTTTTGAGGGATTTTCCATGGCGAACTGTTAGTCATAACCAGATGGTAGTCGATTGGGTTTGTCTATGAAAAAACATGGGATTTATAGTCGAAGTGGGGACTAAGTGACTAAGATAGGATAACATTATATTATATATTGTAACATGCAAACCTGCTGTGGCTACATCTTGACAACAAATCGCCAACTGAAGGTTCATCACCAAGCGATAGGGATTAAGAACAAGCAAAGATGGCTAGTTGGTTCATAGATCCATGTACATGCCAGTGAAATTGTTGGTCAGATGCCTATATTACTGTTGGTGAAGATCCTTATTTCAGCTGATTTCAATCCCCATGTTTGGTGAAAATGCTGATAGACATTTGCTCAACCCCAATGTTTTTTGGAGATTCAAGAATCAACGAAATTGCTTTCATGTTATGTATACATACCCATATGCTCCATGTATAGTATATTTACCTACAAAACTGGGTGATTTATGGGATAAATGTTGGTAAATATTCCAGCACCATGGGTTGCATATGATATATATATATATACCCATGACGGATCCATGGTGCTGCTATATATGGTGCTCCATGGATCCCATCAATATACCCCCTTTATGTTAGTGCAATGACAGGTGTTTCTTGCATGATCCTTTTGACATAACATGAGACTGTATGCCTGCCGATAGGGCGGGGCTCGAGCTGTGCGAGGAACAAAGGGTGCCCCACGCATCCGTGTGGCCTACTGTTTGGCCTATCACCTTGACCAATTGCATGGTCAGCGGAGCAGCTGGTTGGGACGTGGAGAACTACCTGTTCGAGCTCTGATGCCAGAGCAAACGGACGTCCCAATATGGGACGGTGACCCCAGCTCGTTTGACTCCTTTGCAACGAGCTGCAAGTGGTATGAACGTTCTCTGAAGGAGAGCGACAGAAAACTTGCAGCGCCCCGCATATGGCAGAAACTCCATGGCGCAGCCAAGTCCGTCGTCAAGAACCTCAAGCCGGAAGACTTCGATGTGACCAACGGAGTTGAGAAGTTGCTGGACGTGCTGAGGGAGTCTCCTTTGCAGAAGCTCCCCATCCCGGACTCGTTCAGCCGCTTGGAACGTTGGTCTGGCCTCAGAAGAGCCCAAGGAGAAGACATACCCCACCTGATCATCCGCGAGGAGGAGCTCTTCACTGAACTACAACGTGGACTCCAACGAGCTCGATACGAGCGTGCAAAGGTGGAACGAAGGTCTATGGGTGTTGGAATCTCTGAGAGAGACCCTTCTGAGTCTCCTTCGAGGTCTCCAGCTGGTGGCATGAGCGGTGTTCGAGCTGGAGAAGAACAACCTGGCGCAACTACATCCATGCCGAGCACCTCACAGACTTCACCTATGGATGCTGCTGGACTTCCCCTGGAGAAGGCTTCTTCGAGAACGAGATGAGGGGATACAGGTTGCTGAAAGCTGCAAAGCTTACAGCAGCTGAGCGGCAACATGTCATGACGCTCACCAAGAACAGCACCACTTCAACCTGATCAGACAGGCCTTGAGGAGCCTCTTTGCTGAAGAAGGACAAGATGATGGTGGCCGTCCTAAGAGGACCTGGTATGCTGGAGTTGAAGATGGAGCTGAATGGGAAGATGATGGATCTACGGTCTGGTGGTGCGACGATGATGGCGCCTGGTGGGATGAGGAGACCTACTACACCGACTGGCCTTCTTCACCTTCGGGCTCCTGGGATGATGGCTATGGCTATGACTACAACGTGGACTATGACTACACCGAGGGCTACTATGACAACGAGGTCTACGAGAAGTCCGCCGAGGAGAAGCGCATGGAGGAGGCCTTCACCATTGCTGCTGAGGCCAACAAGACGCTGGCTGAAGCGAAAGCTGCTGTGGCAAAGGTGAGAGCCGCCCGGGGTTACTACGACCCTGCTGGAATGAAAGGCCATGCTGGGAAGAAAGGCAAAGCCAAGTCTGGAAAAGCTGGGAAAGGCAAGGGACTACTTGGACCCTGCTTTACATGTGGGCGACCTGGACATACCTACCAAAATTGCCCTGACCGATGGTCGCTGCAACACAAAGGCTCCAGCTTTGTGAAAGGCAAGGGCAAGATGGCTATGAAAGGCAAGAAAGGTTCAAAGGGAAAGAAGGCCTACCACATGGAGAACTACGTGCCCGAGATCAACGTGCTGTCCCTGCAGGAGAGCGAGGAGTTGCAATCCATTGCATCAGAGAAGGTGGTGATCGACACTGGTGCCACTGAATCAGTGGCTGGAGTGGCCTCTATGTCAAGGCTGGTTGATGGTGGACGCTTCCAGTACTCCGTACACCTGGATGATAGACCCCGTTTCCGGTTTGGAAATGGCCAGACGCAGCGTGCTGTGTCGAAGGTGAAGCTGGAATGTCCGGCACTTGGCGAGGTTTCCTTTCACCTACTTGATCAAGGAGCTGACAACACACCACCACTACTTGGAGCACGAGATCTACGAGCACGACATGCCTTGGTGTCCTACAAGGGAGACTGGCTGGCGCACAAGACGAAGGACAAATGGTGGGCAAGTTCACTCGAGACTTTGTCGAGTGGACATTTGGCTTTGGATTTACTACAACCTCGAGAACCTCTTCAAGCTCTTCTGAAGCGTTTGCAGAACGACCCCTTCAACGTGTGGCCTGGTCGAGACCGAGATGATCACCATGGAGATGAACACTCACCTCCTGGAGATGATGGAGACGGCGATGGAAACGATCCCCATCGTGGCAACAAGCGTCACAGAGGACGAGTTGGGCCATGCAACTTTGGAAGTTTGGTTGGAGCTGCAACCCAGTCGGGTGCCTATGGAGGACCTCGAGAAGCTGATCATGGAGAAGAACAACTGCCTGCAAGTGCCTCACCATTTGCCAAGACCGAGGACTTCGGCTCTGCGAGCTTTGTGGAAAGCCCTGATGTTTTGGTGAAAGATGAGCCGAAAGGAAAAGTATGCCCTGGTGGAACCATCGACCTGTCTTCTACGCCGACGTCACCAGAACGTTTGGCTGCTGCAGATGCCCCTGTGGAACCGGCATCAGCACCTGTTCATGCAGAGGCGGTGGAAAAAGACGAGGCGCATCAACCTGAAGTTGGTCATCAACCAGTGTTGGATGAGAGCATGCCTGCACATGTACCACATGGAGACACACTTCATGGAGCTGCTGTTGAATCACATGTTCATGCAGAACCCCCACATGGACCTCATGCTCATGGAAATCCCCCTGAAGATTCACGTCCATGTCAACATGTTTTGATGGTTTGGAGAAGTGATGGAAAAGATCAACGGCATGAAACCATGGATGAGCGACTGAGCTGTCTGGCTCAACGCTTACAACAGCTGAAGCAGAGGTATTCACCTCAGCCCCATGAAATCGGTCCCTCCTGCGGCGGAGTCGGATCCTCGCCAACTGGGATGGCCATGTGGTGGAATGCACAAGGCGGGCAAAGAGAAGTCCAACCAGTACGCAACATGGCAGAGCTGCACACGTTGCGGGTTACGCCTGCGCTATGTGAACAAGACGCCCTACCAGGGAGATACCAGAGCTGTTGGACCTCCTATGGACCTTGTGATGGAGGCCCAACTGGAGTTGCAGAACGACTTCGAGCCCCGGCAGATGACAGAAAAGATCTTCAATGGAAAGCTGATGGAGATCAAGGGCCGACACCTAGTGATGTCTGGTGGACGTGGCCGAATGTCAGTGCAGGTGCGTGCAGACGAGCGCCTGGGCCGTTGGATGATTGGCGAGACAGAGGAGGAAGAGAAGACGGTGACAAAGCCGAAGCCCATGACGAAGGCCAAGGCCAAAGCGGCATCGACGCCGCCACCAAGGGAGTTCTCACCTGCACCAAGGACTCCGGGACAAGGAAGCCGTTCTTCCAGCAAGGAAGATGTGATCCCTCCTGGATCTACAGTGGACAAGCGCAGCCCACAGAAGCCTGTGAAGATCAAGAAGGAGCCGGCCGAGCAATCAGTGCCTGTGACAGCGCCGCTGACTCCAGCGGGTGCGCAATCAGTGCTGGTAATGGTCGAATCGGACGTGGAGGTGATCAGCAACAGCGAGGAGGACAAGGACAAGGCCGAGAACAAGGGCGATTGAACGCCCTGTGGAATTCCCTGAAGAACCTTCAGGACCGAATCCGTGGAAAGCCAAAATCCGCGGATATGGCCATTTTGGCTGACAAGTGCCCGCAGCAGCTGGAGGCCGCAGAGGGCAATATGGTTTCTTGCCAACCTTCAACTTTGACTTCCACACGAAAATCTTCAACTATGAGCCCAATGACAACAAGCACTACGAAGAATTCAAACAGTACAGAAGTCCCAAAGGACGACAAGAACACCTGTGGCCATTTTGGCCGAATCGAGTCCGAGATGGACGAGATGTTCAACATCACCGAGAAGACGGTGAAGCCTTCATTGGCCAAAAGATTGGCAAAGGCCGCAATGCTGACAACAGCCCTGATGGGACCTATGCGAGAGCTGATTGGAGCTGTGCAGCCCCAGATCGACATCATGGAGATCGCCTGCAGCCCTGAATCAGCCCTCACCCAGGAGTTTGTTGACAACGGCTTCACTGGCATGCGGATCAATTACCGCAATGGTTTTGACCTGGACAGCAAGAAGGGAACCAACCTGCTGGTGAAGGAGATCAAGGAAAAGCATCCGAAGTTGGCATGGGTGTCCATGGTCTGCACCCGCATGTCAAGCTTGCAAAACTTGACACCACGAACTCCTGAACAACAAGATCGCTTCCTCAAGAGGAAGGGCCAAGATCTACGCAGATGTGATGATGTGGTGACAGGACTTGAAGAAGTTCTACAACATGGTGATGATTTGGCTTGGGAATGGCCGAGCTCTGCGGTTGCAGGATGGCGTTCAAGGCCGCTTCAACGACTTCAAAGACTCATCAAGCGCTACAACAGGCAGATCTATTGGATCAACATTGACGGGTGTCAATATGGACTTGAATGGCATGGATGGCCAGTCAAAAAGGCTTGGACAATCCTGACAACGAGCCGCAACTTATGGCTTACCTTGAACAAGAGGTGCGATGGGACCCATGAGCATATCCATTGCAGAGGTCAAATCGCACAAGCTTCCTCGTTTTACCCGCCGAAGATGTGCAAAGACATTTGCAAGGCGATGAAGTTCTCCTGGATGCAACAGACCGACTCCCTGGAGAACATGGTCGAGCACTACATGCTGGAGATTGACAACAACATCGAGGAGACCTTCGACCCTGGACTTCATCGACCTCATCAACACCATGACCTACCTCTTCAAGCTCTTCCTGGTCGCCAAGCACAACATCATCGACATCGTGATCTACCTCAACAAGCTCTTCATGGACCTCAAGAACAAGCTCTTGCGCTGAGCCGAACGCGGCTGCAACTTGAAACAGCCCCCACCGGCAAGAAGCTGGAGGCAGTGAAGCAACTTCTTCTACGAGTTCACAGAGCCAGTGGTCACTCTGGGATGTCAAACCTGGTGAGACTTCTCAAAGCACGAGGCGCACCACCATGGGCGTTGGAGTTGGCACAACGACTACGTTGTCCTGAATGTGAAGAAGCAGCAAAGCCGCTACCACGACCTCCTGCGTCTCTTGGAGAAGCACCGGCTATGTTTGAAGTCTTGGGCACTGACGTTTTCGAGTTCGAGATGCCTGAGAAAGAAGGCGAGCCCAACATGAAGTTGAAGCTCATCCTCTGGCGAGACCGAGCTTCTGGTTTGACCATGATCGACCACATGCAGACCTTTGAGAGCAAGAGAGCCTGGGAGCCAACGAGCCAAGACATCATCAAGTCCATGATGAAGTGGCAAATGGTTTACCCTTCACCGAAATGGGTGATGTCAGATGCTGCACGATACTACACCTCTGAAGAGTTCATGGATTACCTCAATCGAGGTGGCATTGGCTTGACCGTGGCCCCTGCAGAAGCTCATTGGCTGATGGGAAGTGAAGAGTCAGCAATTGGAGTTGCCAAGCGGACTGTGCTGAGGCTGATGAAAGAGGAGAGCAAGTTCAGCGTTCCAGACCTCTTCACCCTTGCAGCTGCAGCAATGAACAGCCACGTTGGCGCGAGTGGTTTCAGTGCCTACCAATGGGCTTTTGGATCAGGTGGAGGAGTTTTGGATGATGAGAAATTGCTCCCCGGCATTCAGCCTGGAAAAGCATTTCAAGGTTTGGTGAAAGAGCGAGAACGTGCCAAGATAGCCTTCGAACGAGAGAGGGCGACAGAACGTTTTTCAAAGCTGGCAAACTCTGTGGGCCGACAGGCCTCCCAATACAAGCCTGGTCAGTTGGTGATGGTCTGGCGACAACGGGTCAAGCCCGGCAAGATGAAAGGAAGCTGGACTGGACCTGTCAGACTCATTTTGATGGAAGGCACAACAGCTTGGTTGTCTTCAGGATCAACCTTGATCAGAGCCAAAGTGAACCAGATCCGCCCAGTGTCGTCCCGAGAAGAGATGACCTCCATTTTGGAAGGGACAGCAGTTTTCAAAACCCCTGTCTCAGTGGAATCTTTGATGCGGTCTTTTCAAGGACGCTACTACAAAGACATCTCTGGCGACACTCCAAGCGAGGAACTTCAACGTCAAGACCTTGGACCCTCTCAAGTTCTTCAAGAACCTGCTCAACGCCAAGGACAAGACTCTTGGAGTTTGGAGGAGAGAGATGGGAAACGAGTTTTGATACGAAAACATGTTTTACCACGACTAGCTCTTTTCAACCCTCTTCGAGCAGCCAACTGTCCTATTTCCCTGGATGAGATGACCGGTGAGAGAAAGACCATCGTGAGACCTCTACATGGTGGAGAAGCTGAAATGAACGACACCGTGGACATCCAGAGGAACTTGCAAGACAGATGGACTGGTGAAACAAGGTTTGAGCTGCTACAGCGACCTCTACCACCTCCAAAACGTCAACGAGTTCCTGATCCAAAAGGATCCAAGCGCAAGGCGGAGAAGGAACTATCTGGTGAAGAAGATGTACGTTCTGGAGAACGACCTCAAGCTGAAGTGGATGATGAAGAGAAGGACCCCTTGGATGATCTACAAGGCGATGATGCTCTTCAACAACCTGCCCAAGATGGAGACGATGGAGCTACACCTTTGACGCAGACGCTGCGATCCAAAGGACCCAATGTCCTAGATGGGACACCTATGACAAGCAGTGCTGGATCGAGCTCTTGCGTTGCTCCTGGTTGTGAACTACCTGGTGGACATCTTGGACATCATCGCAACAACAACAACGAGGAGTTTTTGTACGACCCCTATGATGGTTCTACGAAGATCATTGCCGAGGAGAAGGAGCCTTCTACACCATCTTCGAGCTCTACAAGTTCCGAGGAACTACAACCTGATCTACCTGGACACGATCCCAAGGGCAATGGCAAGAAGAACAAGGATGACTTCTTTGTGGCCGTGCCGATTGACCTGAACACCTCCGACTGGAAGTGGCTAGCAAAACCTCAACATCGACGCAAAGCTGATGTCTGGCTTTCGAAGAAGATGAGCGACAAATCAAAGGAGGTGATTTGGCAAAAGCTTCCTCTCAACGAGAAGAAGGAGTACGACATCGCTATGGCTAAGGAGCTATCCAATGTCATCATCTCCAAGGCCCTGAGGCGACTTTCCAAAGAGGAGCTCAAGTCCCTGGACCCAAAGAGATTGATGTCAATGAGATGGGTGCTCACCCGCAAAAGCGACGGGTCAGCCAAGGCCAGATTGGTGGTTTTGGGCTTCATGGCGCCGAACATCACCGAGGTGGAATCAGCGTCCCCCACTATGAGCAAGACAAGCCGAAATTTGGTTCTGGCTGTGGCCTCATGCATGGGTTTCATTTTGAAAGGAGGCGATGTGACCAGTGCCTTCTTGCAAACTGGAATTTCACTGGAGGACGAGATGCCGGATGTTTGGGCGCCGCCTGAGCTGGCCGCGATGTTTGGTGCTGAAGATGGCGAAGGAATGGCACTTCGCGTGAGAGAAGCGTTTTATGGGTTAGTCCACGCCCCAAGGAAATGGTTTGAGAAATGTGTGGCAACCTTGGTGCGTTTGGGATGGAAACAGCTGAAAGGCGATCGATGTGTCTTCATCCTGATGGAGGACGACCAGCTGGTGGCAATAGCTGGACTACATGTGGATGATTTTCTGGTTGCAGGAAGCCAGACCTCACAGAAGTTCCTGGAGAGCGAGCAAGAGCTGCTCAAGGCTTTCCGATGGGGCAAGTGGCAAACTGGTGAGTTTGAGTTCGCTGGCTGCGAGCTGAAACAGCTTCCTGACAACAGCGTCATCCTCTCCCAGGAGAAGTACACCGAGCGCTGGATGGAAGAAATCACCATCGACAAGTCAAGGTCTAGAAAGGCCGTCCTGACGCCTGAGGAAACATCTGCACTACGTGGAGCTTTGGGAACTATCTCATGGAGATCAACACAGAGCGCACCACAGTATCTTGCAGAGACAAGCCTGTTGCTCTCCGAGATCAACAAGGGCACTGTGGAGACCCTCTACAAGGTGAATAAGCTTGTGAGAGAAATGCGCCGTGAGGCGAAGCAAGGTTTGTTGTTCCCAGCATGGGGAATACCGTGGAGTCAGTTGGCCTGCGTGACATGGGCCGACGCCAGTCAACACAACAGACCTGACAAGAGCTCTACGGTTGGAATTGTGACCGCCATTGGACCGAAAGAGATGCTGGAAGGTGCCGAAGTTCAACTGGCGGTGGTGCAATGGAAGAGTGGCAAAACACCACGACAGGTTTTAGGCTCAAATGGAGCTGAGACCCAAGCAATAACCATTGGGGAAGACCAGAACTTTAACATCCGCATGCTGATGGCGGAGATTGGTGGCGCCAACGTGGAGAAGGACAACGTTCATGAGGTTGTCAAGACCGTGGATGGCGCCGTTGTGATGGACTCCTGTGGCATCTTTGACGCCATGACCAAGAATGTGAGCCCGCTTCATGGACTCAGAGAGTCACGAGCTGGCTACGAGCTCACCTTGGCGGTGAATAATTAATGGAGTTCAAGCTGGAACGAGATGGAGATGGGTGAATGGATTGGCTCAGCTGGGCGATAGCCTCACAAAAGCTGGAGCCAGAAAGACTTTTCTCCAGTTCCTGTCGCAACGACAGTTCTGGCGGCTGGTGGACGATCCCAAGTTCGAATCAGGACGCAAAGTCCACAAGCGTGAGATGGAGAAGAAATTGCGCGAGATGGAAGAGTTCTTCATCAACGAAGTGAGACGCGCTGCCGAGAAGAACAATTGGCCATGGACTGAAGGCCCCATAGAGAAATATCACCCCCTGCAGTGAGTCAAAAGGCTCAGGATGTATGGGTGGTGCAATGACAGGTGTTTCTTGCATGATCCTTTTGACATAACATGAGACTGTATGCCTGCCGATAGGGCGGGGCTCGAGCTGTGCGAGGAACAAAGGGTGCCCCACGCATCCGTGTGGCCTACTGTTTGGCCTATCACCTTGACCAATTGCAGTTAGCATATATACCAGCACCAGCCGGATCCGTCATGGGATAGTGAACTTCCCTTGGAATTCATCTGAATTCTCGCCTCAGGATGGAGGAGCTTGGATCGAGCAAGAACTTGTGGGGCACCAAGGGCAAGGGCGTGGACCTGCATATTTTTCCATCGGGGGGGGATGTTGGTGGAATGACCATGTTTTCACCAAGGTACAGAAAAATGATGTTTTGGCGCCTTTATTGGATCTATGTGGCGCTGGGAATTGTGTTACCCAAGAGGTAAACTGGTAAACTGGCTGACATAGCTGAAGAGCTATTGAACATGACCATAGAAATAGTGGATTTACCCAGCTATAAAACGGTGATTTTCCCATCAGTTTTTCGTTAACGTTTACCAGAGGGAACCCTTCTGTTGGATTTCCATGAAATGATGTGGGAAATCTCCAGGAACTGGTGCAGATAAATCTCGAACATCTTCAATTACCACTTTAATACGGGATATGAATTAAGCATGATAGATCGTCACTTTCGCTTCAGTTAACAGCGAAAAACATCATCTAATTTTTGGTGGTATGTTTCTGATGGTCTTCTGGTTTTCGCTTACCCTCTGGTAAACTAACATAACTATGCATATCACCATTTTTAATAGGTAAACCATCTATAAATGGACCATTTTCCATGGCTATGTTAAATAACCAGAGGGTTAGTATTGTTTTTTTTTAATCCCCAACACATGGTGGTGCTATCCCCCTGCTGGTGTTTTGATGTGCTCAGGATCAGGGCAGGGCATTTGCTGGATGGCTATGAAAGCCTCATGAGACTCTCAGAGGCGCCGGAAGCAGCGCAAGAAATCGATGTTGGGATCGAAGAAGTGTTATTTTCTGGTTGGTGGTTTGGAACATTTGTTATTTTCCATAATATGTGGAATAATCCTTCCCATTGACTAATATTTTTCAAGATGGTTAAAACCACCAACCAGTTTTGTTATTCCCAAGTTTGTTGCTGATTCATGAGATTCATGTTAGCCCCACATGCTTCTTCAGAAATTCACGGAATGTGATGATTTCAATTCCATTTTCAGTGGCATTTTTTCCACATCCTGATAGGCGAACACCACATCTTTATATATTACCTGAACCATTTTCTGTGATGAAATTGTGATTTGTCATCCACAAATGACCCTGGCTCAGATTTCAAAAATTACTTTACTTCGTGTGATCCCCGCCATGACATTTATACATTGTTACTGGCAAATCTTCTGGCATTCTATCTGGCATATCTTCTGGCATTCTACCTGGCATATCTTCTGGCATATGTTCTGGCATATCTTCTGGCATTCTATCTAGCATATCTTCTGACATATTATCTGGCAAATCTTCTGGCAAACATTCTGGCACTTTATCTGGCATATCTTCTGGCATTCTATCTGGCATTTTATCTGGCATAGCTTCTGGCATTCTATCTGGCATATCTCATGGCATTTTATCTGGCATATCTTCTGGCATTCTATCTGGCATATCTTCTGGCATTCTATCTGGCATATCTTCTGGCACACTTTCTGCCAATCTATGTGGCATATCTTCTGGCATTCTATCTAGCATATCTTCTGACATTTTATCTGGCACATCTTCTGGCATTCTATCTGGCATATCTTCTGGCATTCTATCTGACATTTTATCTCGCATACCTTCTGACATTCTCTCTGGCATATCTTCTAACGCTCTATCTGGCATATCTTCTGGCATTCTATCTGGCTGTTGAGGTCCAGCGGTGCACACTGAGCTGGGAAGGTCCCAGATTGAGGTCCAGCGATGCACACTGAGCTCGGAAGGTCCCAGGTTGAGGTCCAGCGGTGCACGTTGAGCTGGGAATGTCCCAGGTTGAGGTCCAGCGGTGCACACTGAGCTCGGAAGGTCCCAGGTTGAGGTCCAGCGGTGCACGTTGAGCTGGGAATGTCCCAGGTTGAGGTCCAGCGGTGCACACTGAGCTCGGAAGGTCCCAGGTTGAGGTCCAGCGGTGCACATTGAGCTGGGAATGTCCCAGGTTGAGGTCCAGCGGTGCACACTGAGCTGGGAAGTTGGCAAAGAGCTTGGCGAAGAGTTGGCAAGGCGGAAGTTGAGGTGGACGTTGATGCAGACATGGTCGAGGCGAAACAGGCGGAGGAGAAGGAGGAGGCGGAGGAGGAGAAGGAGGAGGAAGAGGAGGAGGAGGAAGAGGAGGAGGAGGAAGAGGAGGAGGAGGAGAAGAGCTAGCCGAGGAGGAGAAGAACAGCTCTGATAAAATCTAACAACCCTCACCTGGCAGGTGGGGAAAAATGGATTGCTTGGAAATTTGGCAATCCCTTCCTTCCAAAGTTATTGATTTTAGCATTGAATATTTTCATGACTTTGGGTTCCTGATTGGGCTATTCAATACATGAGCAGTGTTCAAAACTCTTGTTGGTCGATGACTATGGGGTGTTTGTTATCCTACCCAAGGTATTGACCAACTAACTAGTAAAAAGGAACAGCAGAGAGAGTTTTGAACACTGCTCAGCAGGTTTCATGGGGGAATGGCTGTTCCATGTTGTTCCATGGGCCTACCTTACTTGGACCTGCAGTTCCAAAATATAAGTGGATTTACAGTTTACATGGATATACTGTAACCATCTGTAGCCATCTGTACCCATTGTGATAGGATATTAATATATTTTTTTCTTGGATATTATGGGGCTTATATGTGGTTATGTGATGTTATGTGTTCAATTTATGGTGCTTGTAATCATGGTGTAACAACCCACAACAGAAAAAAAACAAGTGCAGCATCCTCAGGAGCTTCATGCGGCCAGGGCCTTGGGGCCTTGGGGCCTTGATTGCGGCACTTTTTTGGGCCGACCAACAGAACTTGGGGTGTTAAGGAAATCATCTTGGGGCCTATCTGGGCTTATCTCGGAAGCTCTATCTTTGAAGTTCAATCCATTTTCGAGTTTCGAAGTTGGGCCAGATTATTGTAAAAGTCCAATAACAACAATGAGGCATCAATCACAGGCCTTGCAGATGGATGTATCCTGCTAAATCGATCCAAATCGAACATGCGTTCCCGAAAATTGTTTTCAAGTTGGAAATTGACATGTTGTCCAATTCGTCGTTTCTGCGGCTGAAATTTCTAGTCTTACCAGACAGAAATTCATGTGTTTAAGTAAGATAATCGACAGAATGGTATGTTTTTCTGTTTTTCAACATATCACCATATTATATTTACCTCTTATACCTGGAACCCATGCAAATGACATCTATTTTGCTTGGCTCACCTTCCATTTTCATCCATTTTCTGTGTCAAAACCTTCCAACATCAGGGTCATTCTGCTTAAATCCAGGGTATCGCCACCCCAGGCACGGGAGGAAGCAGGCGGGCGGCATCGGGGTTTTTTTCCTATTTTTCCTTTGAGTTGAGCCATCATCACAATGAGATGTTGGATGGACATGGAATACCCTCTGGTAAACTAACATAACTATGGAAAATCACAATTTTTTGATGGGAAAACTCACTATAAATGGCCATTTTCAATAGCTATGTTAGTTTACCAGAGGGTATATGGTGATCGATCTAAAGGTCCTTGTGCTTGGAGTTTGAATTGCGAAAGCCGTGCATGTTATGTTGGAAACCCTCGCGATGTTATTTTTTTTCGAGTTCGCGAAAGTAACATGTTTTTTTCGTGAAAGTTTCGCGAAAGTTGGATATCATGATTGCCGAAAGGTTCCGCGAGAGATAAACATGGAGCTCGCGAAAGTTTCGCGAAAGTAATAACATTTTTATTCGCGAAGAATGGCCGTTCCCGGATAAAGGAATTTTGATCAACAACCACACACATATATATATATATACATATATATATATATTATATATATATATATGTATATATGTATATTATATATATATGTATATATATATATGTATATATGTATATATTATATATATATACTGGCTGTCCGTTAAGATCTTCTTTTTATTCTTTTGATGTGTGGTTGATGTATGGGGATCATAAACTCAAGATTGGATGACAATGAATATAATCATCATCTATAAGGACTCCTGTATATCACATTGTTCCCCATCTTCATCCTCATCATCAACATCATCCATCGTAACTAACTGCCAGTATAACTACAATTTACTGGTAGTCATTGACATGATTAGATGAATGGTTGTGATGATTTGATGATTGGGTCATTGACATCGTAACTAATCAAGTCATTGACACTGCAGAGGCAATGAATGTCAATGACACAAATTAGATGATGATGACAGTGTCATTGACATTCATTGGCTTCAACGCCCGTTCCACGACGCCGCAAGTGTTCAGTTCCCTCCAGTGGGTTCACATCCTCGACTTTCAGGACTGCCCAGTTGTGAGTTGTGTGTGAACATCATGACATGTCGTATTCTAAACATTTTTTAAGACATGAAGTTCGTCAAGATTCCTCATCAGATGAGAAGAGCGAAGATGAGGAGTGGGAGCATTTGATCCCGACCAACAAGAAGTTGTGCGCTGATTGGATTAAATATCCGAAGGTGTCTGGGGCGAAGGCGAAGAAGAAGGCCCGTCCTCGTCGTGATGAAGATCGTCTTCGCCGCCGTCATGGACCTCGCCAGACAAGCTGGTTGAAGTGGGCTCACAAAGCCAAGCCATGGGATGCTTGGAGGTTGGCTGCAAATTTCTGAGGCACTTTCACTTTTGGGCCTTTTTTTGCTTGAATCAGCTGGACGAGTTTGCTTGGCTCGGTTGGTCCGATGCTGTGGCCCAATGCCATGGACACTGAAGGGTCTCCATGGGCACCGTCGCACTGGATGGGAAAAAAGTACCATTGCAGCCTAGCAAGTGCAGTGAATCATTGATTGAACAGCTTCAAGACTTTCCTTCAATTTGAGCAGTTTGCCACTGCACTGCCCACCAATTTGTCTATTTGTTCCTGAATTGTCGTCCGAGGTCTTACCTCATGCTGATGTGACAGCTTGACGATTCGGATCAATGGGAAAAAAGCGATCGCGCATTTGCCATTGTGTGTCATTGACTTGATTGGGTTGCTTGTTGCAACGCAGGTGTCATTGACTCTTGATGTATTTTTCCTGATTGCGCATGTGTTAGTCAGTGTTCTTGCAATCTTGCGTTGTGATTCTGTGTCATTGACCCATTCCACTTCCGAAGATGCACTGACTTGAACTATATCCTGTCACATGATTCATTTATCAGGTTGACTTGAATGGTAAAACCCACAACCCATCAGAACATTGATGCAAATTATGATTATCCATCGCAATCGTCGTAAGTTTTGTGCACAGTTTGTGAATAGATGATGATATCAGAGCGGGGGTTGCACAATAATATCATCTAAATGGATTTAAAGCTCAACAATGACTTGATTATTAGTTACGATGTCAATGACCCAATCATCAAATCATCACAACCATTCATCTAATCATGTCAATGACTACCAGTAAATTGTAGTTATCCTGGCAGTTAGTTACGATGGATGATGTTGATGATGAGGATGTACAATGTGATATACAGGAGTCCTTATGGATGATGATTATACTCATTGTCATCCAATCTCGAGTTTATGATCCCCATACATCAACCAAACATCAAAATAATACAAAGAATATCTTAACGGACAGCCAGTATATATATATTTATTATATTAATCATAAAATATGTATATATCGTTTACAAGACGGGATTGACTTTTACAAGATAAATACAGCTTTTGGTTAGCCACGAAAAACAGAACACATCGTTTTTAAACCAAAAACAAAATGGGTATGTGCCTAGATGGTTTTCAACCATCAAAAGTTGATACAATGTACTGTACATCTATATAGATATAATATGATGTTTACCATCTCAGATTAAGCAAGGACAGTTTCCAACCTCCTACATGTAATGAACTTGTTTTTCCCAATTTTCTGAAAGGATCCCCAAACTCCTTAAATAAGGTATTGTCAGTATATAAATCAATATCATTTATCACTACCGGGCAGCTAAAACTAATCTCAAATGAGTCCAGTGCAGCTGGAACTGCGCAGTTGAAATGGAATTCCCTCTCTTGGGGCTCTTTGTTAGTCAAACATGGCAGGACGCAAATGCCAGGGTCTAATCACTTAATTATTTGCATTTCTGATGGATATTCTAGCCAGGTCTAGCCATGTTAGACACCCAGAGGGTACTTGGATGTGCATGTCAGTTAGTAAGCGTTTTTTTTTTCCCGGAAATAGCTGGGAATATTCCATTATAACTGGGGGCTACCGGGGTCTTTTTTATCATGGTTACTACCCACCAGGTGGGATACCCATCTATCACCGTTCAACCACTGACATCGTCAGAGGCGCTGAGGATTCCGATTCGGAGATGGATCAGCTGGCCAAGGAGAACCGACCGGGTACACCCAAGGGGTGGTTCAATAGATTTAAAATGCATATAATATGAATGTAATATGAATATAATATGAATATACTATGAATATACTATGAATATAATATGAATATAATATGATTATAATATGAATATAATTTGAATATAATATGAATATAATATGAATATAATATGAATATAATATGAATATAATATGAATATAATTTGAATATTGTATGAATATAATATGAATACAATATGAATATAAGATGAATATAAAATGAATATGATGTGATTCAATATAAGTAAATATGAATATGATTGAATATGATTTTGAGGTGATTCAACATGATTCAGTTGTTTCCCCCCAAAAAAACAGATATGACACAGCAGGGGAACCAAAATTAGGATGCCAGCATCGAACAGACGAGTTTCGGCATCCTGTCTCCATATGACACGCCATGTCTTTGGAATCAAACAGGGCCCTGCTAGCCAAGAACCATCAAATAACCATCAAATAATAAATACTCATCACCACATGGAGTTGGAAATGTACCCTCTGGTTATAAAAAAAGTTTGCGAACTGGAAAATAAGCATTGTTAATTGGTAAATCTTCGAAATCAATGGAGTACTTTCCATAGAAAATTGTTCTATAAATTGCCAGATGGTATCAGTTCTTTCTTCACCTCACACCCCGGAGCGCGTTTGGTGGATGGGGGTAGAAGCAAAGTTCGGTGGCATCCACCGCAGAACATTGTTGGATGTCAGGAAGACATGGTGAAATGATCCGCAGGTATGTATATGTATGATGTGTATAATTAATATATATATATATACATGGTTTGGAACACTTTTTTATTTTTCCATCTATTGGGAATATTCAATAATCATCCCAACTGACTCATTTTTTTCAGAGAGGTAGGTATACCACCCACCAGATATACAATATCATACAATATCACTTTATGAATATTAGTATAGTAGAAACGGTTTAAATTACCGTGTGTAGCAACAGATGTGGGCCCAATCCGAGCAGTTTGGTTTCAGGAGATGAAGCAGTTGCAACAGGCAGGTCCCCGAGGGCTGGAGATAAGGGAAATCCGAGCTATTTCTATGGAGGACTTCATGGGATTTAATGGGACTTAATGGAGGACTTCATGTTAGTGGTGATTTAATGGAAAATCCACTATTTCTATGTTAGTTGTTTAATGGAAAAGATGGAGATGTAGCCCCAAAAATGTAGATCCACGGATATGTTCAATCGTGATAATGGTGTCCCAATTACGTCTTGCAACCTGAACCAGGTGGTAGAGTTTGCATGGATAGTTCCTGCATGTTCTTACCATGCGGACCCTAATGTGAGACCCACAATAATATACAATAAGGATACCATCCTCAATTTTGTGCTTTGTTATTGTGCAATATCCCTGCTTGGAAGGATTTGCCCCTCAAATGTTTTGTCGGCGGATATTTCCGTAGAATCATCCCAGTAAAGGGTCGGAACCGTACTGATTAGGTCAAACAATGTGCCCGATCCTGGTCTTAATCGTACTTTATCATATTTGTTTTCGAAATCATCAGTGGGTTTGCCAGAATCGGAATCTCCTAATGTGTGTATCCGTTTCGTATCCCATTCATCAACATCAGAATAGATCCAAAATGGTCATGACAACTGGATGATTTGGGGGTACCCATCCATGACAAAACGGAGACCTCTAATATATCAATTTCTATCATATCCCCAAGATAGCCTCTGGTAAATTAACAGTTTGACCCTGAAAATAAGACATTCTTAGTGGAAACTATATAAATAATCTTTCAAGCCCTATCTCGCCTATCTGGCAGGGTCTATGTTAATTTGCTGGAGGGTCATTTTTGCCGACGTTGTCGCCTCTCCAGGCTCTGGAAGAAGAACTGGAAGGAAGTGGCCTTCCTCCAGGCGTATGGCCAGTCTTTCTGAGGGATAGATCGAGAGATTTAGATGGATACTTCATAATTCATAGATAGATCGATAGATAGATTATGCATAGATACTTCAGAGGGATTTAGATAGATAGATAGATCGATATATTGATAGATATGTGATATGTAGATTGATAGAGAGATAGATCGATAGAGAGATAAAGAGATCGATAGATCGATAGATCTATGGAGAGGTAAAGAGATCGAGAGACAGACAGATAGAGAGGTAGAGAGGTAGATAGCTTTCACATGTAGCTTGGATAGTTCAGACATGTAGATGAGCATATAGGTACTAAGATAAGGCAAAAGGGAGATATCTGGATATGGTACGATGTGATACCATTTGACATGTATCATTCTTTCATAAGATAAAATTAAGGTGATTCGTTTTTGATGGTTGTTTAATGTGTTGCTTCTTTGTGGGTAAGCTGTGCTAGTTAGTGATCTTCATGACTGTTTGATGCCTCCACCTGTCATATCTTTGGGTCGGTGTGTGCTTTTGCTTTCACAACATGTTTTGCTTCATCTGTGTTCACACTTGAGCTTAGTCAGTTGTACAAATGTGGCACGGATGCCACAACTCTGACATCTTGAATCTGGTTGGTGGTTTCAAACATTTTTGATTTTCCATTTCATATATGGCATGTCATCCTTCCCATTGACGAACTCATATTTTTTCAAGATGGTTATTGCACTACCAACCAGATCAACATCTTTGCAGTTTATAGGTTATTAAACCATTATTAACCAATAATATTAACCGTTAACCATTATTATTAACCATTATTAACCATTATTAACCATGATTAACCATTATTAACCATTATTAACCATTATTAACCATTATTAACCAGTATTAACCATTATTAACCATCAACGCGCCAAGTGCACCAAGCATCAGATCAGGGTCAGGCTGACAACTGGCGCCACGTGACCAATCGTGACCAGGTGCCTGGCAAAAAATCACCGTCGATCCTGACAGGCACCGGGATCCGAAAAAACAAGTGGAACGAACTAGGCTTATGTCTGTATATATATATATACAGTATATATATATTATACAATATATATATATATATCTATATTATATATATATGGTTGGTGGTTTGAAACCATGGAATTTTATGACTTCCCATCTATTGAGAATATCATCCCCACTGACGAACAAGCAGCTTGAGCCCCATGGGCCGGCGCCAGGTTCACGAAGCAGAACCGGCCGAGACAGGCGATCCGGCCCATAAAAGAAACCATGGTATTTGACTGTGGCTGAGATCATTTCATGGCTATGTATGTATTTATATATATATACATGTGTGTGTGTTTGTGGTGGTAACACGTGTTAGTACTTGGCAATTATCTCCCTGGTGGTGGGAAAAAATGCATGCTAGATGCTTGACCCGGGATATCAGCATAAGACACATTGGGTATGAAGCACCAAGCCAAGGTGTGGTATGAACCAAAAAAATATGAAGATCACCATAAATGGATATATGGGATATTATGGGATATACAATATATATATATATATATATATCTGTAATTATATATATATATATTTACACTTGTATATCAAAAATATATTATGGGTTTGCTTTATTACGTCCCGTTCTTTTGGCACCCGAGAGAAGCCCACGAAAAACGTGATACAGTCGCGGTTGATCTGGTCGTATCTCAGTTGGCTGATGCGGGTGAAAACTTGGTCAACATTTCCCTCTGGTAAACGTTAGCAGTTCGCTATGGAAAACCACCATTTTTAATGGGTAAATCAACTATTTCTATGGCCATTTTCCAGTTCGCAAGCTGGTAAGTCAGTTTACCGGGCCGGGTATTTCCGTGTTGCTCTGAGTCTTTTAAGTTGGAAGTCGTTTTTCACAGTCAGAATAAACCATAATATCATACCATCCTTTGAAGTTCTGGGGTCGACCAAATCTTTTCCATCATGATCCCAACCAGGGTTTCCAGGGGTCAAGCCAATGATATGGGGATTAGGATCATCGGTTGATTTTACACAAACATCAAAAAAACTTCGAAACTCAACTGGAGATTCGGATCATCATCGACCAGTTGAAATAGCCTGGAGATTGGGATTTCCGAAACAAAAAATACTGTTCCAGGATCATCAAGTGGTTGATTTGACGCAAAAACATATCAAAAAAAACTGTAAACTCACTCAGTGGATGTTTGTTAAAAGAACCAAGAACCAACCAGTTCGGATGATCATGTTTCGAGAAATACCCTCTGGTAAACTAACATAACTATGGAAAATCACAATTTTTTATGGGAAAATCCACTAGAAATGGTGATTTTCCATAGTTATGTTAGTTTACCAGAGGGTAACCAACCGGGATTTTGACCGAGGGATGACGCCCACAGGATCCACAGGCGAGCAAAGGCTCTGCCTGGCTCAAATCCTTGAGGGAGGTGGGCGGAACACGGGAAGATCTCGACAAACCATGGGACCCATGGGATGCATGGTTTCTTGTTGAGGCGTTTTTTTAAACTGTGAACCATCAATTATCGTGTTTTATGTTGATTTTGAAATTTAAGTATCAAAACATATGGGGGATCTTATTGATAAATGATGCAATGATTGATTCATTATTATAGTTAATAATTTTAGCGGGTTATTCACTAGTGACTTGTATCACCTGTTATTGGCCCGTAACAGGATACCTCTTCACCAACCAGTCCAACCAGTACAAGCGTATAGGAGAGGGTCTCGTTTTGATTGTTAACCTTCCATACATCGTGGGTAGATCAATTGCCCCAGGTTAATATAGGTTAATCGAACGTAGCTATGGAAAATCACCATTTGAATAGGTGAATGATCATAAATCATCGAACTAAATGGACCATGCTCCATAGCAAACTGTTCATAAACAGAGGGTTTTTTTCGTCCCTTCTGAAACTGGTTTCTCGTCAAGTTGAGAACAGGATTTCCCCGAACAGGGCTGTCACACGAAATTCAGGCGACTGCCAGGGCTGCGCGCTTTGGGCATGCCTTAAAGGGATCGCAGGCCGCCGCTGGCCGCCGGTGGCCGCTGCAGAGGGATAAAACTTAGGATTTAAACCATGACACATCGGATATTTTCATAACCCATAGGATCCATGTATGCTGTATATGGTAACTGTTTACCATCAATATACCCCCAAATGTTTGCATATATACCATACATGGATCCTATGGGTCATGAAAACTGTGATTTAATCACGAAAATTCTTGGTTTGAGGTGGTTTGACCAGCAAAAGCGGTGCTTCTAATGAGCCAATAAGGATCAATAAGGTGAGTTTATCGAGAGAAAAACATAGAGGGCTTTTTGCGGGACATGAAGCACCAAGACCAAAGTCTACCAAACATGCGGACATAAACATGCGTCATGGCGCCTTTACACATCAGGATGGGGTTGAAGCTTTTGGAACCTTCGACAATTCATGGAGATACCCTCTGGTAATTCAATGTAGCTATGAAAAATCACGATTAAAATGATAGGTAAATCATCATAAATCATCGAACTAAGTGGGCAATTTTCCATCACATGTTTCATCATGTCAAAACAAGAATGGATGGAGATGTTCCAAGAATGTCCTGGAGTTGGCCTATGAAGACCTTCAAGAAACGGAGACCACAACAGCCTGCTACTTCATGGACAGTGACTTCAAAAAACCCAGGTGTGGCTGTGGGTTTCTAAAGCACAAGGGACACCTTGACTGGTCCTGTGATGACCAGCAGTTGGTAGACTGCAGGTATCTTTCCCGGCAGGTGATTCATTTTGGTTCATATGAAATTGAAGATACGGTTCCCCGGTTCCCCTAAACAGAAGTTTACTAAGTGTTGGTCATGGCAAGTAGTAAATCCAATTGTTTCAATTTGGTTTTGCAGCCAACCCCCCACTACTCTATGGGATTGGGTCAGAAAAAGATCTCAACATTGGCCCAACTATGTTTGATTTCATACTTATTATGTATCTAAATCATAGTTGATTCTCCAGGTCTTTGTTGACCAAACAACACAACCCACTGCTCGTGTCTTTTTCGCCCGATCCCTGCTGCAAAAACAAAATCCGAATCTCCATGATTGTCCGATTTCTCCAGTATTATATAATTATAGTAATAATACTGATTGGTGGTTTGGAACATGTGTTATTTTCCATATATTGGGAATTTCATCATCCCAACTAACTAATATTTTTCGGAGGGGTGGGTCAACCACCAACCAGTACATGTATACTTATTCTCCACATCCCATTGCACCAGCCTTATCTCCCATGAATTCCTCCATTTGAAGTCAGGGCAAAGAGCGGCTGTCAGAGATGGAAAAGACTCTGATGGAGGAACTGAAGACCTGCGAGGCTGGAAATGATCGAACTTTGGCTGGTGGGTCGTCAGCAAGCCACGTAAGCCACGTTTGATGAAACCGGGGAACTCCATGATTCCATGTTTAGGCATTGATCAAATGATGTCAAATGCTTGGTTGATGTTTAATGATGTTTAATGCTAAAAGATCTAAAAGGGTCTTGTGGGCACACGAATACACCCCGTTTTCGAAGCCCATGTTGCAACTCAGAAAAAACATCGAGAAACTGGATGGAACTGGTGCAATCAGATAGGAGTTGATTAGATTTGCGAATTGCTGGCAGATATGTGCAAGTGTATGAGGTTCAACAAAAGTATCACTCATAGCTGGCCTTTTGTTGAGGAGTTGAATGGGATATACACAGTCAATTTTGTGGTAAACTGGTAGGGTGGAATATTGCAGGTGATCTAATATAAGGAGCCTGAAGGGGCTGATTGATACCACGAATCACATATGGTTGATGTTCCAAGTCTGGGAGCTCTTGTTCAGATGCACTGCTGGGTTCTGGGCAGAGAGAAAATTGCTGTTGTAGTTACAAAAAATCAAACAAGTATTTGCTGAGTGATTTGAACTGATCAGATAGTACATGATCATACGCATTTCGTCAGAAATGCATTAATTCTTAACTGGTTGGTGGTTTGGAACATGAATGTTTTATTTTTCCATTCAGTTGTGAATTTCATATCATTTCATCATCCCAACTGACAAACTCATATTTTCTAGAGGGGTAGGTCAACCACCAATATAGATACTGTTGATTTACCTATCAATACTGGTGATTTTCCATGATTTTCCATGGTTATGTCGGTTGAAACCACCAACCAGTTCTTAACTCAACTAATCTTTCAAGGTGAAACGGAATGATTTGGGACCGGGAGCTCCAACCAAGCAGCTGTAGGCTGCAGCCAAAGCAGGACTGAGAAATTCATCGCTCGCTGCCGGGGGCCTTTTTTTAATGGCGCTTTCCGCCCCAATCATGAAATTCTCGGGAAAATGATCAACAAATGGATGACCAAATCAATCCAAATCATGAATCATCGGATAAAATCATACCCATGACGGATCCATGGTGCTGGTATATATGCTAACATAAAGGGGGTATATTGATGGGGTCCATGTTACCATATACAGCATACATGGATCCTATGGGATATAAATCATCAAATTACCAACAAATGGATTTGGGTAGCCTTTGGTAATTTCACAGAGCGAGCTGGAAATCACCATCTGGGTTCATCGAAGTAAATGCGCCAGTTTGCGTCCAGTTCGCAAACTGGAAAAAATGACGCCATGGCCACCACATGAAAACCAAGCAGTTTTCGCCATGGCTACTGTAACCCAGGTTGGACATACCGATTGGACCAATTTGGTGGATTTGGGGACTTCAATTTATTTCTCACTCACACTAAAATAATAAGAGATGCTTGCATAATATTGAACCCAACATACCCGAAAAATCAAACACACTGGTGATCATGCCGGCAAATATATGCATATATACCGTGGATGTATGCAAATGGTACAGGGACTGAGTAGCCCCTTATACCCCATACTTTCTCCAAGGCTGTGACGTTTTTGTGATTGATCTGGAAGGAGATTCCGAGCAAAGCACGAGTTGGAAGACACTGGGCTGCCAGACATGAGCCCCCAGATATACCTGGAACTCGAATGAGCCTGAGAAAGTTTAGAGGTTTTATGAACTGGAAGGTTAAGGAACCATGTGGATTCCAGCTATGTAGATATGTGATGATATGTGATGATATGTGAACATTGCACAAAAAAGACCCCAATTTGGGTTAGTTACTACCAACCCTGGGTGGGACTTGAAATCTATTGTGAAATGGCTGCCAGTATCTATCCTCGTCCCCATCCCAAGGCAGTTGCAAAAAGTGTGGACGCAGCTGCAAGACCAGTTGGACCAGGAGCGGAATTCTGGGTGGGATCGATGATGGCAAACCGAGGGCGAAGTTCGCGTGGGAATTATCCATTCTCCAATGGAGGATTAATTTTCTGGTTGGTGGTTTGGAACATTTTTTAGGATTTTCATGGATTTTCCATATATTGGGAATTTCATCATCCCAACTGACAAACTCCATCATTTTTGAGAGGGGTAGGTCAACCACCAACCAGTTGTGTTTGTTCCATTTATTGCCATGAACCAAACCTAATGTAAGCATATGTAAGCCCAATCACAAAGCATCCCAATATTGATCAACCTCACTTCCAATTACTGTAAACTATATATGTCTGGGAGGCCAGGGCCAACGTGACTGAGTCGCTTGACCTTGCTCGGTGAAACCTTGGTTAAAAGGTCATGCTCATCAATCCTTTTTCATAGGAATACACATATAATTACCGACATAGGCCAAAAAGAGTCGCTACGGAATTCCTAACCCATGACGGATCCATGGTGCTGGTATATATGCTAACATAAACGGGGTATATTGATGGGATCCATGTTACCATATACAGCAGCACCATGGATCCGTCATGGGTAATAGTGGTAGGGTCGAAAAACCATCGTCATTGTGGATCCAGGGGACCTATGATGTGACTACGGTGACTAGACAACCCAGATACGATGTGGTATACACCATCTGGGTAATGCTTAGGTTTTGGGGTAACTATCCCAAAATAACCGAACAGTTCAGGTCAGTGAAATAATGAAATATGTTTTTTTTACCCAGACACCATGGTTTGACCATGACGTGGTGTGATTAAAAATCTACTGATAGAGCCATTCGATGATAGGTTTCTTTGGGTATCGTTTCCTTCCACTCTTGGGTGTCCACAGAATCAACGCAGACCGGCTGGGCAACGAAACATGGATCTGGGTAAATTTCATCACGACCTCACGTCGCTACCGAGCCCTGGACTCATGGTGAATGTTAGGGAAAATATCCCCAAATAGCCTTAATTCAGGTTAGTGAAATATTATAATTTACCCAGATGGATGTGATGATGACTTGTTATATCTTGTTATTTTCCCAATGGGTTATCCGCTACGACTGGGGAATCTATAGGGAATATATATGCGTTTTTTGGGGAGTTGCCGTTCAACACCCATTGGTGGCACCACAACAAGTAACAATGCGGCACGTTCCGAACCTGCTTCTGATTGTCCACCATTCAGGTGCGGAAGCTTCAGAAATTGCCAGGAGCAGGGACTCTCTTCCCCCGATCATCCCCGATCATATTAAAGACTCCCCCAGAAACTATAGTAGAGGATTCATAAGAATTGGGACCATTTATGCATTGTTTAGCGTTAGGGGGATGATATTGAGTACCAAGCTTGTACCTTGCAAAAGTTAGTGCAAAAAAATGAAAAAGAGAACATGTGGATTCTAAGTATATAGCAAGAGTCAGATATAACAAGCCAACGTGAGAAAGAATTAAATAGAAAATTGCCATTGTCCGGATGCGAGTCGCAAAAAGGGGTCACATCTCGAGTCATTAGGTGTTCAGTTTTCCCACGCGCTCAGTGATCCAAAGTGGTTGAGTGTTCAAACGATATACAAACATATATACAAACAAGTGTTTGAACATATTATGTAACATAAACCATGTACATATATATATATACACAGTATTATACAGTTATATACAACTCGTGTGTATTTGATATCAACCAGTGACAAGTGTTCCATCCTAAATATACACGCAGGAGATGGTGCAGAGGGAGGACGTCTATCCAGCGCCTTGGCTTCTCCGTTTCCCAATCGAAAAATGGGGAACTATGGAGAGCTACAAATGAAGAGGTTCCCAACCACCTAATGATGCTTTTGGACATATCTACAGAATCTACAGTTACAGGAAGCAATGTTCGTGTTGTGGAATCAAATCATATGTTGGTTTTCAATGGTGACTTGGAACACAAGAAGGATCCCCGAGGCTATAAAGCCACCATGGATCCTAATTGTAGTCAAACATAGGTCTAAATCGTTTTACGTAGCTATCATCAATGACATATAAATCTCATTAAATCCACACTAAATCCGATCAAATCTACATTAAATGCTATTAAATCCCATTATATCCACAGCAAATCCCATTAAATCCACATCAAATCCCATTAAATTCCATTAAATCCATATGTTTCATGTTTTTATTCATATGGATTCAATGGCATTTAATGGGATTAAAGTGGATTACATGGGATTAAATGCAATTAAATCCACATTTTTTCCCAGATTCAAACCAAAGCCCCAACGTTATCAAACGCAACTCGCGCAACTCGCGTTTATTGCTCCAGGTTGGGCCATGAGCCGGTCGAAGTTGTTGGGGATCCCGGAATGGGATCCTGGAATCAATTGTTATGACTAACATAGCCATGGTTAGTATACCTCTGGGTAAATTATAACGACCTCACTGCGACCTCACTGGAATCATGGTTAGTAAGAGGAATCATCACAAAATTGCCTTATTTCAGATTAGTGAATTATTATAATTTACCCAGATACATTAGCCATGCATATGAAAGACGTGTGGCTCATGTGGTGGTTTGTGACCCCGTTGGAATGATTCATCTTCGCTGAAATTTGAGGCCAGATTCCGCGAGCGTGCCTTGAGGTAGGCAAGTCTATCAAAGCATCAATTTGAAAATGCCAGGTGTTGGTAATCTTCATTATACTTACAAAAAAAGACACAACAAATCAGGCACATTTCATCTTCAACAATTGGTAATTGGATGCTTGACATCTCCGGTATTACTCGTTCATATCTATTGTTCCTTGTTGGCCAACATACCCATTCTGCGGCTCATTTTCCACTGTTGCGGATGAAATGTTTTTAGTTCATGGCACTTGCGACCGAGGATGCCAAAGCGCAGTCACACGCAACCCCTGCAGATGAAGGATCCTGCGAAGCTGTCAAGTTTGCTCTCAAACCTTTTCCTCCTAAATCAGCCCCACTTTTTTGTTGTACCCGTTTTGCATCGTTTTGCAATGATTAAATCCCCGTTTTTTATGCTAATCAATCCCAGTTTCTGGTGGATTCATAGAAATCACTGGTGCTTCATCACAATAAAATTGGTGCTTCATCTACTTAAAGTAGGTGGGATGAAACCCATTGTAAAAATTGATTCATATTAATTCATATTCACCCATTTTTGGTGGTCAATTCCAATTCTCGTGGTCTTGAAGCCAATAACATTTGGTGCCTCATCCATGTTCATCCCATGTTAGAGGGTGGTTACCCTCTAAACTAACAGTTTGCGAACTGGAAAATCACCATTTTCAATGGCTAAATCAGCTATTCCTATGGCCATTTTCAATAGTTACTATGTTACTATGTTAGTTTACCGGAGGGTAACCTATACAAAGTCATGGACTTGGATGATGGGGTACCATCATGACTTAGGACACCTCCAAATAGGGGGTGTCATAATGGTTCGGTTGTAATTAATGCAAAAATCCCATTAAAATGGATGACTTAGGGGTACCCCTGTTTCAGGATACTTCCAAATGAATCTAAGTTTCATCCCACTATAATGATTTACTTATAATGGTTTATAGTTATTTATTGCTTTCATATTGTAATAATAGTACTCATCAAATCACATCTTTCTATGGCAGTTTTCAATAACCAACTGTTAGTCTATCCATTATCAACCATTATTATAAGCCATTACCAGTAGTACCGCACAAGGCGGTGGCGGAAGTTTCAGAATAGGAAACCTATAGGAGACGTTGGTTGTTGTGAATCACGGATGGCAGAGCGAATCCACTGATTGACCGAAAGGTGGTTGGAGTTGTGTTTCTGGAATGGTTGCAATGGTTGCAGTGGTCACCTCACCCACAACTGCTGGATGTAGTGTGATGTACTGCAACTGTAGTTGTTGTTGTTGTAGTTGTAGTTGTTGTTGTTGTTGCTGTTGTTGTTGTTGTAGTTGTAGTTGTAGCTGTAGTTGTTGTGTGGTTGTAGTCGTTGTGTAGTGTAGTTGTAGTAGTAGTAGTAGTTGTTGTTGTTGTAGTTGTTGTAGTTGTAGTTGTTGTTGTTGTTGTTGTTGCTGTAGTAGTAGTAGTAGTAGTTGTTGTTGTTGTTGTTGTTGTTGGAGCTGTAGTTGTTGTAGTAGTAGTAGTAGTAGTTGTTGTTGTTGTTGCTGTTGTTGTTGTTGCTGTTGTTGTTGTAGTTGTAGTTGTTGTAGTTGTTGTAGTTGTAGTTCTAGTTGAAGTTGAAGTTGTAGTTGTTGTGTAGTTGTAGTTGTTGTGTAGTTGTAGTTGTAGTTGTTGTAGTTGTAGTTGTAGTTGTTGTGGTTGTTGTTGTTGTTGTTGTCGTTGTTGTTGTTGTTGCTGTTGCTGTTGTCGTCGAAGTTAGGGTAGTTAAGTGAGTCAAGTTAGTCAAGTTAAGCAGTGTCTACTTTTTCGACATCTTCACGTCAAAAAAGGCTCAAAACCCTCAGTTTCTTACACTTTTGACTTCGAAATGTGCTTCGTGCCACAACGGCGTGCACTTTTTCGACACTTTTTCGACATCTGAACCTCCAAAAGTGGTCCGAACCCCTAGTGTTTTTAACATTTTGACTTGGAAATGTGCTTCGCGCCACAACGGCGTGCACTTTTTCAACATCTCAACTTCCAAAAGTGGTCCATTTTGACCAAAATGTGCTTCGCGCCACAACGGCGTGCACTTTTTCGACACTTTTTCGACATCTGAACCTTTGACTTAACATTTTGACTTGGAAATGTGCTTCGCGCCACAACGGCGTGCACTTTTTCGACATCTCAACTTCCAAAAGTGGTCCGATCCTCTAGTGTTTTGTCCATTTTGACTTGGAAATGTGCTTCGCGCCACAACGGCGTGCACTTTTTCATGTCTCATCTGGCCAGCTGGCTCCGCACCCACCGCTTTAGCGAGCCTACTTTTCGACCCTCCGGAGCCACAAATCATTGGAAAAACAAAGTGAATCGCGACTTTCCTACCTTTTCGCGCATCTGCATCTTCTTTCTTCTGATCTTTTCTCTTCTGACTCTTTTCACCTCTGCTTTTCAACTGTCCATATTGTCGGAAGTTTCACTTCTAAACTTCCTTCGATAATCCAATAGTTTGCCAGTGGTTCAAACCCCGGCCGCCTTTCATCCGCGCAGGACCTGAGTCCAGAGCTGTCCGTCTCTGCTGCAGAGCTGCAAGTGCTTCAAGAAGAGGTGGAGTTCGGAGACTCAGGGATTTTCGAAGGATTCATACAATGTGAGGCCCCCGTTTACGATTGCGTTCAGTTGGTGAACATACCCGACATGGTAATGGCTGACATAGCGAAAATGCTGATTTAGTTCGTGGATTTTCCCATGAAAAATGGGTGGATCTTTCCATAGCTATGTTAGTTTATCAGAGGGTAACTCCAATGTCACGAACTGGTTTATGGTACGTACTTATAACGAACTAGTTACTGGGGCGAATCTAAACCAACGTTCACATCACTAGGGTGCCTCACATTGTATGGATGTATAGGGTATATGGGATTTATATGAATCTATCTGAATCTATAGGGATTTATCTGGGATTTATATGGGATTTGTAAGAAATGATAGCCGCTAATGAGGGATCAACAAAAACCCTACATGGATCTATAATATTCTATAATTTATCGGGATTGAACATGTTTTAACCATTGATCACTAGGGATTTAGCGTAATTTAGCCATTGGTTGTGGGATGTTTTCAGGGGGGTTATAGGGACTTAACCGGACTTAACCAGACTTAACCATCAACAATGGGTGATTGAAAGAATGGCCATCGGGAGATACTTGTGGTGATTTTTCATATGAGAAAAAATACTACTGATGAAAGGCAAAATATGCAAAACAATGTGATTGAACAGTATTTAAAGTAAATCCAGACAAAACTCCGAGATGTTTATGTGATCTAACATGATCTAACTACAATTTCCTCAGTGAAAATCAACAACAGATGTAATTTTCAAGCACGGGTTATTAAACTTGGACAGATGGAGGATTTTTGAATGGAGAATGGATTTTCCATAACCAACACAAATGTGATTTAGCAAACCAAAGATCTTCTCCAAGCTATAGCCATCAAGCACGGGAGAAGTCATCCAAGTGGAGAGATTCGCAGTAAGTTTATCCAACAAGATATGGATGGCCCACGGCCCAGGGTGATGTGTTTTCCCATAGGATCCATGTATGCTGTATATGGTAACATTTACCATCATAATATACCCCCAATGTTAGCATATATACCATACATGGATCCTATGGTTTTTTTCTGAAACAACTTGTTTGCAGCATACAAGGAAGTTCATTCTTCCCAAAAAAAATGGCCAAGGATGTTCCGCAAGAAGTTGAGAGGAGGTGCTGCAGAGGTTCGGCACAGGGGTCGTCGTGCCAACATGGCATGTTGGAACATGGTGGGACCAAACTCAACCCTCAATTGTGAGCAATCCCATATGCTCCATGTATGGCATATTTACCTACATTTGGGCCATTTATGGGGTAAATGGTGGTAAATATTCCATACATGGAGCACATGGGAATGGCGTTTGCGTTTGTTTTTTTTCATGTTTCGCGGTTCTGGGACTAGGACTTGGGGGGGTTCCGAATGAATCAAGGGATGCATTGGCACTTCCAGGATGGAAATCGGCTGCTGATGGCTGGGCGGCGGCATTTGCAGCAACAGGATTTTTTTGTGCCAGGGAAAAATGGTGAATCGAAGGTGCAGATGGATGGAGCTGATATGGGAAAGCCTGTCCCATTTCAACCCACATTTTGGGGTGAGTCGAATCCATAAATCCTTGCGGAATTTTGCGGATGTCACGGAAGGATACCGTCGTTGTTTGTTTTGGTTTCGACATGTTTTGACCATGCTCCACCTCCAGGTTCATTGGGTTGATAATGGTTGATATCTTCCAGTGATTTTCACTTCATTTTTCGATGGTGAAAACGCCGTGGCGCCGTGGTCAACAGTTGGACTATACACAGAAAAAATTGCGGATGGTCACCAATCCATTCATGGGGATGACCATAAACCCATTGGAAGGATTCCCTGAGTCTGGGATATCCGGGATGACATAAACCATCATAAACCATTACCCTCTGGTAAACTAACATAACTATGGAAAATCACCATTTTTAATGGGAAAACTCACTATTTCAATGGCCATTTTCAATAGCTATGTTAGTCATAACCAGAGGGTAATCTCATGTTCAGTCACTGTTGATGGTGAACGCCCATTATCCCATGTACGTATAATTCCCACTGTTGATGGTTTTAAATCCTATTGGTATCCCATGATTTACCATTAAAAATCCTATATACTGTGATGATGATCGCCTTATCGCCATTTTATGGAAATTTTAGGCCATTATCCCAGTGATATTACAATGCATATATACTACATGCATATACCAAGTTTTGACCATCGCATACATGTCTTCTGTTGATTCCCCAGGACGTCGAGAAGTTGCTCCGCACTGCAAAGGAGCGCCAGTAGTTTCTACCATAGCAATGTCCAAAAATATTCAAAGTCACCACAGAAAAGTAAGATCCTCAAGAATGCTGGTAGATCATCCATGTGTTTGATCACCAATGTTTTTTTGGAAACCATGATTAAATAGTCATGATCAACAAAAAATATTAGCCAGGTAAATCCAATGATCTTAGTAGATGGTTTTGCTAGACGATCATCCCTTCCAGCATACCGATGATACCCATTGTTACTGCTTGGTGGTTTAAGGAACCATGGAATTTTCTATAGACTTTCCCATATTTAATTGGGAAGTTCAGAAAATCCCGACTTTCATCATATTTTTCCGAGGGGTTGGTTGAAGCCACCAAGCAGTTATTATTTAACAGTTTACGATGGAAGCCATGGCCCATAGCAATATATGATTAAAATGATGATTTACCATTTCTAAAAGAAGGGTGATTTTTCACAGCAACGAGCTAACGAAAACAAGAGGGGATAATTATTTCAACACAGTCTTCTCACTCTCTAATGATGTTCGGATTTTTGCTATTTCCAGAATATCTTGTTGCCCCTCTTCCCAAAATGTTCAATTCTGCTTTTTTTATACCACTTTACCAATCCTATATGTTCCATGTATGGAATATTTACCAACATTTGCCCTAAAAATTACCCAAATCTAGGTAAATATAGCATACATGGAGCATATATGGGAATATTTTTCACATCAGATGTTAGTGCTTTTGAGATGATCCCCACCATTCAGCAACACACCAGGCAGGAGCAAGTCATTCAGCCGCCTTGGTGGATGACGACGCCCTAGCAGTTCCTTGCTTCCGGATGGAAGGTCCTAGATTTTCACCATGGAAAAAGCAATAAATTTTCCTGATACCCTCTGGTAAACTAACATAGGCCATTTATAGTGGATTCACCCATTAAAAATGGTGATTTTCCATAGCTATGTTAGTTTACCAGAGGGTAGATGTTAAATTTATGTTTTGTCACTTATATGATATCCAGTGAGATATCCACATATATGATATCCATTGATTTTCCTGATGTTTTGTCACTTATATGATATCCACAATAAAAATCCCCCACTCTTGGAGAATGCCATTTGGATCTGGATCACGTCGTTGGAGAAATGTACGAGTTGGTGTTTTTCAGCCATGAAGTCCGGTCCTTGCAAAGTGTTCAAGGCCGTGTCACAGCGTTTACCCTCTGGTAAACTAACATAGCTATGGAAAATCACCATGTTCAATGGGTAAATCCACTATAAATTGCCATTTTCAATAGCTATGTTAATAAACATTTATGATCACTCCCTTTTCAAAGGGATTTCCCGAAAACAACCAGGACAGAGAACTGGTTGATGTTCAAAGCAATCAGCATCCCTGGAGGATGAGCTGGGGTTAGCGGGGCCAGCGGTTAGCTTTTACCCTCTGGTTATTTAACATAGCCATGGAAGCCATGGCCCATAGAAATACCTGGTTTACCTATTAAAAATGGTGGATCTTTCCATGGCTATGTTGAATAACCAGATGGTATCTAGGATCTTCAGTGACTTTTCAATGGCCGCTGTTCCGCGGAAGAGCAGGTCTTGAAGACACGGCGGAAAAGTCACGGTGAGGCCTTTTTAGTGATGGCTATGTTGGAAGTATAGCCCCCCTTAAGTATAGTTGTATCATATTACATTACCCATAGGATCCACGTATGGTATATATGCTAACATTTGGGGTATATTGATGGTAAATGTTACCATATACAGCATACATGGATCCTATGGGCAATACAGTAGAATTCCTGTAACACCTAGAATTCACCAGCTTATGCATAAACTTGCCATCGTGCATACGTAACCTATCGGAAACTGCATACGTAAACTTGCTATCGTTTGGGGGCCTCACCCTGTATAATCAGATTTCGCATTGTTTAATAGGCATAGCTCGGGAATCCCCGACGTTCAGCCGATTCTTCGCTGAGGCTGGGCAAGACGTTTCCACTCAGTGGCAACAGCTGCGGTCAGAGTTGGAGGAGCTTCAGCAATGTTTTGGTAATCTGAAAAAAGAAAGGGTGCTGTTTACCCAAGAATCAACGTCTGATCAATTTGAAGTGTTCTTTGACCACCCATGGGATGGTTTATTGATGTTTATTGTGTTTCTCAGATCAGAATATGACATGATGTACCTTTCCGGTGGCTCAAGCCCTTGTGGTTTTTAGGGCTCCCCACCTTAAACACAACCCCTTCGTGATTTCGCCATGTCGGCCTTGGTTGCACTCGTCACCTGAGCGCCTGTGTCCGCCGTAAGAATCGCGAAAAAACAAGGATTTCCAGCCTATGGCTGAGCCGAAGCATTTTTTGAAGGCTGAAAAACCTCTGAGGATTGGATTTTTCAAAGGGAATACTATAGTAATATCCCATAGGATCCATGTATGGTATATATGCTAACATTGGGGGTATATTGATGGGATCCATGTTACCATATATAGCATACATGGATCCTATGGGATATGTAGATGTTGCAAGCCTCCACTTCAGGTCGCAAAAAAACAGTGACGGGCTGTATATTATTGTACACGCCAGTACCTCTAGCACCGGCTAGGGCTATGACTTCAAATGTGGGCCTTTTTGCAGATGTGCAGACCTTTTCTGGCAGTGGGTTTGATCTGACTATGGATGCATGTGCAACGAAGTGTGCCAGCTCGGTCGGATTCATCTTCGCCCCGTTCGCTCGCACTGTCGCGGGAAGAATTGACTGCTGCTGCTGCGACGGCAACACGCTTAAAGTGGGGAGGCCACCAGTGACAGAGCAATGATGGTATCTGTATGCGCCCTCTGGTGCAGATATCATCAGTGACCCACACATCACTACTTTTGAGTGCCAATGTTACACTATTTTTCTTCGCCAGGGCACCTTTTCGCTGTGGCACTTCTGTGGTGTGGAGACGGACCCATATTTAGACGAGATTGCTGGAAGCAAGAAGCTTCCCGTCGATTGTGAAGGACTGGTGACCTGAGTAGTGGACGTAGACTTGCCATTGGCAAGTCTACGTCCACTATTCAGGTCGCCAGTCCTTCTCAAAGGGCTCCGGAGGAGCTGTGCGACAAGTGCTTGAGATTACTTCACAGTGGAAAGCACGGAAACGAAACGAAGAGTGGATTCCGGTGGATCCGGTAGACAATTCAGAAGTCATCTCCCTGATGGTAAGCAGTACGTCACAGGTTTCAACAGCAGGACCGTGACCGGTCCTCATGGCCATCGTTTTCCCAACAGTGTTCGCGTCATGCGGTCCGGAGCTGCGCTGCAGATGCCGACGGACTCTGAATTTAGCACGGATAGCAAATGGCAAGAGCTTGGAGGAAGTGAACAAGCAGTTTGGTACCTTCAGCTACTTGATGAAACTCGACCATCCGTTGCCTTGCTGCAATCGCACGGCTGTGGTGATGCTGAAAGAGCTCGGGCCACAGAGACTTTCTCCAAGCACTTGGGAGAGGCATATGGCACCGGCACAGAGAACGCGAATCTTTCGCGAAGATTGCATTTAATTATGACCTTTGGTGCTGGCGAGACGCAAGCAGAACTTGCAGCAGAGCTTCTGGCAATGACCAGTGAAAATTAGAAACATACCTCGGTGGAGAAACAAGTGAATGACCGTTGACCTCCCTGTCATCATGTGTGGATCGAATGGATGTTTCGGGTACAGTGCCATCACAGTGCCGTCAAGAATGCCCAAATACCCTCTGGTAAAGTAACATAACTATGGAAAATCATTATTTTTAATGGGTAAATCAACTATGGGATCCTGAAACGCAACGCGCGTCGGGTTGCGCAGGACTTGCAAGCTGAATTGGCTCTGGAGCCGCCACTTGGCCGGCATGGCATCCCCATGAAGGGGAAGTCTGGTGACATGTTACGACCTGTAAATATGGAGGTTTCCTTGGGGGTACCCCAAGCTCGCTGGATGGCTTATTTCATGGAAAATCCCAATCTATCAATAGATGATTTTGGGGGTAGCCCATATTTTAGGAAACCCCCATATAGAATGTATAATGTGCCATTGATGCCTAATTGGGGATGGAAAACATGTGGTACAGTTTTCACTGCAAACCACATTGTGTGGATCATCCATAGGATCCTAACGGTGCTGCTATATATGGTGTGCCATGGATCCCATCAACAAAATATACCCCCTTTATGTCAGCAGCCAGAAAAAACCAGCACCAGCCGGATCCGTCATGGGTAATGATGAACATCCAATGATTTTTTATAACATGTTGAATTTTGTGAATGAGAAACATGATTAAACATATTGGATGTTATCACTAAATATTGACATTCATCATTATTGTACATCCAATGATTTTAAGTATAACTAGATGTTAAATGTTAATCATCTGGACATGGGTAATGTTTGAATTCCATCTTAGTGTCAGAGGGCAGGCGAGTATGGACCGGCAACATTGGCCATCCTAGAACTCAGAGTAGGCAAACTCAGGCAGATACTCAGAGTAGGGCACTGCACTTTAGATTTACCCCTCTGGTTATGTCAAAATAGCTATTGAAAATGGCCATTGAAATAGTGGATTTTCCCATTTAAAGATGGTGAATTTCCATGGCTATGTGAGTCATAACCAGATGGTATATGGCAGGTAGTGCTTTCAGTCATCGCACTTTGACGGAATCTTTTTGTTTCGGGTAGTGTACCCTGCACCAAACAAAGAGTTTTGCTATGGAAGATCACGATTTTCAAAAACAGTAAATCATCAAACTAAAATGACCATGTTCCACAGCAAATTATTGAATTTTCAGTTAAATTATGTTGAATGGAAAATCGTCAATCGTCAATTGGATTGCTTCTGTGTGGAATTTTGGTCCCCAAACCCGCATGTGTATCAAACATTTACGCACTGAAAATTCTCATGACTGGGCTGAATGACGAACACAACAGTGGTTTTGACATGGTGACACAGACTTCACTTTTTGTTTTCCAATTGACTAACCGATATGACTATCCTGTGTGAAATCACTCAATTGTAAAGTCGATCGATATACTTAAGTATATAATCAATGGTGATCAATACTTAAAGTTGATCAATGGTGATCAATACTTAAGTATAGATCAATGTGAGATATATCAATACATACTTAAAGTTGATCATTTGTAAATCTATATAATACTCACAGATCCGGACGTTTGCCCGGAGCCCACACCTGTGGCACAACCGGAAACGTGGCGAAATAACTTAAAGTAAATCCATGTAAATCATACCCGGTACTACATATTGTTTTTGTATGGGATAGCAGATTTAGACCCTTTATATAAATGTATAATCATTGTTTTACTTGAAGTAAACCCATTATTATACCCTTCTAGATATTGTTTTAGGAGGTGGCAGATCTATACCATGCTGTTATATTATTTGCACCCTGTGTTGACGTGTGAGAGAGGTGCGAAAACTGTGGTAAGAGTGATAGATGATGTCATGTTGGGCGAACGATAGGTTCTGCGGGTATGAAATGGTATGAATGTATGTGTTCTAATCCATGTGTGTCGTAAGTGGGTAGTAATGAGTCATATTATAGCCCATTCAGATTAATGGAGTATCCCCATTCAAATAAGGCATATCATATACATGCTTATAAACATGTACAAACCACTTATCTGGATATTGTTTTAAAAATGTTTCAAATATTCCTGAACATTATTTGTCAACATTTATATGGCTTCAACTATGGCTATAATAGTGGGGGCCTCACCTTATAGAAGAGTGTACTGATCCCCATATTATTATATAATTTTATTATGTTTATAATCAATGTCAAGCCAGGATTAATAAACCATGGTTTATGAAAATGATGGGGGTACCCTCCAAGTAGTCAAAAACATGATTTACTTATCTTTGGATGGTTATTTGTTGTTTTTTCCCAGTTTTTTTTTGTCCGTTTTGTTTTTTTTTGATTTCTGGTTCCCAGCTTCTCTGTTTTTTTGTTTGCTTTTCCTCTCTGCTTTCTGCTTTTCCCTGCTTTTCTGCTTACCTGCTTCTCTGCTTTTCCCTGCTTTCTTTTGTTTCTCATACTGTTAATAAACCCTGAGACGCATCATATAATACATATATAAACCCTAAATCAACCCTAAATAAAACCCCAAACAAAGAAAACAATCACTAAAGCAACTCTAAGTAAACCCTAAACATCCCCTAAATAAATCTGGAACTCTGGGGTGAGGTTAGTGAAGGTAAAAAGTGCAGTGTTATTAAATTGAAAAAATGCAAAGGTATGAAATCGGTAACCGTTTTTATCCTTATTTAATATCATCGGTACTCTTTATGATGATCAATCTGGATTGAGAAAATATCTTATGTAATAAAATATTTTGGCATGGGGGTATTTAGAATTCATAAAGATGAGATTAGAGGTCCTAACGGGTTTCTCAAGATGATTTTATGAATGAGAAAATAAACAGAACAGGGGACCACCAGCGTGCGCAAATTTCCTTTACTTTGCAACAATTTTCCTCCAATCGCCTAGAAAATAACAATGATTTATCTGCTGCATGTCTGTTGGCCTATGCCAATTTGCTGCAATCTGCTGCAAAAGGGGAAACCAAAAAAACAAAAAAACAAGAAACAAAAAAAAAAAAAACAGACTCATGAAAGTAACAGAGATTGGGTTCCTTGGGGTTAGGAATGTTTTTTTTTGTTTTTTTTGCTTTTTGTTTTTTTTTTGGTTTCTTGGTTTCGTGTTTTCTGGTTTGTCGTTGGTTTTTTGAAGGGCTGGCAAAACAACACAAAAGTGAAGGACCTAGACCTAACTCTTTGCCAGTTCTCCCATTTTAGGGGTTGCAAACTTGCTTTTGCTTAATTTTATTGGTTGCTTTGGCCTGTGGTTCCCTTTGAAAACCATGTAAAAATCCATGGCAAAATGCAGGTATCACTGGAGGAAACTTGGGGGCTTGGTACACAGATTAGGTAATTTTGTCTGTTTATGCAATTTCTCACAAATTGTGTTGAACAATGCAAAAAAAAAACATAGGCAGCCAATGAATGTGTAGAACTGATTTTGAGATTGGCATTGTTGGCTCCACCCCTTGAGTTAACACATGTTCAAACACTTTGAGGATTTCCTTGAAAAGGAGTGATGCATCTCTTTGAAGTGATTGCTCCCTTCAACAAATGCATTTCTTTTAAAATGGTAGGACATCCCATTGAAGTAGGTCATATCTTAGTCTACTTCTATGTCAAAAATGAACCCTCTTGCACATGCAATGCCCTTTTCACAATATATTTTCTTAAATCAAGAACACATGGTACATACAAACACGTCAAATATGTCCTTTACAATTGCACATCATGTTTTCTGAATGCATAATGTGATATTCCTCCGACAACGAACCATATTTTGAGAATAATACCTTTTGGTGTAGGCAGCTCTCCTCTTGAAAAATATTGTAATTTGAGGAATGTGCACCTTTAAATCTTGAGACAATCAAACACTATTTGAACATATGGTATACTGTATGCATGTGGCACTCTTTTGAAAGAGTATGGTCGTCCTTGAAGAATCTGTTGTTGAATTTGTGCAACACCCCCTTGATATGAATGAGATATTTGATTAAACGAAAACATTATTGTTGGATTGTATTGAAAACATTTCTTTAAGTGAGAGTTGTCTAAATGAAGGCTGGGCTGATCTGATCAAGGGGAAGAGTATACATGTCAAACTCTCCTCCTGAAAAATATTGCAATTTAAATCTTAAGACAACCAAACACTATTTGAACATATGGTATACTGTATGCATGTGGCACTCTTTTGAAAGAGTATGGTCGTCCTTGAAGAATCTGTTGTTGAATTTGTGCAACACCCCCTTGATATGAATGAGGTATTTGATTAAACGAAAACATTATTGTTGGATTGTATTGAAAACATTTCTTTAAGTGAGAGTTGTCTAAATGAAGGCTGGGCTCATCTGATCAAGGGGAAGAGTAAACATGTCAAACAAAAATAATCCAATTGTCCAAGAATGGTGCTTCTCCACAGGAAGTTTTTTTTTTTGCCATACAAGGACAATATTCTGTTGTTCAGTGGTAGGAAGCGAAAGAGCATTCTTTAATAGTGCTCACAGTTTCAAACATGTTCCACTTTTGAAAGGGATGCTCTATGTCAACAATACTGCATATATTGTAGAAATATTGGCTTTTCCAAAAGGGGTACTGCTCCTTTGAAAGGAGAGTTAGACATCCAGAAATGCACATTGCACTCCTTCTCAAAGGGCACGGTGCAATTTTTCAAGGAAGACTTCATATTTTGTTTGGGTATTGCTCCTGCAAAAACACACAGCTGAACGGTAACTTTATCTCGGTAATCTCTTTTCACCAGGGTTTTTCTCTATGCAGTTATGTCACCAATTATGTATTGTGTTGCTTGCACATGTGAAGAACTAGTTTTGTTTTTCTTCAACCATCTTTAATATATTGTTTTAGTCATACATTTGATGGACATCTCGTCTGTATGAGGGTTTTGACTTAGAGGCATGCGTTAACTGACACTTAGATGAAGATACTCACCATCTTGCAATGTCTAAAAAACCGCACGCTCACAGTCCCCAGCTCTCAAAATAAACGGTTCATTTTCCCTTAGCAGTTCCATAGGGCTATATTGCAGGCTATAGTTATAACAATGACCTTTTAATATCAGGAAAATGCACTGTTCATTTTCTTTACATAGCCCATTAGGGTAAATTAATTAATGTCGTGGCAAATTCATTAATAAATTGACGAACACAACCAAGTGTGGGTTCACTCCCAAAAAGCTATTATATTATAATTAGGTAATAAGTATGAGAAATAATATGGGCCCCGACC